GCCTACAACCACGTCGCCAACCGCGCTCCTACCTCCGCTCTACCTGGGGACACCACCCCCCACATCGCCTGGACTGGCAAGACGCCGGATGTTGGCTACTTCCGCGTCTTTGGCTGCCTGGCCTACGTCTTGGTGAAGGACAAGCACCAGCGCGCGCTCGAGCCGCACTCTCAGAAGTGCATCTTCTTGGGGTACCCTCCCGGGACCAAGGCGTGGTTGTTCTACAACCCGGCCACCAAGAAGACGGTCATTTCGTCGCATGCGGTGTTTGATGAGCGCTACATGCCGGGGACGTCGCTCAAGAGCCTCAATCTCATCACTGCGGAGATTATAGACCGAGGTGAAGGCCCTCCGGACTTTGGGGATGTTGCTGATCAAGGGGGTGATGTGCCGTCGCCCTCTACCCATCGTCATAGCGCAGATGACGATGGTGTCGCGCCCTATGATGATCAGCCACCTCCCCCATCCGGACCGCCAGCGCCTGCCGTGCCTGCCGCGCCTCAGCTGCGCACACCGCCGCCCACATCGCCGCCGGCACCCTCTACGCCGCTTCAGCAGCCAGCTGAGCCTACCACGCCGCCTAGCGCGCGTCCGCCGCCGCCCTCTGCGCCCCGCCCGTCTCGCACTGCGCCGCCTAGCAAGGCCGCGCTGAGAGGCAGGCAGGAGCGCGCGCAGGAGCAGCAGCCAGCGCCGCGCACAGAGCGCAGTCCGTCCCCTGCTTGGGAGACAGTCCGGCCGTCTACCTCGAGCGGACCGCCACCGTCGCGTCTGCCTCGGGCAACCAAGCCAACCCATAGCTTATCCGAGCGCGAATTGACGACTCGCGCTTGGCAAAAGCAGCCTGCGCCGCCTTCTACAGGCCGCGCTACATCGTCTACACCCGCGCCCCAGCCGCAGGTGAAATCCCCTAACCGGTTTGCGCCGTTATCCGGCCAGATTGAGGAGGTGGATGAGGAGGAGGAGGAGCAGGAGGAGCAGAGCGAGCAGGGGGTGCAAGAGGAGCGCAGAGAGCAGGATGAGCAGGCGCAGGACAGAGAGCAGGCAAGGAAGGAGATGATGGACTGGGCAGGGAGTGACGATGAGCTTGCTTTGACTGACAGCACGCCCATCCCAGGAGCGCACGTTCTTCAGGCCGGCCTCGACTACGTCTTTAGCGGCATCACCCAAGAGGACTGGTCAGTAGAACAGGCTCTCGACTTCGCCCTCGCCACTACAGTCGCGCCGGACCCGCAGCAAGGCGAGCCCAAGACGTTTGCTGAAGCGCTGCTTCGCCCGGACAAGGCGAAGTGGATCGAGGCCGCATTCGACGAGGTGCAGGCGCTGGTCGACAACGGCACGTTCGAGGTGGTCGAGCTGCCGCCAGGCAAGCGCGCCATTGGCAGCCGGTGGGTGTTCAAGGTCAAGCGCAATGCTGATGGGTCTATCGAGCGGTACAAGGCGCGCTGCGTCGCGCAGGGCTTCTCGCAGCGTCCCGGCTTCGAGTACACCGAGACGTTTGCCCCTACGCCAAAGTGGGCCGCCATCCGCGCTATCCTCGCCCTCGCCGCTATGGACGACCTCGTGCTCTACTCCATCGACATCAGCAACGCGTTCTTGAATGGCAAGCTGGCCGAGGAGATCTACATGCGCCAACCGCCCGGCTTCAAGCTCGGCATTGATCCTGACAAGGACTATGTCTGGCGCTTGAAAAAGTCGCTCTATGGGCTGAAGCAGGCGAGTCATGTCTGGCACGAGACACTGAACAAGGTGCTTGTAGAGATGGGCTTCACGCGCATCCTCTGCGACCACAGCGTGTGGGTGTACGGCCGCGGTGACGCGCGCATTCTCGTGCCGGTCTTTGTGGACGACATGACGATTGGGTGCAAGACTGACGCGCAGGCGCTCGGTATCATCGGCGAGCTGAAGAAGCACTTCAAGCTGCGCGAGTTGGGTCCTACTACCTGGCTACTGGGCGTTGCCATTGAGCGCGAGCGCAGCCAGCGCACGCTGTCTCTTTCGCAGCGCCAGTACGCCACGGACGTCCTCGAGCGGTTTGGCATGGCCGAGTGCAGCCCGGTCACCACTCCGCTCAACCCCTCGCACAAGCTCAGCGCCGCCGACGCTCCTGTCACGCCAGAGGACATCGAGTTCATGTCCACCCGCGCCAAGGAGTACGCCTCTGCCGTTGGTGCCATTGCCTGGCTCGCCCTCGCCACTCGTCCCGACCTCGCCTACCCGGTCTCAGTCCTCGCTCGCTTCACCGGCAACCCTGGCCGCCCGCACTGGAACGCGCTCAAGCACCTCTTCCGCTATCTCAAGGGCACGCTTGACTACAAGCTGACCTACGACGGCAAGGCGGTGAACGCGCGCTCCGAGCTCTTCTACACCTACACCGACGCGGACCACGGCGGTAACCCGGACAATGGGCGGTCTACCAGCGGCCAGATTGTCATGATGGCGGGTGGAGCGGTCTCCTGGTCGTCCAAGCTGCAGACTATAGTCGCGCTTTCGACCACCGAGGCAGAGTACGTTGCGGCGTGCTCTGCTGGCCAGGAGATCCTGTGGATGCGCAACTTCCTGACCGAGTGTGGCTACTCGGTCAAGAGCGCACCCTCCACCCTCTACATCGACAACAACTCGGCGCTGCAGGTGGCCAAGAACCCGGAGCATCATGGGCGCATGAAGCACCTGGACTTGCGCTTCTACTGGCTGCGCGATGAGGTGCATCGCGGCAGCATCCGCCTTGTCCATCTGCAGACAGCAGACATGCCGGCTGACATGATGACCAAGGCCTTGGGCCGGGTCAAACTGCAGCACATGGCAACGCTCTCTGGCCTTGGAGTTGGGCGCTAGGACGTGCTCGATCAAGGGGGTGTGTTGGAATCGGTGTCTACGCGCTCTCTAGCGCCTATGGTATTTTTCTGCGATTTTACGGACTTTTTCCCGGTACTGTACGCTTACCTACAGTCCTATCTCTGCGCTCGCGCCTTATTGCCGAGCGCCACATATTTCCTCGGCATTTGCCGTGCCCTCCTGCCTAGAGCGGCGCATCCGAGTCTTTTCTCTTCCTGACTCGTTTGCTGTCGCTCTAGGTGCGTAGTTATGCGTTGTATCTCGCTACTTATGAATCTGACTCGTTTGCCGTCGCTCTAGTGTGATCACTGGCTCGATTCTGCCTCGGACACACGCGCGCCGGCCGTCGGGCTGCGCGTACTCGGCGAATGCCGAGTGCGCGAGCTCGCCCGTCGGAGAGCGCTGCCCCTCACCCCCGCTCACTGCGCGCGCCGACGCGGTCGTCACCAGCACATTGTGTGAGCGCACGGCTGTAGCGTTGTCGCAATCACGATGACGGCACACCCCGAACCGCGCTGAGCGATGCCCATCTCTCGCGAGGAAGGGTGCGCGTGTTGTGCCCACGGCGGATGGACACCGTCCCGAAACCGCGTCGGGCGTCGCACCCATTGCGACGCGTCACGTGACGTGCCACGTACGTGATGACGTGGCACTACGCGGACGACGTGGCGGGGGTGGGGAAGGGCAGAGGGGAGTATGAGGGGAGGAGCCAAACAGCCCGGGCGACGTGGAGGACCGAGGCGAGGTGGGTGATTGCGTCCGTGGGCAGGGATGGGCAGTGTCCCGCTGCCTGGCCATGCGCGCGGGCGCGCCCCGTGGCGCGGCAGGGGACAGACACCGAGCGAGGCGGTGTAAGAGTCGGACGCGCAGGAGGTCGAAGGGAAAACGGCGGGCATGCGAGGGCCAGCCAAGGGTAGCACGGTGGGGGTGGAAGACAAGGAGGAGAGGCTGCGCAGCGCGGCCGATTTTTTCCGGATGCAGCACGTGATCCCGGAGGTCCGGCTCGATGAGCCGGACCTCGTCGCCGCTGCTACTGCTGTCGGCGTTTGTGACCATGCACTTGCGCTTTCACACCGCCTGATGAAAATTATAAGTGGGGGGACGCTCCAATGAAGCTCTGATTAGGATACAAACACTGTAAGGGCCAGATAGCCAGTACAAAAGTCTCTAATTCGATATATTACTCCTTTTGCGCCTTTTTATATCATCCTGACTTTGGGGAACGCCGAAGCTTCGTAATACTGCTAAGCTATATATTCTACAGATACTTGGACCTGCACACTCTACCCCGAAGCCCGTTAGGTGAGCAAAGTTTGTTCGTCGACGCACTGCGCAAGGCCGGGCCGAGCTCCGGTTCGTGCTCAACGTCGCACTCGATGACCATTAGGGCATTATAATAGACGTTCGCCGCCGAGATTTCTGCATAGGCGTGTAGAGCGCCCTTGAAAACGGGGCCTACCGGGTTTAAATTGCCACTTAGGTGCATAGACTGAAGCAGAATTATCAAATCCGTCATGGGCAGAGAGCTTTTGAGTGAATACTGCTGTACAATACAATCTGGCGAGCAGCTCATCATGGTTCAAGCCCCTCAACACCTCCCCCCACCTTGTGCAGCTCAGAAAAAGCCTTAAACCCCTCGCCTTGTATGCCTACACGCCTTGATAGGCTCTACCAGCTTGAATATGTCCTAGATGTATGTATTCATGCCGAGAACTGCTACCCGAATATCAGACACGGTTCGAGTTCATATGTATGCAATGTGATCCCTGCTTATCCAACTCAGATATAGTGCCTGAATAGTAGATATGCGTGACTTCAGAACGCATCAGCATGTCATAAGCACTCGATGTCTGTATATCGTGCTCATGATATCGATCGCCTTCCACCTTACAAGCACATTCGATGGAAATTACGCGATGGACATCAAGATCCCAGTCCAAATTTCTAGCCAGCAGTAAAAGAAGCATACATTCGCCTTCTGATTTTTTCATCTTCCCCCCGGAGACCCCGCCAAAGGCACAGGAACAGAGGGGGGAGGGTCGCGCGCGCGAAGGGACGCGTCGCCGGCATTTGCCGAGCACGTGCCCGCGTAGCACCAGGTTCCGTCCGCAGCCGATCGCTGCTCTTGACCCTCAACCTCCACCATCCCAGCGTGCTGCGAGCGGGGTGAACGCCCGCTCTCCTCTCTTCCTCTCCACCCCCCTCCTCTCCCCTTCTCTCTTCTCTTCCCTCTTCCTCGCGACCACCACCCGCACCGCCACGTCACCGCATGTGTTCAACAACGCCGGTGCTCAACAGCGCTCTAGGCTGTACCCCACCCCACCTGACCACCGACCGCCATATTCGCGTGCCGGCCCCGCTCCTCACCCCACCCCACCCCGACGAGCCTGGCCCGCTGCTCGCAGCACCCATGTGGTTGTCATGGCAACCACATCGTGGCCGCTGCCCTCACGAGGGCGTGTTGTCGTCGTCGCTACGGCGATGACGGCATTGCATCTCGTGCGCGCCACGCCTCGCGTTCGCCTGCGATGTCTCACGCACAGGCGCTCGTGGAGCACACGCCGCATCTGTGATAGCCGCGGCGATGGGCGACGGGTCGCCCCGATACACGAGGTACTCGCGCGAGCGAGCAGCTCGCGGTGCGTGCTCTAGTCGGGTGAGCGGGGGTGAGGGGCAGCGCTCTCCGACGGGCGAGCTCGCGCACTCGGCATTCGCCGAGTACGCGCAGCCCGACGGCCGGCGCGCGTGGAGGGGAGCGCGTGCGTGCTCGCGGCGCGGACCGCGTTTCGGCGTGCTTTCGGCATTTGCCGAGAGCGCGCACGGGAGCGGTGAGCTCGCGAGTGCACGTGCGACCGCGACCGCGAGCGATGGCGCGGCGAGCGCACCGTGGGAACGCGTCGAGCGCGCGCGTCGGGGTGGCGGAGGGCGGGAGGACGTGGCGCGCGCGAAGGGCGTGGGAAAGGTCGGGTCGGGCGGCGGGCGGCACGTGGGTGCGCGTCGGGGAGCGGGCATCGGGACGACGACGACGAGCGCATCGTGCGCGATGGCGGCGGGTTTCCGGCGACGACGACGGCAATGGCCTGCTCGGCAATGGCCGAGAGGCCAGTAGTGTAGGCGGATTCGTAGTGGGATGTTGCATCAGACGATGCATCATGCCCTATAGTTTATAGCTTGTAATTTACAGTCAAAGGATGCAACAAAGTGCATTGTGCTATAGGTAGGTGATGCATCAAACATAGGGACAGACCTCCATGATCTGGTGCAGCCGGTTGATGTCGATGGCGATGAAGGCGCGCTCGTCTGTGCCGATGGGCTGGCAGTCGACGTGATAGAGACCGTGTTTGCGCGTTGCGACACAGGTGATATCGCCGGAGGAGTCGCAGATAGTGCATGCGTTGTCCTTAAAGGACACACGCAGACCACGCTTGGTGATCTGGGGTACCGAGATGAGCGTCAACGCGAGGTCGGGGACGTGTAGTGTCTTCCGAATAGTCAGCGCGCGCACACCGTCCGGTGTCTTAGAGGCAAAACAGGCGGTGCCAATGCCTACTGCCTTGATGACGGACTCATTCCCGAGGTAGATGTTGCGCGGCGGGTCAAGGACACAGTAAGTGCTGTCGTCAAAGAGGCGCTCGTCGGGGGTCATGGTCTTTGACGCACCCGAGTCGACGATGTGCGAACCTTGGTGCCGCTGCGGTCGCTTGGGATCAGACTGGACATAGGCGGAAATCTTCTTGTAGGCACGGCGCGAGACGGTTACATGCGTGTCGTCTACATCCGAATCCGAGTCTGAGTCCGAGTCCGAGTCCGAGTCCTTCACCTTATTCGCCTTTGCCTTCTCCGCCGCCCGCTCCTTCCGCTTCTTCTGCACCTTCTCCTTCTGCCCAATGATCGTCTTGCACTCCTCGGTGGAGTGCCCCTCGCCGTGGATGACGCAGGACGCCTTCGCCTTAGCCTTCTTCTTGCCCTTGTCCTTGGGCTTGCGCGGTGGGGGCACGCGAGAAGAGGAGGCAGCGTATGCCTGCTCGTCTTCCGAGTCCTCCTTGCTGGTCACCTGTGCCATCAGCTTCGCCTCGACGTAGGAGAAGGTGAGGGGCGCGGCCTTGGAGCTGCCCGCCGAGATGCCGGACGAGACGATCTTCCACTTCTCCGAGCTGGGAAGGGAAGCGAGGAGGATGAGGGGGACAAGGTTGGCGTTGAGGGGGTAGCCGAGAGTGGCGAGCTGGGTGACCGACTGCCGAACGCGGTGGATGTGCGCGCTCATCGCCTCGCGGGAGACGTCTCCATCATCGCCATCGGCGAGCTTTGCGCGGAAGATCTTGATCAGTTCGGTGACAGCCATCTCGCTGGTGTTGGTCTGCTCGAACTTCTCGACAAGTTTCTCCCAGATCTCGCTTGCATGCTGGTACTCGTGGAGCTCGAGGGCGATGTCGTTCGAGAGGTGCTCCCGGATGGTGGAGAGGGCGCGGGTGTTCCGCCAAGACCAGGTCTCCCTCCGCGCAACTTGGTGAGTGGTGGAGGAGGAGCCCGATCCTGTGGATGTGGTGGTAGTAGCCGGAGCGCCGGGCGACGTGGAGGGGGGAGAGGACGTTGTCGGCGTTGGTGGAGTCACCGCGATCTCAGGGGGAGGGGATTTCTCCGACCCGGTCACCACGGAGGTGAGATCGTCCCTGTTGAGGGCGTCGGTGACCCGGAGGCGCCAGAGCGGCCAGTCTGCTGCGTCAGTGAGCGTCGGGACCTTGCTGTCCTTGGGAGCCATGGTGCAGAGTGGGATAGAGTGAGTCGCAGATCGAAGTCTTGCTCGATTTAGGCCACGGGGCTCATAACCTTTCACGAGCTAAATAAGCGCAGAGAGCGCAAGACCTCAGTCTTCCTGCGTATAGGATAGCGACTGAGGGAAAAGGAAAGGTAGGTACACGCGTATGTACGGGGCCATCCGGGCAAAGCGTGGGGAAAAGTCATGTGATCTCAACTCTTGGAACTTACATAAGCAATTCCAAGGGTTGAGGTCACATGACCTGGCTGAAGGTAGACTCGCCACTAAACACCACTTTTGACAAAAATCGCCAGTACCGCCGCTATCGCCGTGCGAAGTCCAGCACCTCCGATCACCGCAAATTTTCACCCTCCCTCATATTCGCCGTCGCGCACGCAGTTTGCGTCCGTTCCTCTCCAAACGACTTCTAGTCACTCCGCGCCCTTCTCCCCTACACGTCGACCCTACTCTCGCCCACTTCCGCCGGTTCGATCGTCCCCAACAACCGTCCCTTTGCGCCATGTCGAAGCGTGACTCAGACGGCCGCCCCATCCTCACCCGCTTCAACTGGAGCTGGTGGGAGAGCGAGATCCAGCCCTGGCTGTCCAGCAAGGGCCTCTGGCGCTATGCCAAGGGCGCTGTGACCAAGCCCAAGCCCAAGGACGCGAGCGCGGTCACTGATGCGGAGTACCGCACTCAGGAGGAGTATGAGCAGCGCTTGGAGAAGGCTGCTGGCGAGCTTTGGCTCGCCATGGAGGAGCCGCTTCGTCCGCAGTTCAAGGACAAGCGCAGCACGCCCAAGGACCTCTACGACGCGATGAAGACCGCCTTCAACATCCAGGAGGCCGGCACGCGCTTTGCTGCGCTCTCTGACTTCTTCGACGTCAACCTGGGCGACGACGCTGAGGCCACCACCGCCCTCACCGACCTCCTTTCACGCGTCGACAAGGCCATGACGCGCGTCCAGTCCCTGCGCCCCTCGACCGGCTACGACTTAGCCACCATGCACCTCGAGCTGAAGGCGATGGTCACTATGCGCGCGCTCGCCGCCTCCCCCAACCCCCAGCACGCCAACATGTACACGTCCCTCCTGCTCGACAAGGCGCTCACCTACGAGACGGTCAAGGACATGATCGCGCGCGAGTTCGCCTCGCACCGGATGACGGCGGACGGCACGCCCCTCGCAGCCAACCGCGCCGGGTACACGCCCGAGTGCTACAACTGCAAGGGCCCGCACCTCATCCGGGACTGCCCCAAGTTCAAGCCGGACTGGAAGAAGGAGGAGGAGGCCGCCGCCGCTGCTTCTACCTCGAAGCGCCAGCAGAAGAAGAAGAACAAGGGCGGCGCCAACGCGTCTGGCGCGTCCTCTGCGCCCTCCTCCGGTCCCTCCGATGTGTCGTCCTCGACGCCGTCCACCTCCGCTGCTGCTGCGCGCGTCGAGTCTGCTGGCCAGGCAAGCGCTTTCACTTCCTCCCCCGCTCTCAAGGAGTGGCTCCAGTCCAAGGCTGCGGCTAACTTCAACACCGACACAGGTGCGTCTCTACACATGACGCCGCGGCGAGATTGGTTCGTCACCTACTCGCCGCATCGTGTTCCTGTTCGCCTAGCGAACGGCACGATCGTCTACTCGGCGGGCATCGGGTCGGTGGAGTACCAGCCGGTGGATGGGGGGAAGTTGCTTACGCCTATCGCGTTCTTTGATGTCCTCCATGTTCCTCTTCTTACCTCGAACCTCCTGTCAATCTATCACCTTACTGCGCACAAGGGGTACGAGGTCAGCATCAAGGACAAGCGCATCGCCTTCTACTGCGCTGGGGCGCTCGTCTGCACCGCTACTGTGGACGACTCGAACACGGGCTATCTGGACGGCTACGTCGTTGTTCCTCCTGCGCACAGCGCGCAGCGCGCCGCCTCTACCACGCTCCCGCTCGACGCCGCGCTCTGGCACCGCCGCTTTGCGCACGTCAACCATGGGGACATTGCGAAGCTGCGGCAGCGCAAGCTGGTGAGGGGCATGCAGTTTGACAGCAGGGAGGCGCCGGACCCGATCTGCGAGCCATGCATCATGGGGAAGCAGACGCGCAAGGCGGTACCGCGTGGTCCAGGAGAGCGCGCAACGCGTCCCCTCGAGTTGGTTCACACCGACTTGAAGGGTCCTATGCCGGTCGCATCCAGAGAGGGGGCGAACCTCTACTGGATCACCTTCATAGACGACAAGACGCGGCGACGCTGGGTGGCGTATTTGAAGCGCAAGAGCGACGCTTGGGCTGCTATCCAGCAGTTCAAGGCGGCTGCTGAGGTGGAGAGCGGTCAGCGTTTGGAGGTACTGCGCTGCGATGGGGGTGGCGAGTACATCTCCAACGTCATGAAGGACGCCGCGCTGAAGGAGGGGTGGCGGTTGGAGATCACAGAGCCAGATGAGCCGCATCAGAACGGCGTTGCTGAGCGTGCTAATCTGACCCTTGCCAATGGCGCTAGCTCTATGCTCTACGAAGCGAAGCTGCCGCCTTCGTTCTGGGCCTACGCTATAGCCGCCTACAACCACGTCGCCAACCGCGCTCCTACCTCCGCTCTGCCTGGAGATACCACCCCCCACATCGCCTGGACTGGCAAGACGCCGGATGTTGGCTACTTCCGCGTCTTTGGCTGCCTGGCCTACGTCTTGGTGAAGGACAAGCACCAGCGCGCGCTCGAGCCGCACTCTCAGAAGTGCATCTTCTTGGGGTACCCTCCCGGGACCAAGGCCTGGTTGTTCTACAACCCGGCCACCAAGAAGACGGTTATCTCTTCGCATGCGGTGTTTGATGAGCGCTACATGCCGGGGACGTCGCTCAAGAGCCTCAATCTCATCACTGCGGCGATTATAGACCGAGGTGAAGGCCCTCCGGACTTTGGGGATGTTGCTGATCAAGGGGGTGATGTGCCGTCGCCCTCTACCCATCGTCATAGCGCAGATGACGATGGTGTCGCGCTCTATGATGATCAGCCACCTCCCCCATCCGGACAGCCAGCGCCTGCCGCGCCTGCCGCGCCTCAGCTGCGCACACCGCTGCCCACATCGCCGCCGGCACCCTCTACGCCGCTTCAGCAGCCAGCTGAGCCTACCACGCCGCCTAGCGCGCGTCCGCCGCCGCCCTCTGCGCCCCGCCCATCTCGCACTGCGCCGCCTAGCAAGGCCGCGCTGAGAGGCAGGCAGGAGCGCGCGCAGGAGCAGCAGCCAGCGCCGCGCACAGAGCGCAGTCCGTCCCCTGCTTGGGAGACAGTTCGGCCGTCTACCTCGAGCGGACCGCCACCGTCGCGTCTGCCTCGGTCAACCAAGCCGACCCATAGCTTATCCGAGCGCGAATTGACGACTCGCGCTTGGCAAAAGCAGCCTGCGCCGCCTTCTACAGGCCGCGCTACATCGTCTACACCCGCGCCACAGCCGCAGGTGACATCCCCTAACCGGTTTGCGCCGTTATCCGGCCAGATTGAGGAGGTGGATGAGGAGGAGGAGGAGCAGGAGGAGCAGAGCGAGCAGGGGGTGCAGGAGGAGCGCAGAGAGCAGGTGCAGGAGGATGATGTGCAGGACAGAGCAGAGGCGAGGCGCAGGATGATGGAGTGGTCAGGGAGTGAGGATGAGCTGCGGATCACTGATGAGACGCCTATCCCAGGAGCGCACGTTCTTCAGGCCGGCCTCGACTACGTCTTCAGCGGCATCACCCAAGAGGACTGGTCAGTAGAACAGGCCCTCGACTTCGCCCTCTCCACTACAGTCGCGCCCGACCCGCAGCAAGGCGAGCCCAAGACGTTTGCTGAAGCGCTGCTTCGCCCGGACAAGGCGAAGTGGATCGAGGCCGCATTCGACGAGGTGCAGGCGCTGGTCGACAACGGCACGTTCGAGGTGGTCGAGCTGCCGCCGGGCAAGCGCGCTATTGGCAGCCGGTGGGTGTTCAAGGTCAAGCGCAATGCTGATGGGTCTATCGAGCGGTACAAGGCGCGCTGCGTCGCGCAGGGCTTCTCGCAGCGTCCCGGCTTCGAGTACACCGAGACGTTTGCCCCTACGCCAAAGTGGGCCGCCATCCGCGCTATCCTCGCCCTCGCCGCTATGGACGACCTCGTGCTCTACTCCATCGACATCAGCAACGCGTTCTTGAATGGCGAGCTGGCCGAGGAGATCTACATGCGCCAACCGCCCGGCTTCAAGCTCGGCATTGATCCTGACAAGGACTATGTCTGGCGCTTGAAGAAGTCGCTCTATGGGCTGAAACAGGCGAGTCATGTCTGGCACAAGACGCTGAACAAGGTGCTTGTAGAGATGGGCTTCACGCGCATCCTCTGCGACCACAGCGTGTGGGTGTATGGGCGCGGCGACGCGCGCATCCTCGTGCCCGTCTTTGTGGACGACATGACGATTGGGTGCAAGACTGACGCGCAGGCGCTCGGTATCATTGGCGAGCTGAAGAAGCACTTCAAGCTGCGCGAGTTGGGTCCTACCACCTGGCTACTGGGCGTTGCCATTGAGCGCGAGCGCAGCCAGCGCACGCTGTCTCTTTCGCAGCGCCAGTATGCCACGGACGTCCTCGAGCGGTTTGGCATGGCCGACTGCAGCCCGGTCACCACTCCGCTCAACCCCTCGCACAAGCTCAGCGCCGCTGACACTCCTGTCACGCCGGAAGACATCGAGTTCATGTCTACCCGCGCCAAGGAGTACGCCTCTGCCGTTGGCGCCATCGCCTGGCTTGCCCTCGCCACTCGTCCCGACCTCGCCTACCCGGTCTCCGTCCTCGCTCGCTTCACCGGCAACCCCGGCCGCACACACTGGAACGCGCTCAAGCACCTCTTCCGCTATCTCAAGGGCACGCTTGACTACAAGCTGACCTACGACGGCAAGGCGGTGAATGCGCGCTCCGAGCTCTTCTACACCTACACTGACGCGGACCACGGCGGTAATCCGGACAACGGTCGGTCTACCAGCGGCCAGATCGTCATGATGGCGGGTGGAGCGGTCTCCTGGTCGTCCAAGCTGCAGACTATAGTCGCGCTTTCGACCACCGAGGCAGAGTACGTTGCGGCGTGCTCTGCCGGCCAGGAGATCCTGTGGATGCGCAACTTTCTGACCGAGTGTGGCTACTCGGTTAAGAGCGCGCCCTCCACCCTCTACATTGACAACAACTCGGCGCTGCAGGTGGCCAAGAACCCGGAGCATCATGGGCGCATGAAGCACCTGGACCTGCGCTTCTACTGGCTGCGCGATGAGGTGCATCGCGGCAGCATCCGCCTTGTCCATCTGCAGACAGCGGACATGCCGGCTGACATGCTGACCAAGGCCTTGGGCCGGGTCAAGCTGCAGCACATGGCAACGCTCTCTGGCCTTGGAGTTGGGCGCTAGGACGTGCTCGATCAAGGGGGTGTGTTGGAATCGGTGTCTACGCGCTCTCTAGCGCCTATGGTATTTTTCTGCGATTTTACAGACTTTTTCCCGGTACTGTACGCTTACTTACAGTCCTATCTCTGCGCTCGCGCCTTATTACCGAGCGCCACATATTTCCTCGGCATTTGCCGTGCCCTCCTGCCTAGAGCGGCGCATCCGAGTCTTTTCTCTTCCTGACTCGTTTGCTGTCGCTCTAGGTGCGTAGTTATGCGTTCTGTACTGCTGAATATACACCTGACTCGTTTGCTGTCGCTCTAGTGTGATCACTGGCTCGATTCTGCCTCGGACACCGGTGCAAGGCAAACTCGCTCGCAATCATGTCCTTGACCGTCTCGTAGGTGAGCGCCTTGTCGAGCAGGAGGGACGTGTACATGTTGGCGTGCTGCGGGTTGGGGGAGGCGGCGAGCGCGCGCATGGTGACCATCGCCTTCAGCTCGAGGTCCATCTTGTCGATGTCGTAGCTGGTAGAGGGGCGCAGCGACTGGACGCGCGTCATGGCCTCGTCGACGCGCGAGAGGAGGTCGGTGAGGGCGGTGGTGGCCTCGGCATCGTCGCCCAGGTTGACGTCGAAGAAGTCAGAGAGCGCGGCAAAGCGCGTGCCGGCCTCCTGGATGTTGAAGGCGGTCTTCATCGCGTCGTAGAGGTCCTTGGGCGTGCTGCGCTTGTCCTTGAACTGCGGACGAAGCGGCTCCTCCATGGCGAGCCAAAGCTCGCCAGCAGCCTTCTCCAAGCGCTGCTCATACTCCTCCTGAGTGCGGTACTCCGCATCAGTGACCGCGCTGGCGTCCTTGGGCTTGGGCTTGGTGACAGTGCCCTTGGCATAGCGCCAGAGGCCCTTGCTGGACAGCCAGGGCTGGATCTCGCTGTCCCACCAGCTCCAGTTGAAGCGGGTGAGGATGGGGCGGCCGTCTGAGTCACGCTTCGACATGGCGCAAAGGGACGGTTGTTGGGGACGATCGAACCGGCGAAAGTGGACGAGAGTGGGGTCGACGTGTAGGGAAGAAAGGCGCGGAGTGACTAGAAGTTGTTTGGAGAGGAACGGACGCGAACTGCGTGCGCGACGGCGAATATGAGGGAGGGTGAAAATTTGCGGTGATCGGAGGTGCTGGACTTCGCACGGCGATAGCGGCGGTACTGGCGATTTTCGCGGAGCGCGGCTCGGGCACAAGGTAGGGGAGTATCTTGCGCGTCGAATGCCGCTCGAACGGAGGGAGTCGCAGCTGGTACGCGCGCACAGCGGCGAGTTTGAGTCGGGGTGTGGAACTGGCTGATTGGGGCAGCTAGAGCGCGGGGCTCATAACCTGTCCGAGGCAGAATCGAGCCAGTGATCACACTAGAGCGACAGCAAACGAGTCAGATTCACAAGTAGCGAGATACAACGCATAACTACGCACCTAGAGCGACAGCAAACGAGTCAGGAAGAGAAAAGACTCGGATGCGCCGCTCTAGGCAGGAGAGACCGGCAAATGGCGAGGAAATATGTGGCGCTCGGCAATAAGGCGCGAGCGCAGAGATAGGACTGTAGGTAAGCGTACAGTACCGGGAAAAAGTCCGTAAAATCGCAGAAAAATACCATAGGCGCTAGAGAGCGCGTAGACACCGATTCCAACAATTGCCGGCTGAAGGAGCTCGTCGACACTATTCTTCATGCACGCCTCGGCCCCGACTTCCCCGGTGTAGGTCAGTGCTGGACCTATTGCTTTGCTCAGAAGCATGGCAACGACCTGGCAACCGAGCTGGCCACTGCGTGCAAGGCTGTTCGTGGCGGTGCTGTGAATCCCACTGCGCTCGATGCGTGGTTTCACAATGTCCTGGGGCCGCAGAGGGAGGGGGTCGAGGTGGAGAACATCTACGGATGCGATGAGCATAGCTGGAACGGCATGGAGGGGCAGCGTGAATACGTTATCGTTGGGCGCAAGTCGAAGGGTCGTGCTCATCAGCAGTCCGGAGGTAGTCGCGAGAACATTACCGTCATCATTACCATCTGCGCAGATGGTACGGCTCTCCCGCCTACCGTCATCTTCGAGGGGAAGGGCTATCAGGTGAGCTGGGGCTTGCCGGACAATCCCCTAGGTGCCTCGTACGTACTTTTCAAGGTAGCGATACCCCATATACTGACTGAACCTGCAGCGTTGGCCACTCCCTGCGAGGATGGACGAATGGCGAGATTGGTGTCGTGTGGATCAAGGAGTTCGACCGTCTGACGAAGGCCAAGGCTGCAGGCCGTCCTCGTCTGTTGCTCCTCGATGGCCACAACTCGCACTACACCCAGGGCTTCCTCGAGTACGCGCGTAGTCACAACATACGGGCCATATGCTACCCAGCACACACGACGCACATCTTGCAAGGCCTTGACGTCGTGGTCTTCGGTCCCCTGAAGCGCGCGCTGTGGGAGGTGTTGAGATGGGAGGGCGCAAACACAAACAGCAGACCACAAGATGACGGTCAGAGACAAGGTTAAGTGACAGTGTGATACGTGACTATAGGTAAGTATCCCCTTTGGGACGGTCCAAGCACACGAACTCCAACACTCCCACCTGTGCGCCGGACTGCAGAGAGACTCCCACCTAATCCAGCAACTCCCACCTAACCAGCCAAATCCTACCATTACGTGTACAGCCTAGAGACTGCTCCCCACGATCCACCGGCACCGGAAAAATTGAAGGCATCATCGTCGGCGTCATCGGCAGATGGCAGCGGCGGGGATGGCGAGCAAGAGGCAGCGGGGGAGGGCAAGCGACGAGCTGGGATAGTGTACACACCAAAAGCTGACTGGGCGAGGTGCTGGTGTTCGCCCTCTGCCTCCATGACCGCGAGCGAACTGACCATGTTCGCGTTGAGATGCACGCGGTCCGAGATCTTCTGCCGATGGCCTCGGGCATGTTGTACATGCAGAAGGCGGCGATATGACCTGCACGCCCGCACCGATGGCAGTCGTCACCGTTGACGTTGCACCAGCGGTAGCCCTTGTCGTCCACCCATCCTCCAGTCAGGTTAGCCTGACGACCATCAGGGTGCCGTGGTACACGCGACCCTCGCGCCGCATTTGCAGCCAACAGCGGGCTGGGAGAGTACTCCTCCTTCTTGATGACGTCAACGTTGAGCGCAGGGGAAGACGTCAGGGTAGAGATAGCGTCGTTGAGCTTGGACTCGGTGGTCTGCGCGAGGATGGTGGTAGTGGAGATGAAGGCATGGTGGATGTTCATGAGAATGACGTCCAGAATCTCGGTGTCCGAGATGGTGATACCCATATCCTTCAGAACCTGCGCCTTGGCCCGCACCTCGACGATGAACTGCTCAAGCGACTGGGTGGGGAAGTCGTGAGAGCATTGGTAAAACGTTTTGCGTGCAGCAACGCGCCGGGCCCTGGTCGAGGCAGTGTACTTCGCCTTCAGCGCCTTGTACAGCTCCTGGCCACCACGTTTCCCTGGCACCCCATCCTTCACATCCTTCTCCAGCATCCCAGAGAGGACATACCCGATGGCATTGTTGAGCATGCTGGGAAGCGCGCCTATACTGCTTACCTGGTGGTAAGGAGCTTGGTATGAAGCAAGCGCAGAGGTAGGTAAAGACCTGTTATTCTTGGGGCAGATTGGGCCCTCCTTATATATGTACAGGATGGTAGGTAGCATGTGATAAAGCAGTGAACAAGTAAACAATAAACATATGATGTCAACCATGTGTGTCCACGTGTGTCCATGCGTCCGTCATGTGAGTCATGAGTCATATCATGTGACAGGCCGATTGTCCAACACTCCCCCTCGCTAAGTATTGCGGCGTAGCGTACGCAAGCGGATGTCTTCATTGGCCAATTAGGACGAGTTAAACTCAAGTCCCAGTTGAGATCTGAACTTCTCGAACTTGACATGCCCAAGGTTCTTGGTGAACATGTCCGCAGGGTTGTTGTTGCCATCAATGAAGTACAGCTCAACCTCCTTCTCCTCGATCAGCTCGCGGATGTAGTGGTAACGGATGTCAATGTGTTTCATCCGGCGGTCTCGGTAGGCATTGGAGCCCGTGAAGAGAGATCCCTGGTTGTCACCATGGATAGGAACGGGAGTGATGATTTTGCGCTTGAGTTCCATAAGGATACTCTTGAGCCACATCACTTGGCGGCTACAATCAGAGAGCGCCATGTATTCTGCTTCGGTCGACGAGGCTGCGACTGTGCGCTGCAATCGTGACTGCCAGCAGATGATCCCGTTTGCCAGCTTCATGAAGTAGCCGGTGGTGGATCGCCTCTTGATCGGATCAGATGCCCAATCCGAGTCAGTGTATGTGGCCGAGGCAGAATCGAGCCAGTGATCACACTAGAGCGACAGCAAACGAGTCAGATTCACAAGTAGCGAGATACAATGCATAACTACGCACCTAGAGCGACAGCAAACGAGTCAGGAAGAGAAAAGACTCGGATGTGCCGCTCTAGGCAGGAGGGACCGGCAAATGCCGAGGAAATATGTGGCGCTCGGCAATAAGGCATGAGCGCAAAGATATAACTGTAGGTAAGCGTACAGTACCGGGAAAAAGTCCGTAAAATCGCAGAAAAATACCATAGGCGCTAGAGAGCGCATAGACACCGATTCCAACAGTACGTGGTTGGTCCGCCATTGGAAGCACCGTCGTAGACAAGTGCATAATCCCGAGTTCCAGCAAGATAGTGGCAGATATACAGCGCTTTATTCAGGTGGTCTCTCGAGGGATTTGCGGCAAACTGTGACAACTTGGTCACCGCGAAGGCAATGTTGGAGCAAGTGCCCAACATTATGAAGAGAAGCGAACCAATGACTGACTGAAAGGTCTTGTGGAGTTCGGGATCAACCTCATCCTCGTTGAGCTCAGGCACATAGCCGGCTGGTAGAGGGGTTGGGGCGAACTTGCAGTTCTCCATCCCAAAGCGCTTCAGCACCTTATTGAGATATGGGATCTGATCGATCTTGATCTTAGATCCTTCTTGTCAGATGCGTATGCGCAGGAACTCCGAAGTAGCTTCAGAATTACGGCATTCCCATCGCTTGTTAAACTCAGCCTTGAGAAAGGCAATGAGCTTCTTGTCCTTTTGGAGAAGAACAGAGCGTCATCTACGTAGACTAGAAAAAAAGCGAGTTTGCCGTTAGAGTCTTGGTAGAAGAACACGACGGCATCCAATGTGACTTGGACCCAGCCCATGGCTTTCGTGGACTTGGTAAGCACCTTCCACCATGCTAAGGCAGCTTGTTTGAGTCCATAGATCGCCTTGTGCAAGCGCATGACTTTGCGCTCTTGGCCCTTCACCGCGAAGCCTTCGGGTTGTTCCATGTAGACCTCTTCGTTCAGGTCCCCGTAAAGGAAAGCCTTGGAGACGTCGAGACCTGACCAGTGCCAGCCTTCAAGCGCTGCAAGTGCCATGACTAGGCGGAACGTCTCATACCTGACAACAGGCAAGAAGATTTCGTCATAGTCGATTCCCTCGACCTGACTGAAACCCCTGGCGACGAGGCGGGCTCGTTTGCGGCCATCAGATTTCTGATCAAAGACCCAGTGGCATTTGATGACCTTTCGTCCTTTCGGACGATCTATAAGGGAATAGACTTTGCGCTGACGGAGTGCCTCTAACTCCTCGTGGCAAGCATTCATCCATTCCTTCTGTTGCGCGGGTGGCAACTTCAAGATGTCTTTGAACGTCCAGTCGCGTATCTTGGACGTGTCAGGAAGAGTGTCATCATCAACCGGAACCACTTTAGAAAGCAACTCAGTGATGAGCTCTACTCCCCCTTCCCGGCATAGCTTCGCCATGCGGGCTTCGTCCTCATCCAGATGCTCTCGAGCATCTGCGCGCGAAGATGGCTGCAAGCTAGGGCCGGGAACCCTTTTCTCAGCATCAGAGGTGGCTTTCGAGCGCGAGCTACGCGGTTCGTTGTTGCCAACCATCTTTCTCCATTTCGACTCGCTCGAGACATCGCGTTCAATCTCCGCTAGAGCACAATCTCCATAGATGTTATCAGGACTAGAAACCTGGGTCCGCTGTCTTGTAGACTTCCGAGTAGGTTCAGGAGGTGGTCCTGCTTTCTTACGCCCTTTGCCACGCTTGGGAGCGGGCGGAGCTGCCCTGTTAGGACCATGCAACCTGCACTGCTAAGCCTGAGATCGATCCCCTTTACCCCTGATTGGATTAGCTGTTCATGCGCGCCCAGAACATCGCAGGGAAGAGGGGGAAAAGACAGGAAGGACAGGAAAGGATTGGAAACAGATAAAAGGAAGAGAGGATCAGGAAAGGAGTCAAGGAAAGGTGCAGGGTCGACTGAGGAAGGAAGAGGATGGGTCTCAGAACTCAACAGGGGGTTTATCCTGGTTGATATTGAGCCTGTCTACTAGGAACTAAGCTACTGGCTTATATACTAGGCAGACAGTGGAATAAGGAAAGTCCGGAATTACTAGATAAGGAAAGTGCGGGAATCCGGAATAAGCGGAAACTAGGAAAGCACATGGAAACGCGGAAGCGAACCGTAAGTGCAGGGCAGGAAGGGGTTAGTGACATAAGTGTCGTAACGAAGGAGCGGGAAGGAAGCGGGAATCGTAAGCGGAATATCGTAAGGACATGAAGCGCACCGGAAACTCGGAAAAGCGGAACGAAGCGGAATCCGTGTAGTATATAGGAAACTCGGAAACGAACCGGAAAATGCGGAATCTGGAATGGTGCGCTGGAATGGGTGTTGCGTGCACGTTGCACGTAACATGCCCCTGGAGTCTGATCCCGGCGATCAAGCGGCGGGTCCTGACGATTCTGATCGTTATCATCATCATCAGGTCCTCTTTGAGGAGGGAAAGGTGGAGCCGGAGCAGCAGGACGCGGAGGTGGGAAATCCTCATCATCATCGCCTGGCATGTCTCCTGATTCCTGTGGGGGATCTTGTGGATCCGCTGGATCATCATCACGAAGTGGGAAATCTTCCCCAACTGGTACGTGTTGACGACGAGTGCTGTCAGGACAGCGGGGGAACAGTGCTTCATCAAACGTGGCCTGAGTGCCAACGAAGAGAGCACCGTTTGCACGCATAAACAAAAAGCCTTTTACCCCATTGGACATGCCCAGGTACGTCATCAGCTCCGCTTTGGGCGATAACTTATTCTGGCGTTTCTCCTCGGGGATAAAGACGTATGCGGCGCAACCAAAGACCCGGAGATGAGAAATATCCGGTTTGTCCTTGTAGAGAGCTTCGTGCAGAGTCTTCCACTTCAAACGCCGAATAGGCGTCCAGTTGTAGACCCGAGTTGTGTGTAAAATTGCGAACTCCCAGAACAAATTAGGCAGGCATGCGGTAAAACGCATAGACTCGGCCTTGTCCATAATCGTCCGGTTGAAGCGTTCGGCACGACCGTTCTGCTGATGAGCATAGGGTGCGCCTTTCTCCACGAGGATCCCATTTTCCTCGAGAAATTCCTCCATACCCATTCCCTGAAACTCTCCCCCATTGTCGATGTGCCACTTTTTAATCGTGGTCTCGAACTGGTTTTTGACCATAGCAATAAAATTGCGCATGGCCTGTTTGGCGTCAGACTTCTGCTTGAGGCATACTGTCCAGCCATAGGAGAGCGCTTCGTCAAAGAAGCTCATGAAGTAACGATACTTGTGATAAGATATCGTTGGGAATTGTTTGAGATCCGAATGGATTAACTCAAACGGTTTCGTCGCGCGATGCTCCGAAGATGGAAAAGAGCGAGCGTGCATCTTCCCTTCAGCGCATCCTCTGCACGGACGAGGGTCGGCAGGAAACTCAAGGTCTTGGGGAAAGCCCTTGGTGTGGTTGCGCGCCTGACGTAGAACGTCTTTCGACGGGTGCGCAAATTGCCGGTGCATCATGTCGTAGTCCACCTTATAGATGAGGCTGACATTCTGCAACGTTTTGGTGACAGAAGGTCTGCACCATAACCAGTAAATCGTGGATAAAGGGTGGAGCGGTGTAAACTCTATGATCGAAAGAGGAGAGTTCCTTCGATGCAAGCTGATGCAAGCAGCGTTTCCGCGCATTTGCAATCCACTCTGTTTCAATAGAGTGCCCAAGGAAAGAAGACGACTGTGTAATCCAGGTACATGATAGACCGGATAAATTTGGGAAGTCATTACTTTCCTTTGTCCATGCCGTGTGACATAGTGATCCACAAATGCTGTCCCGCGACCAACTACGCGTAAAGACGCACTAGCTGATGCTGTCTGCAGGGGTTCAGAATCCTCAATAGGTTCGTACTCAGCAAGATCACTCTCATCCGCAGTCACATGCAGTGAGGCGCCATAATCGGCCATCCACAAAGGTGGGAAGTTGCCGAAATTCTCAGCGGATTTCCCCTTACATCTCGGACACGCAGCAATATTGGAGTGCACACAAAATTTATTCGTACAAAATTCATGAGATCCAGTCATCAACGAATGTAGTACGGTCCCCGCTGCAACAGTAATTATGCGCTGAGGTGTGGCACTGTGAGATTTGCGCAGTGGTCCAGAAGAGAAGGGTACTTGCCTTTTGGCAGTCTTGGCAGTTGCCGCGTCGACGGACTCCAGCATAAAGCTGTTGACACTGTCCGTGATCGACTTCATCAGGGCTTCGTTAGAGATCCCCTCGCCCTGTGCCTGGAGGAGATCGTTGGCGGAGTTGAAGGGACTGGCACTCTAGTCCAGATCGATGGTATCGCTGCCAGACGATCCGAAGAAGAGGGAGCTTTTGTTGCTTTGCTGCGCAGAGGCCATCTCAACATCAGGGATCGAGTCGATCTTGGCACGCTTCGCCGGAGGAGCGAGATCTTCGAGCTGAAGATTCGAGCCAGAAGCCTTGGGGGTGGGGGAACCCATCTCCTCGTCCTCGTCGTTGACACGGGGGATGCCGCGGTCGTTGACGATCTTGTCGAGGCGACGGAACACCTGGGGCGTCACCGTGATGTCCAACTCCTTCCCAAAGTCGAAGACGGCTCGGGTGCTCTTGGAGTGATCATTGTCAGCGACAGCCTCCTCGTTCTTGACGGGGGGCTTTTCAGTCACAGTGCGGACAGAGGTACCGTCCTTCGTGATGAGCGCGATGTGGGACGTCTTGGTGGCAGGCACCGACGGTGCGAGAGGAGCGGGAGCGTGCAGCGAACTGATCATCCCAGCCATCTCCGAGACGCCATGAGCGTGAGCGTTGCCGCCCTTGCCCTTGCCAGAGTTCTTACCAGCACAATTGCCGCGATTCTTCTTCTTCTTCTTCTCAGCGTTGTCGCCCTGCTTGGGCACAGAGCTTCCGCCCTGTTGCTGATTAGAGTACTTCGGATCATCGCGCTTGCGCTTGGTGTTGAACTTCTGAGCAGTGGCGCTCGTGCTCATCCCCTGCTGCGAATAGTGCGCTAGAAGCGCATCGCGAACAGTCGAGACCTTGAGCATAGTCTTTGAGTGAGACTGAAGGAGATTCGTCGTCACGGGCTTGACCCGTGCAATCGCAAGCAAGATCATGGCCTGCAAGAACTCGGGAATGGCGACATTCTCGTTCTTCAGACGCGTGAACTGCTGGAGGATGACGTTCAGCTGCGGATCTGGGTGCTGACACTCATCGAACTTAGCGTTCAGAGCGGTCTGCAGGTACCCGAAGATGTCGGCCAGCTGCGCTGAGCCATACGTCGTATTCAGGTACTCCCAGAGCTTCTTAGCAGTCTTCATGTCCTCATCAGGGACATTGTCAATGAGACGCTCGTCAATGCGCATGATGATAGCACCACGCGCTTTGCGGTCGTCACTATCGAACTGCTTCAGCTCCTCCTCGTTGCCCTTCACTTCCTTAGTGGAAGTGATTGGACTTGGCTTCTCCTCAGTCAGGACATGGTCAATGCCCTGGAACTGGAGGTAGGCCTTCATCTTCTTGGCGTAGGACTTGAAGTCCTTGCCGTTGAAGACGGGCACGGTGGAGGTGAGGGTGTTAGACATTGTGATCTGGAAAGATCGTCAGCATCGTTTCGCATGTCATCATGGAGGCAGCATGTTGGTAAGGACTGCGCTGATGAGCGAAAGAGCAATGCGCCCTGAAGGGCCAGCATCTCCGCTAGAGATGGGCACCTTGATCAAGCGCGATCAGCAGCGATCATGAAAGATCAGCAGCGATCAGCGCGATCCGGCATGGTTTCGCCAGCGCTTGGAGCAGCTAGTAGCGAACAGGCAAGCGAGCAAGGCGCTGCTCGTCATCGCAGCCAGCAAGGGTGCAGATGACATGAGTTGCAGCCACTGAGGCGCTACTCATTGTGCCGCTGCCACTGGGGTGCTGAACACAGCTCACCGGGGCTCATAACCTGTTGAGCATGCTGGGAAGCGCGCCTATACTGCTTACCTGGTGGTAAGGAGCTTGGTATGAGGCAAGCGCAGAGGTAGGTAAAGACCTGTTATTCTTGGGGCAGATTGGGCCCTCCTTATATATGTACAGGATGGTAGGTAGCATGTGATAAAGCAGTGAACAAGTAAACAATAAACATATGATGTCAACCATGTGTGTCCACGTGTGTCCATGCATCCGTCATGTGAGTCATGAGTCATATCATGTGACAGGCCAATTGTCCAACAGGCATTGTCCAGCGCTGTCTTGGATGGATCGAGCGCAGAGTCAGCCACAATGTGCTCGGCACTGACGCCAGTGCAGAAGTCAATGAAAGCCTCTGCAAATGAGTGCCAGTTGGCCTCGCCTTGCAGCTTCTCTGACTGCTGGAAGATAGCGACAGCATAGGAGGGGAGGGAAGACATGATGAGTGGTAGATGGTGCAGATAAGACTGATTGATCGAGTGAAAAATTTTAGAGAACGAGAGAATGGGTTTTTCTGGAGGAAAAAGCGAGTTCTGAGAGGTTTGGGGGGTTTTCGGGTAAAGACTAGAGCGCGGGGCTCATAACCTGTTGAGATGGGAGGGCACAAACACAAACAGCAGACCACAAGATGACGGTCAGAGACAAGGTTAAGTGACAGCGTGATACGTGACTATAGGTAAATATCCCCTTTGGGCCGGTCCAAGCACACCAACTCCAACAGGAGGAGCGAGTCAAGTGGGAGCGCATTAACGACAAGATGAACAAGAACAACTTCCTCACAATCTACGCGAAGGCCCATGTGCGTGTCATGAAGCCGCCAATCATCAAGTCTGCCTTTCGTACGACCGGTGTTTGCCCGTTCGACCCGACCGTCGTGGCCCCCGAGATGATCGTGCCGAGTCGGGAGACTTCGAATGCGCTGACACTTCCCCTCCCTCCTGCTACGCCAGCTTGGGTCATCGCGCAGCTCATTGACAAGCTTGTCATTAAGCACGACCATGTTGCTGCAGTCAACATCCACAATGAAGCGTCTTGGACTGACGATGACGTGGACAACTCCTCGGACGATGGTGAAGATGGCAGCAAAGGTATGTCAGCTCATGACGGTGAGTCAAAGTTTGTGTCTTGCAGCATAGTGATTGATAAAGTACACACAGAGATACGTACATCTAGTCCTATCGCAGCAGATAATCCTCCCCGCACACCTCGCACACCAACTCAGCACGTGTCCCGCGCCCCCGCTCGCCAACCTCCTTGTGTACGCCTTGTCGAGTCGCAACCAGGCAGCAGTGCATCGCAAGGCCATGCACGGGCGGTCAATCAGGACGCGATGGAGCGCTTGGGCAAGACAAATCTGGAACGTCTCGTCAAGTCCTTCACCAGCAATGATGTACAGTTCCGCGCACCTTTGGAGATCCCCCGCAAGAAGTCCCGCCCATCGGAGACGCTCTACATACAGCCCGAGAACGGCCGTGAAGCCGTTCTGCTCTCTGTGCTGCTTGACCTCGAGGACAAGAACGAGCGCTGCCGGCGCTTACTCATCAAAAATCAGGCCATCAACATCTTGAACCAGCTGTACAATGCGCAACTGAAGGAGAAGTTAGCCGAGCGAGAGACGAAGGGGAAGAAGAACACACCGAAGGGTCACTTGATGGGCGACGGTATGCCTGTCGTGCTCACGGGAGACGAGTTCTATCAGCACGTCGTCGAGTTTAACGAGGACCAGAAGCGGCGGTTGGCGGAGAAGGAGGCTCGGAAGGTGGGCAGGGAGGGTTACAAGCGGGCATTGGAGGAGTGGGAGAAGAAGCGGAAGGCGCAGAAGGACGCATGGGAGGTCTGTCGGGAGGAGTGGCAGGCCGAGGTCAAGCGCTGGGAGGGCGCGAAGGTGCGGTGGATGAAGAGGAAGGCGGAGGGGAAGGTATCAGGCCGCTTTGCCCAGAAGAAGCCTCTTCTGGGCACGCGGCCCCCTGCTATTCTGCGTCCCAAGCTCGCCGAGAGCAATGCTGACATGGGGGATAGTGAGGGGGAGGCCTTCGACGACGTGTCGAGCAGCGATGGCACCTTGGAGGACGAAGAGGATTGAGTTTGATTGATGTTCCCACGGGGGTCAAATTGTCCCAAAACGTACATATATTCCCCTTCACTTCTTCAACCTTTGTACTGCTCGCTCTTTGCCATCTGGCTCTTCTGAATTTTCATACAAGTAGGTAAAATCATGAAGTATATGATACAGCTGACAGCAAGGAGCTGCGCTTCCGGAAAAATATTCAGGACACGGAAAACAAGAATGGGGTCAAAGCATGTGATTGTTGACTGTAGTATTTTCCACAATATTCAGGCGCTGGAAACAAGAAAACCCGTTGCAGTGTGGTGTGCACAATGCTGTGTCATTAGTAACAAGCCTGCCACTGTATAAATACGAGGTCTGTACAGCGAAGAATACAAGCGAAATTATGTCTTTCTCTCCTTCTGTACCCTGGGATCGACTCTGCAAGTGCAACGACGTCCTCCATAGCACCTGCATGAGGCGTGATGTTGCCTCTGACAATGCCTTAGGACACTTGTTGGCCGGCTCGCTTGCTGAAGGCCAAACACCCTACCCAGTCGATCCACGCCTCTACACTCAAGGTTACTCGACAGCCGTGGCATCTCCACTTCCCCCACCCATGCCTCCTGCCACCCCCGAGCATTATTCGCATCCGATATCGCAGCGGCTCCCTTTAGGTGACCGGACCCATGCCTATATAAACTTGGGTCAGTCGCGCAACCTCCCTCAACAGCCTCCTCCACCATCCGCCTTCGACCACTCGCCACCATCATATTCTCAGCGTCCCTCTCACCTCCAATCTGCTCCATCCTTCACTCTGTATGCCGCAAGACCCGCCTTGACCAACGCTTCCACTGCACCACAAAGCGAACATCCGCGCGCGCGAGCAGCAACTCGAGGACAATCGCCGACGTCGAGAGCAGCCTCCTCAGGCAGAAGCTCCTCCTCCACCTCCGGCGCCAGCTCCCGAACCAGAACCTGCACCAGTGCCTACCCAGGGGGGTGGGGATCCCCCGGGTCAACCTGACGAAGAGGGCGAGTCAGTGAACTTTGCTTTTCTCAATGACGAACCCTTCGCGGGCGTGGCATCTGGTGGTCGGTCGAGTAGTGGCACACAGAAGATTCCCATTACTTGGAAGCAAGGCATGGCGAGCTCAGAGCGCGACAAGTGGTTGGACGCACAGTCGGAGGAGTTGAACAGCTTCAAGCTGAATGACGTCTACGAGGAGGTACCCATCCCGGAGGGCGTCAAGCCGATCACCTCCAAGCATGTCTTCTCTCTGAAGGAGGATGCTCAAGGGAACATCGAGCGGTACAAGGTGCGCATCGTGGCGCGCGGCTTCACTCAGCAGGAAGGAGTCGACTACCAGGACACCTTTGCGCCCGTCGCAAGCCTGGAGTCCATCCGCATCATCCTTGCCCTCGCTGTCCGCCTCGGCCTCTACAAACGCTCTACATGCTTCCCCCGACTGGTGTGGACATCCGGGAGGGCTACTGCTGGTGACTCAAGAAGTCAGTCTATGGCCTCAAGCAGGCCGGTTGCACGTGGAACCAGACGCTCCACAACAAGCTCAACGAGCTTGGGTTTGTGCACCTAAACTCGGAGACTTGCCTCTACGTCTTCCGGGACGGTAAGCAGGTCTGCTTCCTCGTCGTCTACGTCGACGACCTCCTCCTCGCCGCTACCTCGCGTCCTTTCATGGACAGCATCAAGAAGAAGCTCACCGCCTCCTTCAAGATGCGCGACTTGGGTCCCGCCAAGTACCTTCTGGGCATCGAGATCATCTGGCACCCGGGCAAGCGCACGATCTCCCTCTCCCAGAGGAAGTACATTGACACCGTGCTTGAGCGCTATGGCATGTCGGACTGCACGGGCGTCAGCACCCCCATGTCCACAAGCACTCGCATCTCCGCCGATGACCCGAACAACAACGAGGTGCGCACTCATATGGCCTTGGTCCCCAGAGGTCCCGTTGTCTCCTACCAGAGTGTCGTGGGCTCGCTCATGTACGGGATGATGGGTACCCGACCGGATACCGCCTATGTGGTGGGGGTTCTTGGCCACTATAGCGCCGCCCCCAAGGCTTGCCATTGGGAACTGGCCAAGCGCGTCCTCCGGTACCTCAAGAAGACGCGCGACTGGTGTCTGGTCTACGACGGTGCTGATGCTGGCATGGACCTTGACTTCCATGGCTACACTGACGCTGACTGGGGCGGATGCAATGTGATGGGATCCGTATGCTCCTCGAAAGACGCACGGTACAGTCTGCTTAGACGAACCACACCACCCAACACCAACAACCACAACAGCAACGCGCGTCTAGCTTCATAGCTTCGTCCGAGGAGCGAGCGAGTCCGCTTGATTTGTATTGCTAGGGGATACCCTGCGCCTTATTGGCGGCTCACAGACGAGCTGGACTGATGCGAGACTTCAAGCGTGCAGGAGGCACCTCAGAATTCACACAAGCATTCCCAGGTTTCAGTTGGAATCTTCACAGGCTTATCAGGCGCTCAGAAGTCCGAGTTTTATGATGTACAACATGCTGGCAGCATGAGGGGTTTATTGGTGTATAGTAGGTGGTAGGTTGTGGAACCCCTGCCAGAGGCAGCAAAGGGGACGCTTGGGGGCGACCTCCGGGCTCCCTGAATCGTATGTAGGGCTCGGTATATAACGGAAACGCATCGCCTCGGCCGTCCAGGCCGAGCGGTAACACACAAACCCTATCTCTGAGTCAAAGTCCAACTATAACACTTATCCACGCGTTCTCCTGTCCAAATAATCGCGCAAATACTCCGGTTCCTGGCGGTAAAGCGGTTGACTGGTCGGGTATCCTCCTGCGCAGCGCGGCTGGGCACAATCTCCACACGGTTTGATGTTTACCAAGGGCAGTGCCTGCTTGGGTTCCACCGGTCTCCTCTGACTCGACGCAGGCTCAGAGGCCTGTCCGGTGAGGAGGACACAGTCTGGACGGTTGAAGCGCGGTGAACTATGCCCTTGCCAAGGCGTGCGCAGCGTTTGGCGGCGCCGACACTTGGTCCGGAGTTCAACTCGGCGATGTCCGAGATCACGAGCTCGGACCCGAAGTTCTGGTCTCGGACCCGAAGTCACGTGCAGTCACGTTGATGGTTCGAGTTCCGCTTGAGCGGCGCTCTGCGTGTCTCCGCATGACGGCGAGCGACAAGTAGACCTGTCCGAGCCCCAACAATGAAGTGTGTTCTTGAAGCGGTAGGCAAACCGACTGAAGGCTTGTGGCGCAATGAGCGCAGCTACTTGATTAAGTAGGGCCAGCCAGAAGACTCGCAGGATGTCATCGACGACGCTCAGACTCGTGATCCGGCGCCGAAGAGCTCGCTGCTATCCCTGGTCAGTCGTTGCAGGTGGGTAAGACCGCACGATAGTTCAATTGATGGTTAGGAAGCGTAATCTCCTTGTGTTTCTGTGCCATAAAATACCCTCGACGCGCCCGTTGTACAGTCACAATGTCGATGCAGTATATACGGATCCGCCCATACAATCCAGACTGATGCGACGAGGTATCGCCTGTTTATGTATGTTTTCCGCGTTTTTCGGCCGACAGGCGTATCAAATGACACATCCAAGTCCACCTCCGGCTTTGTGTTCATCTCAAGCCGGGGCGCCATTGGTTGGTCCAGCAAGTGGCAGTCCATGGTCTCTCTCTCGTCTACCGAGTCAGAGTACATTGGTCTAGCTAATGCCGGCCAGCACTTGGCGTGGCTCCGCTCGTTCTTTGAGGAATTGGGACGTCCGCAGGCCAGCGCCACCAAGCTCAGGTGCGACAACCGTGCGGCCATCATCCTCAGCCAGGATGCTCAGTTCCGCGCCCGGACCAAGCACATCCAGCGGAAGTACCACTACATCCGCGATGGGCTGGTTGCCACCGGCGAGTGCGTCGTCCTTTGGTACCCCACGGACAAGATGGTTGCGGACATCTTTACCAAGGCACTACCTCATGAGAAGCATCTCAAGTTCTGCCAAGGTATGGGTTTACGGCCAGACTCGAGTGGGAGTGTCAAAAGTAGGGTATAGAGGGGCGAGTCTGCCTCCTCCCATGGGCGGACAGTTCACCTCGCGTCCACGCTTTTGGTCCGCCTTCCTATTCGGGAAGAACTTTCCCACGCCTCTCCGGGGGCGTCCGTATTTATCCGTACTGTACATCTCTTTTCCCTCAGTCGCTATTCCACTAGCAGGAAGACTGAGGTCTTGCGCGTCCTGCGCTTCTTTAGCTCGTGAAAGTGTCCACGTGTGTCCATGCATCCGTCATGTGAGTCATGAGTCATATCATGTGACAGGCCAAATGTCCAACATTTTTCATGACTCCTCTTCCTCTCTGTGTGGTCTTTTCCTCCCTCTCTCCTCTCGCACGAGTAGAGCATATTTTGAGAAAAAAATCAGACACCGAAAGTGTTGCAAACCCCGTTAAGGGTCAGTAGGCCTGCCCCAAGTCCGTGAGATTTAGGTACTATTATATGGGCTCAGTATCATACAGAAGACAAGGAATGAGTATATAGAGTAGAGAAAACTGGACCCGAGCAAGCATAGCAGGACCATACAGACACATCACCGCGCATAGGGATGGAAATTGTTCTGTCCACGGTTTGTTACCCGCGCAGGCCCTGTTCCCCCACCCATGGCCCCCATGCGCGAGTTCATCATGCCCTGGCGCATCATGCCCATACCCATGCCACCCATCCCTCCCATGCCGCCCATAGCGCCGCCCATCTGGCCGAAGTTGCCCATCGGTCCACCCATACCCATGCGCATGGCGCCCATGCCCATGTTCCCGGCGTTGCCCATAGCACCCATCCCCGCGCCCGTCATCCCGGTGGCCATCCCGGCGCCCATCGCGCCACCCGTCATGGCGCCTGTGCCCATGGCCGCCGGCATGTTGACGCCCATCCCGCCACCCGCCATTGTGCTGCCTCCCATCGCGGTCATGCCGTTCATGCCGCCGCTGCCCATCCCGCCCATGGCGCCCATTCCACCCATTCCGTTCATCCCCATCATGCCGTTCATGCCCGCCATGCCCATGCCCGCCATGTTGCCCATTCCACCCATGCCCATCATCATCGGCATCATGCCCATGTTGCCCATCATAGGGTTCACCATGCCCATCCCGCGCTGATTGAACATCGCGTTCATCGGCTGCGAGATGTAGGTGCTACCATTCTTGGGCTCGGTCTGTTGCTCGCTCGCCGCGCGCTGCTGATCGCGCTGGCTACGAGGTTGCGCCATCTTGACTTCAATCTAGAGGGACACCATCAGCATCATGCCGCTATACCACGCTACGCAAGAATTGCGCGAGCCTAAAGTAAACGACGACGAACCTCCTTGTCGTCGAGTACAAGGCCAATCTTGCCAATGATCTGCTCGGGATGCGGTATGTCCTCGAAAGTCACGAAACCAAACCCTTTCGATCGCCCGGACTCGCGATCCACCATGACCGTCGCGTCGGCCACCTTCCCGTAGTTCGCGAAGAACTGCTTCATGGAATCTGACGTCGTCGCTGCCGCGAGCCCACCGACAAAGAAACGCGTGTTGCGAAGGTGCTCTTCTCGCGGAATGGCTCGCTTCGGGTCGATCTGTGAACGGTGGCAGTCAGCGCACGACAACGAACGCGGAAGTACTGAACAACATACCGCCTTCCCGTCCAGGAAATGCTCGCGAACGACGACGGCGTTCACGGCCGCTGGATCCTCGAACGTCAGGAACGCGAAGCCGCGCGAGCGCCCGTTAGGATCACGCATAATCGTGACCGCGTCTACCTTCATGACCCCGTCAGTCTGGCGCGGGCGAATGCGTCATCGACAAGCGGGCAGTACCTTGCCGAATTCGGAGAAGTAATTCTTCAGACCCTCTGTTTGCGCGATAGGAAAGACAGATTTGATTAGCGCTACATAGAACAGGGTATGCAAAAACAATATACCGTCTGTAGTGTCCCAGCTGAGACCGCCGATAAACATTTTGCTAGCCGTATCGAGCGTATGCGAGATCGAGAGCGAAGGCAAAAGGTGGTAGCGCGGGTATGAGGAGGTAGCAGACGTAGTGGAACGATCCAGGGAAGAACAAATCAGTAACGGCAGCGTATGGGGGTAGCGGTTGACGTAGGATATCGTATCGGACACGCGGAATGCGAGTAGGTGAAGTACCGGTATGTGCGTCGCGTGCCTGTTCAATATGCAGGGAGGGGGCGAGAGACTCACCCAGCGTCATGCATCTCCGACGGCTTCTTGCCGTATACGGTACCGTCGGATGAGTTTGTTGCTGTGCTGTCCACCGTGGCGATCGCGTTGGTCGTCTTGTTAGACTGGCCTTCTTGTCGCATATGTTGCTGCTGGTGCTGTTGTTGAGACGGAGTGGACTGCTTATGAGTTGCAGAGAATTGTTGTGCTATCTGTGCAGAGTAGGACAGAGAGTTGGCGCTGGCGGATGAAGGTTTGGCGGGGAGGGAGGATACGGGATCTTTTTTGGCAGCTGGCTTGTCCTGCTGTGGCTCGGGCTCTTTGGGGTCACCGTACACAGAGTCAACGTCGTCCGCGTCTTCTCCAGCTTGGGCATCATGGTCCGCCGAGTCGTGCTGCTCGGAGTTCGCAGGTACGTAGTCTTGAGCGTCGTCGTCGCCATAGATGTCTGCTACACGTCAGTGGCCGACCGCAGCTTTAAAATTGCGGCCACGCACCGCCGTAGAGGTCCGAGTCCGACATTGTGAGGCCAAAAAGTGCGAGCGAGCGACGAGGCCGTGGACGTCGAGGTCAACAGTGAAGGCGGTCGGGGACGGAATGGGAATTGTGAATTTGTGACTGAACTCGTGATGGACCGTGATGCGCTCGTCACACGCGTGACGGACGCGTCGTGTATGTGACCTTTGAAGTTCAACTTGAACTTTGAACATGAATTGGCGCTCGGAGTTCATGTATTCCCCTTGCCCTCGCTACTTGGACCCCAACATGCTGCCCCTCTGTCCCTGGTTCCTAGAGACCATCCCACGACGATCCTGCTATCTGCGTATGCCATGATCTCCTACATCAATCGCATACATCGGCAAGATGACTGAAAGCGATTGACTGCATGTTTTATGTACTTCCCCAAGCTCCGACATGAGACTTCTCGACGGAGAATGTTCTGCACAGCGATCCGACGGACTGACATCGACTAGGGCAGTGCCATCTCGGGTAGAGCCCCGTGCTTCCGGGAAAGACATTCTCTGCCTCAGAAGCGCCTGTTCCAATATAGGTCTGAATAGCCCTCTCCTCGCCGTGACTATCGGGAGAAACCCGATCACATGTACCCGCCAAGCGGCCGACCGCGTCCCACGTTGCTCAGGACCGCCGTCGAGCATATTGTGCAGACCAGCGCGGCCGCGTCTTTAGCGCCTGTTTCAACAGCCCCTCGAGGGTCCGATGTATCTTGACGTCCCTGGAAAGACAACTGGAGCCTGCATCCTCGGTTCAACGGGTTGCCTGACTCGCGCACCCCACACAGGCGTCACATCAGCCTCCCTTGATGAGCGGTAACTCGTCAGTAGATCACTGCATCATGTAACGGCACCCTATATAAGGCCTCCGTACTCCCTCTAAACTCGTCTCGTCCCTCCCTCCCTCCCCTCCGCCAGCCATGCGCTCCTTCCTCTCCTTGACCGCCTTCACGGCTCTCGCCCTCCGCGTATTGGGCCAGGACGTCGATCAGCTCAAGAAAGACTTGGGCGATGTCAAGGCTGTCTTCTCAGAGGATAGCGAGTACGCTACCGCTGCCCAACCCTGTAAGTTTCCATACACCTCTAGCGTAGCGCACTCGCTGATATCGTACCCCCAGTCAACCTCCGCTTCCAGGGTATCGCCCCGATCGCGGTCACGTACCCGACTAGCGTCGACCAGGTCAGCACCGCCATCAAGGCCGGTGCGGCTCAGAACCTGCAGGTTGTCGCTCGTGGCGGTGGCGTAAGTCGAAGATCCTTATCACATTATGTCCTCATCTAATCCCCCACAAGCACAGCTACATTGCGAACGGCCTCGGTGGCAAGGACGGCGCTCTCGTCGTTGACATGAGCAAGTTCAAGGACATCCAGGTCGCCGAGGACGGCTCCGCTGTCATCCAGACGGGCAACCGTCTCGGCGACGTCGTTCGCGTGCTCAGCGAGAACGGTCGTGCCATGCCCCACGGCACCTGCCCCTTCGTCGGCGCCGGCGGGCACATGAGTGCGTTCATCTCCCGCACGTCGCGTCCCGGACCTTTGGCTCACCACCCGTTTCAGGCTACGGCGGCTACGGTTTCACCTCCCGGCAGTGGGGCCTCGCCATGGACACCATCGACTCCGCGGACGTCGTCCTCGCGAACGGCACGGCCGTCACCGCGTCCGAGAGCGAGAACGCGGACCTCTTCTGGGCGCTCAAGGGCGCCGCGCCGTCCTTCGGTATCGTCACCGCGTGGCACTCGCACACCTACGAGATCCCGCAGAACGCGACCGTCTTCACGGACACGTACGATCTCTCGGTCGAGGAGGCCGTCGACATGGTCGACGCCTTCACCGCGTTCACCTTCTCCGGTCTTCCACCCGCGTTCGGTTCCGAGCTCACCATCACGAAGGGTACCGAGAAGGGCCGCGTCACAATCGCGCACGTTGGTGCTCTTTACGCCGATGTCGAGAAGCTTAACGAGACCCTCTCCGGCTTCACCGACAACGTTCCGGAGCCTATCTCCGTCGTCCGCTCTCCTGGCTCCTACGTCGATTCCGTCTTGAACCTCGGCGGTGTCGACAGCCTCGACGTCTCCAAGCCCGACTCCAACGACACCTTCTACACGAAGTCCCTTGTCATCCCCGAGGCTCAGCCCATGACCGACGATGCCTTGACTGCGTGGTTCGACTACAACGCCAACGAGGGCTTCGACTCTGACTTGGTTTGTACCGTCCTATACAATACTGCGACTTTTGCTAACACCGTCCGCAGGAGTGGTTCCTCCAGATCCAGATGTACGGTGGCAACGGCTCCGCCATTAACCAGATCGACACCGACGCCACCGCCTACGCGCACCGCTCCTCGCTCTACACCTACCAGCTCTACGCCTCTGCGCCCAACCTCAAGCCGCCCTTCCCCGACAACGGCTTTGACTTCCTCGACAGTACGTCTCGCTAGCTCTCTACTCACTCCACTTGCCGGACCTAACTATCATCCTATCCAGACATGGTCGACACCATCGTCGGCAACATGCCCGCCGACTGGGACTACGGCTCGTACCTGAACTACGTCGAGGAGCGCCTCGAGAACTGGCAGGAGCTCTACTATGACGGCCACTACCAGAAGCTCCAACAGATTAAGGCGCAGTACGACCCGAACAACGTCTTCCATTTCCCGACCTCCGTCGAGGTCCCCTCGGCGTAAGGGCTATCAGGGATCACGGCGGTGACGTCCTGACGGGCACCAGGGAGAAGGGGTAGCATGCATTCATGGCGGACTCGCGAGCCACCAGCTCGCTATGACATTCATTATCACTGCGTTTGCACGGTTACGCCTATCTATCTATCTACCCTACTTACCTCCACTAACGGCGAGTCTAACTCACGAACCATCGTATATTTATTGTATCTTGTGCGCGCTCCTGGGATATTTGCTGTGTAGGCTTGTGGGACCTTTGACCTGAAACTGAAGTAACATGTTCCTGCAACCTATCGTTAGTTGTTTGAGTTGTCGAGGTGTAAGGCATCGCGCCAGAACACAAGAGGAGAATTATTTCTATGTCGTCGACATGACGGTGGAAAGCACGGAGGTTTGATGGCGACATGAACGGATCAATTCAGCCCGGAGCACGTGGTACGACGCGCTTCGAGAGGCGTCAGCGGCAATACAATGACAGGCGCTTGCTCATCACCACCACCGAGCTCGCCGACCACATACGCTGCCCGTCGCCTCTGACGACGTCAAGGATTTGCTCTTGAGCGCCACCCACACCTTCATCGTCGTCCATCTGCACATAGGAAGCCTCCGAAGATGCACTCAGATGCATTCGATGTGATTCCTTTCGAGGTGAGCTCTGGCGAGGTGCCCGCATATGGCGATGGCGGGCGATCTGAGAGGACGCGCTGACGCCCAGTAGGATATTAAGGGCGAGTGGAAGAAGTTGGGATCTGGCTCGTTCGGCAATGTGTACAAGGGTGAGTGCTGTCATCTGCTGCTATATGCGTTGCTAACGGTGGCGGTGGCGTAGGGACCTACCTCGGCATCGATGTAGCCATCAAGGAGGTCTTGCCCTCGACGGATTACGATGTCGCAAAGTACTTTGAGCGCGAATGGCGGCTCATGAAGGAGACGCGGCACCCTAATGCTGGTATGTCGTAGTCCACTGCTTCGAGCAATACAGCTGACAACATTTGCAGTGCTATTCATCGGTCTCAGTCGCGCACCTGAGCCGGATAACCGCATCTTCATTGTTTCCGAGTTTGTCGACGGCGGTAACCTCCGCCTCTACATCCACAACAAAAGCAAGCCCTTCTCGTGGAACATCCGCATCTCCTTCGCGACCGACATCGCGCGCGCGCTCGCCTACCTCCACGCGCGTCGCTGCATCCACCGCGACCTCAAGGGCGAGAACCTGCTCATCACCTCAAACGGTCGCGTCAAGATCACCGACTTTGGCTTCGCGCGCATCGCAGCGCGCAACGAGGAGGAGAGCAAGCGCCTGACGTTCTGCGGCACGGACTCGTACATGTCCCCGGAGATCCTCCTGGGCGACGAATTTGACCTCCCGACGGATATCTATTCGTTCGGGATTATCTTATGCGAGATTGCGGCGAGGAAGCTCGCGGACGATCATACGTTCAAGCGAACGCCGCCGACGTTTGGCATCGACGAAGACGAGGTGCGCAAGCTTGCCAGCCCGGGGTGTCCGCCGGACTTTGTGCAGCTGGCGCTGGACTGTTTAGCGTTCGAGCCGAAGGCGAGACCGACGACGAAGGATATTTTGGCGCGACTTAGGGTCATTGAGGCGGAGGTTCTCGCGAGGCCGAACGAGGGGGAGGACGTGCATGTCGGCAGCGTCAAGTTTGCGACAGGCGGGAAGAGGCCTGGTCCGGGGCCGAGGATACCCAGCTTTGGGATGGGAGTTGGCAAGGATATCCGCAACAGTGGCGCCTCGTCGGACGACAGCGATGACGATGACCTTATGGAGGCGATTTCGGGGCTTTCCACTATAGGACTCAACAGTGAGCTGCTTCGAGTGTTAGATAGAACAGCATACTCATTCTCTCCTTCTAGGCCACGAGCCCCTTCTCACCCAGCACGAGAAAGAGGGCACGGACGGAACCGAGTACAGCACAACCGTCATTCGCGCCCACCCGCACCAAGCCAGCGACGTACCGCCCTCACTATCCTCCATCCTCACTATTCGTCCAGAGGACCCGAATGGGACGCAGCGCGTAAACCTGCCAGAGGAAGATCCCCTAGGAAACTCAGACCTTGACTCAACGGGCTCGGCAATCCATGCTCAAAACGGCTCGTCCGGCGACCCCCTCGGCACGTCCTCCCTCATGTCCATCGCGACCCTCGACTCGTACCACACCGCGGCGGGCGGCTCGTCGATCATCGCAGGTGGCGCGTCGTCTATGATCTCGAGCGCGCTCGCGACGGAGGGCGGCTCGACGATCCGCTCGCTGCACGGGAACTTCGACGCGCCGCTCGTGCACCGGTTCACGCTGCATAAGCCCGGCGCGCGACCGAAGAAGAGCATCAGTGGGAACGTGACGCCCAGTACGCCGACGAAGGCGGCGGCGGGGACTCCTACCAAAGGGGGCGCGGCGGCGATGAAGGGCGGGGAGGCATGGAGTCCGCTGGACCTGTTCTTCTCGAGCGGCCTGCTGGTGGCGAAGTGCGATGTGTGCCAGAAGAGGCTGGGGTGGAAGCCGGTGCTGGAGTGTGATGATTGTGGGCTAAGGTGAGTGGGACAGTTCCTTTTCTCCCTTGTCTTCCAGAAGTGGCTGGCGTTTAAGAGTGCGGGATTCGGGGGGCCGGCCAGGGACTGTCAACATTCATCTTGAATGTTCATAGGAGGACCGAAGCTGACTTCATCCATAGAGCTCACGTCAAATGCGGCGAGATTGCCCCGAAGGATTGCGGTCAGCGTCCGGCGCGTCCGCTTGTGCATGCAATCTCCGCCACGAAGGGCGGGAAGCCGGCGAGTCCTCAGCGATGAGTTCGCAGCGAGCCATCGAGTATGCATTCCGCCCATCAACCTTCCCCATCGATATACCCTTCACATTCCTGTAACGATTTGTTGTCACCCCGCTTCGGCTTGTACTGCGGTGTACGTTTTCGCGCCGCACTGTAGTCCACTTCTCGTCACCGTGTACGCCTACCCCTCATCACCGTGTCCGAGTTTTCATGCTCGTCGTCGCCGTCCAATCGTGTAGCCTTCCTCGGAACCTGTGGATAGCATTCCTCGGATTTCGCGTATTCTTTCTCGAAGTCCGTGCACTCTTCCTCGAATTCCGGAATCACGTGTTATGTTCGTTTTGGACCTTTCCCTCACGCAACGGATTCTGGCATTGTATGCATACCTATATATCGGAGACAGCGTAGCTATAGCACACCAACTGCATGACGATTACATTGTGGCTGCCTTTCATAAACCGTTCATAACGGCATCGCTGATATTCATACACGAGCATAATTTGGGTGTTTAGCCGTGGACCAATGGGAGGGCGGACGTGCGGGGTAACGTACTCGATTTCGCTTGCTATTGGTCGTATGCTTGCCACTGCTCACATCTTCTTCTCCCGTAGGAAGCTGTTACCCGCGACTTGCGGGGTCAACGCCCGGAAAGACATGGAGATGGGCAGTGTTGAATGTCGACCGCGAATAGCGTACCGCCGCTCTGGATGGCTCACACGACGTCGGTACTGGCCTTGTACTCGGGCGAATAGAGTCAGAGGGGCGGACGGGGAAACCGTGGGTGCCGACGACGGCGCGGGATCAGGTGAGATCAGGGCAACCAAGGCGACGACGATCGGCGTCAAGGGCAGCCGCCGCTCCGGAGCACCTCGAGCGCGTGTTCAATTGGCGAGCTCAGTCGCGCCCCGCATTGGCGCTCGTCCTTCTTCCCCTTCTACCGCCGTTCTTACTTTTATACCACGGGCGCAGGCTGCCCTCCCCGCCCCTTTTACCACTTCTCACCCGTGCTTGCATGGTCGGCTGGTCCCCCACGGCGCCTCAGTGCGTTTAACAAGCTCCCTTTTTCCTTCGATTTTCGAGAGTCCCGCGGCGTGCTCCTTCGACTTCAGTCCCCCTCTTTTCGGCGGTGATGCCCTCCCAGAAGGCGCGCCAGTTTGTCAAGGACACGCTCAGCTTCTCGCGCGTCCGGGTCATTGTGAGTGATCGTGTGCCCCTCCCCCCTTGCTGGTGGCGCTGACGGCGACGCGGGCAGTATGCGCGCATCACGCTCACGCGGTACACCACGCTCTTTTTCTTCTTCGCGCTCCTCAGTGCGCTCGTTCTGCTCGCCCTGGAGGCTGTCGCGTACAATGACAACACGATGGCGATCGACCACCTCGATGGTATCGTAGCACAGGGCAGCCCCACCAACGGCATCTTTCTCCAGAAGGGGGACATGCTCGAGGTCTGCTACGATGTTCCGGGCCGCCCGGCCAGTATGTGCCGCCCGCTGTGGAAGCCCGACCATAAGGATCGGAGGGCGTTGGTGGAGGTATGGCGGAATTCGCGTCGATGCGGTATGTTCGCGCTCACGGTACATCTCAGGCGCCGCAATACAACAGCTCGGCATTTGACACGCTCGCTGTGGATGAGGAGGGCAATGCCCATGGTGTCTGGGCACCTGCCGAAGATCCGCAAGTCGCTGCTACCGTCGAACGCGTCCTCGACTCTGGCAAGAAGGTCCAGCTGGACACGGCTTGCGTTGAGTCCCTGGAGTGGTTGTCTGACATGTGCGTCCTCCCTCGCCCCATACAGCTCTCCTACTGACCCATTGCACAGCCTGAAAGACTCGCGCCGTGAGGACTTCGCTACTGGTGCCTTCCACATATGGCTGTTCAGTGTTGCCGCGGTTACGGTGCGCCTTCTCATCAACCCGGCACAAGGTCTTGCTGACCAGTGTCCATAGATCCTGAACGAATCGCTACCGCATCTTCTGGCGTCGGGCGTGTCCCATATCCTCGCGACCGCGTGGGCAGGATACCGTATCCATCAGACACTCGATATTCGCTCGATCTACTACCGGCTTATTTCTGCGAGCGACGGTGCGGCGTGTGGCGACGTGGATATGCTGGGTCCGTGGTGGGATATGCGCATTCAGCATGCAATCCCGATCGTGATCTTCAATGCGTTGTCCCTTCTGTGGTTTATTGCGTTGAGCTTGCAGCTGTTTAAGGTGCGCATCGAATTGCAATGGTTGTCGCGTGTATTGACGCCTAGTCAGGTGTACAAACATCAATCCTTTAGCCGCGTCGGCGCTTCTCCCCAGATTCATAAGGTGTACAAGGTGAGTCATCAATTTCCCTATTTGTGCTCGAGCCTGACAAGGGCACAGATTGTATTGTCTTTGTCTGTAGCCTTGCAGCTGGCGCTGTTCTTCACCTTGGTGACAACAGCCATCTGGATAGACAAGATCGCGAGAGGTAATATCCGCCGGATCGCCTTCCACTCCGCGATTTACAGGGCAGCATTCATTGTCACTGCAATTGTACGTTTACTTGGTGCCGGTCCGTACACTCAACTCACCTCGATTGTAGGTGGAGCTGCCGTGGATTGTGCTCGGATGGATCTCTGTTCGACGGGAGTGCAGAGTTATGTTCTGCTTCTTCGCGCTCATTTCGATGATATTGTTCGGCATTTCGACAGCACTGTTCTGTAGTCCTCGTGAGTGCTCTCTCTCTGTCTCTTCAGACTCCAGAACCTGACACGCTCGCATCAGTCTATCGCTACGTCCTCGAGACATGGCCGTTCTTTGCCTCGATGAGCGTGTTGTCGTATATCCTTGTGGTGACCGTCTCGGTGTTGGGTATCATCGCTCGCATGCACTTCGGCCGGGGCCTCAAGCACTACTGTAAGTGGACTAGCTTCTTGCGCATGCTTCATCATTACTTATCGTCGCCTAGTGGAGGTCTCCGATGCCTTGGAAGACGTCGACTTCACGCCTGTCTACTTCAGTAATGATCCGAAGAAGCAGTCGCTGGTTAGCGTCGACTTACCCACGATGGGCTACTCGCAAGAGAAGGCCCAGCGATCATCCATCGACAAGAGCGCCATGAAGGACTTTCACTTCGAGTACCCGCCGCCGCCAGAACCGCCCGCGAAGGTCATGCACGTGGAGACAGCATCCCTGTACTCGCGCGCGCCGTCGACGCCGCGCAAGATCACGGTCACCCCCAGGTTCCTGCGCGACTCGTACCAGTCGAAGGTGTCCAGCAACATGCGCGACTCCCTCGTCTCGCGCGTGTCGAGCAAGACGACGGTGGGTACGAAGGCGAAGGTCTCGCAGGTGTCGCTCGTGTCGCTCAACCGCATGTCGAGCGCCTCATCTGCGTCGTCGTCGGCGGACACGGACGACTCGGGGACCATTGCGTCTTGGTCGGCCGGCAGGAGCAGTATTGCGAAGAGCACGGTATCGAGCAGCACGGCGATGCCCGCGGCGCCTGTGCCCGCCGTCCCCGCGCGCAAGATCGGCCTTCCGGGAAACCCGCGACCGCTCACACGCGGCTCGAGCTTGACACGCAGTGGAAGCAACGCAAGTAGCGTTGGACATGTATCACGATCACCTCCGAAGGCTGGCTTCTTCTGAACTATACTCGTACGCTCGTAGGGACTTTCGCAATGTAGCTGTAGGCGCCCGATCAACTGCATTGTACCTTCATTCGTTTATTTATTGGTGGAAGGATGTAACCGTGTCAGTAGGTATAGTACTCGCATAACTTCGCCGCTCAGAGCGGCCTGTACAACAAGCTGCGAGAAAAGAGGTCCTCCAGACAGAAAATGATTGTATAGCCTCAAGACACGATGCCTCGACGCTTTCCTTTCTCTGAGCTTTTAGTCAAAGAAAATGGCGACGCGCTGCCTTGGTCGAAAGCCTCGACGTCCCGCCCAAGGCTCCTATCAAGCGATCTCTCTAGCTACCATGAATGAGCATGCTTTTCCCCCAGATGCGATAGTGACCGTGCGAAATCCCGTGATCCGACCCACACCATGATTCCCAGGTTTATCCCCAAGCGCCCACAGTTTTGATATCCGCACTCATTGACTGGCGCCACCAAGGATCTCTCAATGCTTTCTGAACTTATCTCTGGCGTCACGCCCCTACTCGCCTCGGCTTCGCCAACCTCCGACTCGATACAAGCTCAGACTTCCATGTCCGTGCTCGAACACGGCTCAAAGCTCCGAAGCCCGGCAGTGAGGACCGCTTTACCTGCCTTCAACGACGTGTCCTATAACCTAAAACGGCTCATCTGCTCCTGGGTATGGAGACCTTGACCCGTCTGTTTGGCAGCGAATGCGTCACTCTGGACACCAGGCAACCAATCTTTTGCCAAAAATCGCTGCACGCCATCCTTTTGAAGCCTTTCCCGCCATCCCGTGCTTGCGGCGTGGCGGGATACCCGGTGTCTCTTCCACGCAGAAAGTGCACAATGGCAAGCCGTGCGCGATGGCCTCCCCGAGTGTATACAAACGCGTCTCGATGCTCGGCGCCCTCGGAAGGATCTTCAATTGCAAGGACTCTTGAGCGGGCGAGTCTCGCGTATAAATAATCTTACGCCCATGTCGACTGCAAGGCATCATAACCATGGTTCAGTTGTCCTTCTACCTCTTCGCAGGCCTCCTCGCCTCTCTCAACGCTCTGCTCCCCGTCTCTGCCTTACCCACCTCCGACCCTCACCCTCGCTCATCCCCAGATCCTGCCACTCATCGCTCCCAACCCCGCATCCTCATCCTCGGCGCCGGCGTCTCCGGCATCATCGCCGCCCGCACCCTCCACTCGCACGGCCACTCCAACTTCCTCCTCGTCGAGGCGCAAGGCGAGATCGGCGGGCGCCTGAAGAGCGGCACCATCGGCGGCCACACCATCGAGTACGGCGCGAACTGGATCCAAGGCGTCGACGCTGCGAGCCTGAACGGGAGCACGGGTTTCCACGACCAAAGCGCGTACTACCGGGAGCACTGCGCGAAGGACGACGAGAAGACCGTCAACCCGATCCTCTGTCTCGCTCTCAAGCACGGGCAGAAGACGGTCAACAACGGGTTGTATGGGAGTATCAGTATGTTCCTTAGGTCGCATCTGTTGTCCTATGTCTTGATGCTCACCTTTCTCTAGCTACGTATTCCGACACCGACGGTCCCGTCAATTACTCTGCCACCATCGCAGCGGCAGATGCCGCGTTCGAGGCCGTCGTCACGGAGGCTGGGGCACAGATTACTCATTATGGGCCGGACCTCAGCGTGAGGGTAAGTTCGATATCTCAACTGCCGTCTTCAGATACTTCATTACCATCCTTCAGGCCGCAGCTTCAATGGCCGGCTGGCGACCGCGTACGAAGTACGAGGAGGTCGCGGATTGGCTGATGGTGCGCGCATCCATGAAGGTTTACTTTGATTTTTGACGTTCTCTTTCTCAGTGGGACTTCGAGTACGCCCAAACACCATCTCAGACATCCTGGATGGCGAGTAGTTGGGTATGCACTACCCCCAATTCTCGCAGGCCGGACTCTGACCAAAGACCAAGGCTCACAACTTCACCTTCAACCTCTACGGCGACGACAACTTCCTCAACATCGACCAACGCGGGTACAAACATTTCATACAGGGTGAGCAACGCGCTATCACTTCTGGAATTTCCTTACTCATTTCTAACTTTGAACAACTCCAGCCGAAGCCGCGACGTTCCTCAGGCCTCAGCAGATCGTCTACAACGCGACTGTGAAGAGCGTCGACTGGTCGCGCGCGCACGCGACTGCGACCCATTCGGGCCAGAACCTCGTCGCCGTCACCCTCGCCAACGGTACGACCCTCGCCGCCGACTACGTGATCTGCACGTTCTCGCTCGGCGTGTTGCAAAACGACGAGGTGGAGTGGGTACCGAGATTACCGGGTGCGTGATTTGCATCTTCATATTCTCGTTTTCTCTGGATGTTCGCATACCCTTACCTTTGCCACCATAGATTGGAAACGCGAGGCCATCGCCGCATTCACGATGGCGACGTATACGAAGGTCTTCGTCCACTTCGCCGGTGAGGACCGCTTTTGGTTCGATACAGAGGTGCGCATTACGTCCATTCCTTTGAGCTTTCCCTCAGTTTTACTATCCTCTATAAAATTTTCTCCGATCACAACACAATCTATCCACAGATGGCCCTCTACGCCTCCTCCCGCCGCGGCCACTACCCCCTCTGGCAATCCCTCGACGTCCCCGCGGACCACAAACCCCAATTCCTCCCAGGCTCGCGCATCCTGTTCGGTACCGTGACCGGGGACGACGCGCTTGAGATCAGCGCTTTGAGCGGGGCGACGGAGGGGGATGTGAGGGCGAATGTGGAGGAGGTTCTGCGCAATATGTTCCCGAACACGACGCTCCCCGCCTTCAATATCACCTACCACGACTGGGCCGCTGACCCGCTTTTCCATGGTTCGTACAGGTGCGTGCGCATTTTATCTTTCGCTCACCGTTGTCATACTCGTCCTATACTTCGCTTACCTTTTGAACTTCACTCACCTCCCCTATAGCAACTTCCCTCCATCTTGGGACCCCGATCTGCACCAGAACCTTCGCTCATCGGTCGGTCATGGGCGTCTGCGCTGGGCCGGCGAGGCGGGGAGCGCGACGTGGTTTGGTGAGTACAGGGTCTCCCACTAATCGTGACATGACCTCCTTCACACATCACGATGCTCATCGTAACGCAACGCTGAACGTCTGGTACATATAGGCTTCCTGCACGGTGCATACGCGGATGGGAAGGCCACCGCACTCGAGCTCATTGAGTGCATTCGGCTTGGCGAGAAGTGTAGGGATGACTTCGTACCGAGACCGCGAGGGCCGAGAGGCGCGCCTGTATGGTCGGAGAGAGGATAGATCTTGATGAGATTCGGTGCGGGATCCTCTTCAGTATACTGCATTTCTCTCATACTTCTGTTGAACCAAGTTCTACCTCGAACGAGCAGTCCCGCCAGGAGTCTGGATGACATTTTAATCCTGGCATGCGTCTACTGGACTCAGTTCTGTACGAGTGATGGGAAAATATTCTTGCCCTCCTGCTCTGGCCAAGTCCGAACGTTGCGAAGGCCTCCGGCGAATCGGACCGAGTCAGATGCAATCCATTTTGGGAGCAAGGGCCGAGATGGACTTGCCCCTTTTCCTCTTCGATTTGACCTCTCATCTTCCATGGAGAAATACGCTGCGACCTCATTCCTTGTCAAGCCCTTTTACGAGGCTCCCATACCTCTGCCTTCATACGAAGTCCCGCAGGACTGTAGCGGAAACCTGTTATTTGAGCGCTTTGAGGTGCGTCTCCGATCCTCCTCGGTGGGAAGAAGTTCATTTTTCCCAGGCACTCTTCCCCGAAGTTTTACTCCTTAGGGAACTGCGCGGTCATACCATCGGGTTTGCATTCGCGTGTGTAAGAGGGCCCTTGAGAGAAATGCAACCGCGGTACCCGACTAGGCGTGCTGCTATTGATGCTCAGCAATGCGTCGAGTCTCTTACGGTGCACGCCTTCGAGACATGGAAAGCATATCTCTTGGTAGCAAACACCATCCTTCAGGCCATGTTCACGGAGTCGAGCAAACTCGAGCTCATCGCAGCCTTAATCGACGCCCGATCACGCATCGCACTTCATCACGTCGACGACTTACTGCGTAGCATGCGCACGCTCTTCGACGCCTTCCATGCGCTAGAGCAGACGGCAATCAAGGAGTTCACCGAGAGCCGCCTTGCAAAGTTCGTCAACCCCGTCCTCGACTTCTTTGATCTCCGTCGACCCGAAGAGGTATACAAGAAAACAGCAATCGGCATCGCCACGTCCCACCTGCAAGCCCTGCAGACGTACCTCAGCCGCTGTATAGCCCAGGCATCCAAGGCTAGGGCTTCTATCGAAGGCCTGGCAGAGCGGTTTTCTCTTCAGAGACTTGTTGAAGTGCAAAGGGGTCTCACAGGAGAGGACACGCTGGTAGTTCACTGCGCTTAAGCAGCATCATGCGAAGCCTTGCAAGAGGCTCAGCATTGGCGATGCCAGGTGCATATCGCGCCGCTGCCGCAGCACATCCCGTGGAACAGTGCGTATATACATTATTCATTTCCGTTGGTTTCGAGCTGACCGTCTGGATCTATTACAGGATGGCTAGATCCCGGAGCTGTTGAGGTGCGCAATGCACGTGGCCGCCGCACCTGTAGGGCGTTAGCATGCATGGGATGAGCACACTATAGGCCCTTGTAGGGCGCCTCTGGCCCTTGTTATGGTTACGATATGTATATGTATCACCTTCTCTTCAGGTCTTATTGACGTTGTAATTGTACCATCAACTGCGCATTCTTGGACAACAAGTCGAAGTCACGAGGGCTGCAAGCGCGCACGACGCACGAGAGCGCGGTCCGTCAGTTCAGCCCACGATTGCAGGCTCTGGATGGGCTCGTCGTATCCGGGCCGAGCGGTGGGGCCTGAACGCACGTGCGAAGGATATTCCCAGAGGGCTTTTGTTCCCGACTTTGCAGTTCTCGCCCAAGCCCTCTCCGTGCCCATGTTCGTCTCCGCGCACCGTGCTCGAGGCGAGGCTGCAGGCCAGGCGGGGCGGCTGCTGCCCGCCGGCTTTACATAATGCCACGTGATCGTGCATGCGTCCTGCGCCCGTCCTTGTCTCCTCCGCCCACGTCCCCCACACCGCCCGCCATGGCCTCCGCGATTTTCTACCGCCAGTACGCAGGGGAGGAGGATCTACCCCATATCATGGCCCTTGTGCAGAGCGAGCTGAGCGAGCCGTATGTGATCTACACCTTCCGCTACTTCCTGCATCAATGGTGAGCGCTTGTGCACCTCCGCAGCCACTGCACCAGTGCTGACGGGTCTTCAGGCCGCACCTCGCCTTCCTCGTCAGTAGCTCGTCAGCCGCGCGTAGGTATCTCCCTTTTGCTTACGGTGCACCTTCAACTGTACACAGGCATACCCCGCGGCTGATGCGAGCGTGCCGGTCGGTGTGATCGTGTGCAAGCAGTCGATGCACAAGATGAATAACCGCGGCTATATCGCGATGCTCAGCGTGGACAAGCAGTTTAGGAAACGGGGGATAGGTGCGTGGCTTGTCGTGCTACCTCGTTCGCGTCTCATTCGGCCCAGCAAGTACTCTCGTGCGAAACTCGATCTCTGCTATGAAGAAGGATGGCGTTGAGGAGGTGCGCTGCATTCTTTCTTCCTTCGTCCCCAATGTCCCCTGCGTATTTCCCACTGTGCCTTCCGTCATGCCCGCCTATCTCCCCAACCATCCATATCTCTTAGCGCCACGCCTTTCCTCCACTTCTTTCATGTCCGCCTATCCGCCACATACATTCATTTCTCCCGCACCTGCACGCGCCCTCTATATATCTCTTTGACCTACTCCATCGCATCCCCATATAGCTCCGCCCACCCCACGCCCACTCAATCACGCAGTCTCTTTTCATTCAGTGATTTTGACACGCTCCCCCAGGTCGTCCTCGAGACAGAATACGACAACACGGCGGCGCTCTCCCTCTACGAATCCCTCGGCTTCATCCGCGAGAAGCGTCTCTACCGCTTCTATCTCAACGGCAAGGACGCCTTCCGCCTCGTGCATATCGTGCCCGCGGGGCGTGTCAAGGGACCAGGCGGCGGCGTGGGGATGGCGATACCGGGCTCGCGATCAGAGGATTCTTCCGACACAGCGTCAGATTCGTCCTACGAGGCCGACCGAGCACGCGGCCGACGCATAGGCTATCCGTACCGCGCCATACGCGTGTCGGAGCCGTACGACTCGGAGGACGAGGCGTCGTATCGGTGAAAGGTGGCGCATATATGAGCTCCCTAACACCATGGTTCTACCTATTCGCTCGCGCCGCTAGCCAGCGAAGTCGCGCACCCCTGCTCCCGATACCACTTTCACGTCCACATTCCTGGTCCTTCACCCTACCCGTTGTTTGGACCTTGGTCGTCTTTTGCTCTTTTGGTCGCCATAACTCACCTCTCCGTCCTTCTCCTCTAATCAACGTCATACCTCTCACCGTACCTCACCTCGCCGCTTCCTTCTTCCCTCCTACATCTCCTGTCTGTCGTCCCACCTCCCGGATCCCGGCACTCTACGCACTGTAGTATCTAATGGCTTTCTGTGTTGTACTATTACTTACGGGCTGTCTCTGTGGTCATACCAGGCTGCTTATGTGGTTGTATCAGGCTGCTTATGTGGTCATACTAGGCTACTTATGAAGTGGCTGGTATCCCTTTCTGTGGCTGATATCCCTTTCTTTGGGCTGAGGCGCCGTGCGTGAAGGTAAGGTGTGCGCCAAGCAGGCGGCTCTGTCGTAGGGCATCAAGAAAGTATGGAGTATCAGCGGGCACGCGTTTCTGATCGGCGTGGTGTAGATCGCGCCAGCTGTGAGAAAGGATATACTTACGGGCTTGCAGATTGGGCGGATATGAACTGGTCGATGGATGGCTGCGCGCCAACTTCGAGGTCTATCAATGCTATCGTCGCCGTCTTCGATGTGCATACTATCCTCGCCGTCTTCGACGTGCAGACAATCAGCTACTGCGTGCATACCATCAGATACTGCGTGTATTTCATCAGATACTGGTGCTCGACGAACCTGATTTATCCTCTCAGCTCGCAGCGCGCTAAGAAGAAGGGCTCCTCGAGCGGTGCATCAGTTGTAGGCGGCTATGGGCGCATGTGTCTAGTTGAAGATTCGGCAACTGCCGAGGAAGCAGACACTTTAACCGCATTTGGAAGCGCTTGTTCTTGGTTCCCACGTTCATGGCGTGCGGCGCTGAGCGCATAGCTGGCCTTGCCTGCCGCATATACCCCAAAATCATCATCCTTTCCCAAAAATTATCCTGTTTGAACCTACAGCCTGCTCGTATCAACGCGAAACGACCACGCATACAATGACCTAAGATGCTGCTGACTTGTCTGGTATGTCTGGGATATGCTGTCTCCATCGTCCCGTGTGAGTGGGCTTCTGCTTTCGAACTCGACACATAATTGACATCTTGACTAGATTCAGCAGCGAGAATCCGATTCCAGGCGCCCGTATTGCTTTTGTTCTCCCACATCGCAGCAGCCGAAAGGCCGTAACATCTCACTGCAGCAAAGACACGTTGTGTTCTAGCGCTTATGCTCGCCAGGAGGGCGCAGCTTCTGGTTTCCTCGTGCCACCAGATAAACTTCATACCTCTTCCTCCCCTCCGAGGAACTCGGGACGCTCTGAGATGAGCGCTCACCATAGCGCAGCCACGCGGCTACTTCTCATCGTCCAACCCCGCGACCAAGCCTTGAACCCAGCCACCGAGCAGCACACGACCCTAACATGAACACGCTTCAACAACACGACCCTTCGGCTACGCAGCCAAGGCTTGGCAAGAAGCATCGATGGGACGCGTATTGAGGAGGGTTGGCTGCAACTGGTGAGGGGTGTTCAGCGTGCGGTGCGTGAAACTGGAATTCTTTGCTTCGAATTTACGTGCCGAGTGGCGCGAGGCTCCGCCTCGGTCGTTGGGGGAGGTTTTGGTGATTGGGTGCAAGGAACTGGTGATTGCAGTAAGGGTTTGGTGTGCCGTACCAGGTCTTGTCATATATCGGCTGACTGCACCCAGAAGCACCTTTTTTTGCCTCACGACGCACCCCAGGAGGCGGCTTTGTCGATCTCCCCTACGCAGCGGCGCCCGACGCGTGCCAGTGCATTCCCATTCCTATCACAGCTTCACGAGGCTGGCCTGGTAGTCGTTACACGTGCAGTGTTGGGCGGTCATGAAGTTTGCGAAGTGAGCCCTTTGATTCAAGTCAAATGACGGCCCGGCTGACAGACGCGCCATAGGTACCTCGAAGAGGCGCAGGTACGCCTGGCTTCCAATTTCCCCTTGGCTTGCAACTTATCTTAGTGTAGACGCCTGAATGGAAGAAGGCGTACATGTATGCGTCTTCAATTGTCGTGTTCTACGATCTCCAGCTGAATCGAAGATCACAGAGACTACCGCGCTCTCAAGAAGCATATATCCTTCCTGAAGCGCGCCCAAGAGGGCCACGCACATCCAGAGTCCTCCCCAGACGTTCTGCCACCCGCGAGCTCGCCGGCGACATTCAACGTCGTGCTCTCCCCCGTCGAGCCGTCCCAGCCAAACACCATCATCCATGACACGCCCGTCACCTCGGAGCCACCCGAAGTTCCTCCAAAAGACGGGCGAGTGCGCACGCACGACTATGCCCACATTCCGCAAGACGAGGATGATGAGATCCAAACTGAGGCGAGGGACCACGTCGCATCCGTCGAATCGAGCTACGGGACGGCGCGTAGCCACTTCACTAGCCAAGCATCGTCGCTGATGAGGCGGGTAACTGCTCGTATGCCACGCCCTACGAGGCGCGGCACCGCATTCTCCTTCCATGGTGCGTTTGGCCGCTCATCGTCTCACATACATGTCGTTGATTCGTCATATAGACGCCCTGCATCGCGTACCAGAGCCCTTCACCAGCGCGCCTAGTTACGCCGTGCTGCTCACCCTCCTTTCACCTTCTGAGCTTCAGTTCTTCTATATCCTGGACACGGAGAGGCAGAAGATCGAGGAGTTCTACTTGGCCAGGGAAAAGGAGCTTCAGGAGCGCACTTCGCAATTGCGTGGACAGCTGAACGAGCTCATTGACCATCGCAAGCTCATTGAGGTCAGTGTCGCTCGGCAATCGCGGATCAGGCGCGTCTGACCCGCGTCTAGACCGCTAGCCGCAATTCATGTACTCCCTCAGCCTTACCGCAAAGCATCCGAGTGCGATTCTCGTACTTCAAACCGACATCGCTCCCTGCCGCGGAGCGTTCGACTGCCACCTTGGTCGAGCAGAGGGACGATGCAGACCTCGAAAAGGGCCTGCCGAGGTTATCTGGGCACAAGCGCGACTGGTCGTCCAGCTCATCGCTCAGCAAGCGCAATGTGCTCGACCCAGATGACTTCCAGCACGCAAAGAGGTGTTTGAAGAAGGCGGTCACAGAACATTACAGGTGCGTCCAACAACGTAGATGTTGCTTGTCAATCTAGTAACGTGTCATTTCAGAGCTTTGGAGTTGCTGCAGAACTACCGCGTACGTACATTTCGCGCGTATAGATATCACAGACGAGCTGATCTACTCCAGATTCTGAACTTGACGGGCTTCCGCAAGGCCCTCAAGAAATTCCAGAAGGTTACGAGGGTGCGCCGCTCGCACTTTGCGCATTCACGTCACTCAACGAAGGTGCAGATCCAATGCAGCGACCTCTACCTTCGCGAGAAGATCAACACCAGCGCATTCTCCTCCGACCTGAACATCAAGGAGATGATGGCGGAGATGGAGCGCTTGTACGCAGTTTGCTTCGGTGGGCGCCCTCATCCGACTTCCCTCGCATGGCTGTTGATGCCCCTTGTGTAGCTGAGGGTGACAAGAAGCGGGCATCAGCCCGCTTGCGTGCGGCCACAGAGCAGAAGACCCACCACTTCAGCACGTTCCGGACGGGCTTGACGATCGGAATATCGCTGCCACCTCTTGCGTTGGGCATCTATCAAGGTAGGGGCACATCTGCGCACTTAGGTTGCTCGCTCACCGCCTCAAAGCAACCCAAGACTCCGTCCGCGATGACTTCCCGGCCTGGGATGCTCTTGTACTTATTTATGGCATCTTCTTTCTACCCGTTTTCTTGGCCATCCTGATCGGCCACAATATTCTTGTATGGTCTCATACGCGCATAAATTACACCTTCATCTTCGGTAGGCTCATCTCTTGATGTGATCGGCTCCTTCCTGACTCGCTCGACAGGCTTCGACGCACGGACGCGTCTAGACCATCGCGAGTATTTCGAGGTACCGATTCTTTTCTTTGCATTCTGCTGTCGCTAACCTATCGCAGATGCCAACTCGCCTGCTCGCTGCGCTTTGCTGGATGTTTTGGCTCACGACGTCGAAGATTGGCCCTCCTCACCTTTGGCCTCTCGTGTGGCTTCTACTCGTAGTTCTGGTGATAGTGAACCCACTTCCGTTCGATTCTCGATCCTCGCGATACTGGCTACTAAAAACGATCGGGCGACTTTTCCTCTCAGGTACCAAGCGCGTTGATGTGAGTTGAATTGTTGCCACATCCGTCGGACGCCATCCTGATGATTGCTCTAGTTCGCCGATTTCTGGATGGGGTACGCCTTCCCCATTTCAATTGTCCGTACCTTCGCTCACCGTCTCCCAGCGACCAGATAAGCAGCTTGATATTCTCGCTATCCAACGTCTATGTCATCCCCTGCATCTACGCCACGGAGTTCGACGATGACTGGCGCGACCGGTGCATGGCCGAGTCGAGCGAGTGGCCTGTCTTGTTCGCAATTGGCACCATCCCGCTCTTCATCCGAGCGATCCAGTGCGCGAAGCGATACTTTGATACCGGAAAGCTGATCCAGCTGGCTAATGTACGTTGGCTGTCCTTTCCTTCTCCGTGCGGGCTCATGGTCCCCGGCTATAGGCTGGAAAATACGCGCTGGGAATCATCACATATCTACTGTACTTCCGGTGGAGATACGAAGGTGAGCGTGCCGCTGCTGGCTTACGTCGCGACGAACTCATTTCCTCTAGATGAATGGAGTGGACCCTACTACATCGCGTATATAATTGTCGCTGCCTCATATGCGGTTATCGCCTGTGGATGGGTAGGCAGCAGCATGAACCTCTTACGCGATGGGCGGACCTAACCGCTTTCAGGACTTCTTCATGGATTGGTCTATCCTCAATCCGAAAGCAAAGACGTTCATGCTTCGCGACGAGTTGTTGTATGGCAAAGTCTATGTACGTCCACTGGCTCATCCGTCAAACTACGCGTACTGACCATCTTGCAGCTGTACTATATCGCGATTGTAAGTTTGCTCACCCAGGCCAGGTCCCCAAGCTGATTTTGATCAGGTTTACAATATCATCGGCCGCTTTGCCTGGATATTCTACATCGTTGAAGCTGGGCCCGACTTCCTGCTTCGCAGCTTCGTCGTCGGGCTCGTGGAGGTGACGAGGCGTTGGGTATGGAATTTCTGTAAGCATATCGTCCAGATTCCTTTCTACGTCACTGGCTGATGCACGCGCCCTCAGACCGCCTGGAGAACGAGCACATCGGCAATGTGGTACGTACCTTTTCTATCTTCAGTTCCCCTTCCATGCCTGACCATCGCTCTACAGGACCAATATCGTGCCACACGGGAGATCCCGCTGCCCTACTGGCTGGAAGAAGATATTGACCCGGAGGAGGCGCGTCGTATATAATGTTATGCGGACCTTTTATCCCTCATGCTGGCGGACTATGCACGGCTCTACTCATATGTTTCACAGCGCCTACTTATGTTCGACACTCCCTCTTGTTGTCACTCATGGTATTTATATACGTGTCGCATGCAGGTAATTTACAGTACATAGATCATCTTGTTCGTCTCGTCGTAGTTGACATCAGCATGTAGTTGTGTTCAGGAACGAAGTGGCTTCGACTGAGGACATCGCACATTTACTGATGCGTCCACCCTCGCACATCCCACCAGAACGCACACCTCTCCAACAACGCCGCATCCGTCTCTCCCTCCGCCACATACGGCACGCCCGCCTCCGTCACATTGAACAGCACCTCCCGCGGGTTCTCCGCCGCCCAGACCGGCACGGAGGTCGTCTCTAGAAAACTCGGCACTTGCAGCGACAGCCCAGTCACCTTATTCACCGCTCCCAGCACGCCCTCCGCCGCCGTCTTAATTGTCGACCACAGACCGCGTGCATCGAGCAGGTGGCGGCGAGGCTTGCCAGTGAGGACGTAGGATATGAACATGTCCGCGAAGGCGTCTGCAAACTCGGCGCTGGGTGGCGACCAGGGAAAGTAGACGAGGACTTGGTCAAGGCTGAGGGGGGATGCCATGTCAAAGGAGCTGCCGAGCTAAAGACGTACGCCGAGAACTCACGAGCGAAAGAAGAGGTTGATGTCTTGTCCGTGTGCGCCAGGTGGGGTGGCGAGGGTTCCCTACGAAAGCATAAGCCTCTGCGACGTTGGGCAATGCACAAAATCAGCATACCCTATACACCGTATCGAAGCCCTTGCCGATATTGTAGTTCGGGCATACAAAGATCGCTACTTCGGTCAGCACCGCAGCATCCTGCCGTCAATCCAGGGGATATACTCACCCTCTCCCATGACCATCTGCTGCAACCGCGTCGACGAGCCCAAGCCCTCGTACAGCGCCGCGCCCTTCTTCGCCTCCTCCACGCCCATCTTGGGGAACAGCGTTGTGATGTACTCATCAAGGGGCATGCCAGCGGTTTTGGGCGTCACGAAGATGCCGCCCTCGTCCGTGTTCACCATCGCGAGGACTTCGTGCTGTGGGAGTAGGGTTAGTATGCAAATTGGAATCCATGAAGCAAATTGGGCGGGTATCTGTGCACCGACAGAGCCAAGATCGCTCGCGACTTACCACATTCACCTCTCTCCTCGCCACCGCCTCCAACGGCGCCCTTCTCACAAAGTCGCCATCGACGACTGGCGCCATAACAAAGGTCCCGTAGAATGCGCCGGTGGTGAGGTCGTAGTTCACCTCGCGCAGCGTCTCGAAGTCGACCTCGCGCAGGCACTGAAGGGAGTTGCAGCCGATGCGGTTGAGGAGGGAGTGGTAAATAGACTAGAAGGAAGGCGTGAGAGAGTTGTTCAAGTAAGAGGACTTGCCAATGGGCGGGGAGTGTTTACCTCCGGCACCTCATCATCATACGCGTACTCCGGCGGGATGAACAACGAGCTCAGCATCGCCTTCCTGAACAGCGGCGGCTCCGTCTTGCCCCCATTCGCGATGACGTGGTGCAGGACAGAGCCCGCGCCGGCGGACTGGCCCCAGATGGTAACGTCGGAGGGGTCGCCGCCGAACTTGCTGATCTGTGTATCGCGAGTGAGCCGAGCGTGTCCCGATATCCCCATTACGGCGATCTACGTACGTGCTCTTGCACCCATCGCAACGCAAGCTGCTGGTCCACTGCACAGAACCCAGTCAGCTCACCCATTCCCATCCCATAAAGTAAAGACTCGACTTACATAGCCCCGCATTCAACACCCCGTCTTCCTTCACCTCCTTCCCCGCGAGGAATCCGAGGACTCCCAGCCGATACTGAATGGTTACAACAACGATCTCCCCCTTCGCCGCACGTATCAAGTCGTCGCCCGAGTACGGCTCGCCGCCCGGATATCCAGACGAGCTCCCGGTATGATACCCGCCGCCGTGGATCCAGACGAGGACGGGCTTGGGTGAGGCCGAGGATGAAGAGGTAAGGTTGCCGGGGACGAAAACGCTGCAAATGATGCGTTAGCAAGCACACAAGTCAGCTGAATTTCCCAAATCGAGAACAGAAACAAACCAAAACTAAAGTAAACCAAAGCAAAAGAAAACATGACAAAACAAAACCCTCCCACTCACTTCAAAAATAAACAATCCTCTGACTGCTCCGACTGCGTCGCAGGGGGACGCTCCTCGGGTGCGAAGCCCATCTCTCCGCACGCGCACATCGGAGGGTACGAGTCAGCTTTTAGTGTAGGCGCGCCTGGGTCCGGCAGGGGTGCGACGGGGGCCCGGAAGCGTAGGCTGCCTGCAGAGGTAGAGTGATGAGTTCTGTATTCCGAGAGCGTATATAGTGTAGGGGACCGGGATATTACCCAAGTAAATAGAGAAAGAAGGCGTACGTGAACTCACCTATCGGCGGCACCGCGTACCGCATGCCCAAAAAGCGCGTCGTGCCCGTGCTCTCGTCCGCCACGCCCTCGTACTTGGCATAGCCGAGGTCGACGAGGGGCCCCGCGCCAGAGGCATCTGCGACCTCGTCTGCCGTTGTGTTGGCGGATACAACGGCAAGATGCGCATCGAGTCCTAGGTCCGCATCGGAGGGGCTCGCGAAGACGCATGGGATACAGAAGAGCACAAGGGCTGCGCAGGCCGACAGATGTAGAGCGCGCATCGTCTACAGATAGCTGCGAAACCAGTAGAAGGGCAGGCTGCAATCGACTTAGCGTTCGATGAAAGCGGCACGGATAGAGATGCGGTCAAGAAACAGAGATGCAGGTGAATCCAAAAAATAGGTACTACATGAGGATACGCATTCGTCCATTTGACTCACCTTGACCCGGCAGAGATTCCTATCTGGACACGGGATTAGCGATCTCGAGAATCAGTACGCCCCTGAAGAAACCCGACAATTCTCTTATAGCGCCGTCGTGGATCCTGGACCTCGTCAGGATATATCGTGAGTTCTCGTCAGGATATACAGGTTCGCGACGGGCAAGGAACACCGCCCCAGGAGGCAGTACTTCGTGGTGGCTCGTGTCAACCTACGCGTGGGAGGTCCCCACGATTCCTAAGTTATTTGTCCGTGTTAGGGTTTGATGCAGGTGGACCTACAACTTGCCACGTGCTATTCAGCTTTATGTGGCGTTAGGACTCTTGGCTGCGTACACAAAATGACTATACGCATCGTCCCCAGTGTGATCTTCCGAAATAAGGGTAGTACACGCCTACTTATGCTCTACATAGAACCTATGATTTTGGACCCTCGCTTTGAGCCAAACGTTCCATTGTCTCGTGAAAGCCATAAACAACACTCTACCTTCTTGAGCACGCACTCTGAAACTAAGCAGCTGAGGTTGAGCCGCCGAAGATGCACCAAAAAGAGGAGGATGCAACGAGGGGTTAGACATAAAAACTGCGGAGACACAGCAGCAAGCAGATCCTTGATGCGGGTGAGGTCAAGTTCCCCGCCAAGACGGATAGTGGTTAGAATCGAAGAACAAACAGAGCGGACACTGCGCGGTGATACGCGCGAGGGCGGGCGCGCAGCAGTGCAATTGCGCCAAAGATGATCGAAAGTTGACTAGAGATGATCTCGAGGTGGGTTGAAGATCAGCGATAGAGGGTGCGTCGGCGGCTTGGCGTGGGCGACAGCTGGGAGGGTGCACGATGACGATCTGCGCGCAGGCAACGGCGATGCGTACGCAGGCGACGGTAGGTATACGAAGGCGCAGTGGTTCCAAAGGAAGGCGAATGCCAAGCGAGTGTTCCAGCGCAGTGATGCCAGTGGATCCCTTTATGGCCACCATCCTTCGAGCCGCAGAGACTCTTGATTTGCCTTGTCGATTAAGAGTGACGCCTCTGAACAGTCTGGATTATCACAAGCCTACGAACCAGCTTGTAGGAGATGGTCAATAGCCGCAGTCTCTTGAGTGGGATATCACAAGCGCGCCACCGTGTCCGGTCGAAGCCGAGCGCATGAATAGCCATCTTGAAGAATAGGCATAGGCATCGGAACCCCTCTCTCTTCGGGCGCCCTCGCAGCTGACTGCCCTCGGAATCCCTCGCTCGTCTTGTCACCGTCGGTGAGGATCGGGTGCAGGGGACTGCGCGGGTCAGATGACGCGGGCGACGGTCCCAAAATGAAGAGGCGCGCAAGCTTCCGGTCCGCGCAGGGCAAGAAATACAGGCGATGCGCCAGCGATAGCGTTTGGATAGCGCACGAACGTTGGCTTGCGGCATCGGTGCGAAGCTCTTGGTCATCGCGACGAGGAGCTCGGTGCGGTGTGCACCTTGCCAGGTCCGTTGATGATTGCGCCAGTCGTCGCGCGCTTGTGTGAATCCCGGCGTCCGGAGTCCCGCGGGCGCCAAACGGGGATGCCGACTGATGGGAAAGCCAATGGGGATAGGTCGTTTATATACGCGGGCCCCAGACAGTGTTTCCCCACCTTGCCTCCCCCCATCATCGTATCACATTCCTCATCTCAAATCATGGTCAAGGCAGTCGTTCTTGGTGCCGCAGGTGCGTGGCTGCGCGTCGTGCCGTGCGATGGGCAACTCACACGAAAACATCAGGCGGTATCGGTCAGCCGTTGTCGCTGCTCTTGAAGACGAACCCGGCGGTGACGCAGGTGCGTTGTGCGATTTTTGAACTCCGAAAAGCGCGCTGAAAATGCCCTTCAGCTTGCTCTCTACGATATCGTCAACACGCCTGGCGTCGCTGCCGATCTCTCCCACATCTCCACCCCCGCCAAGGTCGAGGGTTTCCTCCCCAACGACGATGGACTCAGCAAAGCACTCAAGGGCGCTGACGTCGTCGTCATCCCTGCAGGTGTCCCGAGGAAGCCTGGTGTACGTTCCCCACTTGACTGTCCTTTTCGCTCTGCCAGGCACTGACCCATCCTTCCCCAGATGACGCGGTGAGCTATAAATTTCGCAGGCGCTGCTTCCCCGCGGGCCGATTGCTGACTGGGCTTTGTTTGCGTCCCGCAGAGACGATCTGTTCAAGGTGCGTGATGTCGTGTCAATGGGCTGGTCTCGACCCAAATCTCACGACGTGTCAGATCAACGCGGGGATCGTGCGCGACCTCGCGGTCGGCATCGCGAACAACGCACCCAAGGCCTTCGTCCTCGTCATCTCCAACCCCGTCAACTCGACCGTGCCCATCGTCACCGAGGTCTTCAAGAAGGCCGGCGTCTACGACCCGAAGCGCATCTTCGGCGTCACCACCCTCGACGTCGTGCGCGCGTCCACCTTCGTCGCGGAGAAGCTCGGCGACCTCTCCAAGGCGTCGAGCGTCACCGTCCCCGTTGTCGGCGGCCACTCGGGCGTCACGATCGTCCCCCTCTTCTCGCAGGCATCGCACCCGCTCCCTGCCGGGCTCGCCAAGGACGAGTTCGATGCGTTGGTGAAGCGCGTGCAGTTCGGCGGCGACGAGGTCGTGCAGGCGAAGGCCGGTACCGGGTCCGCGACGCTCTCCATGGCGTACGCGGGCGCCGAGTTCGCCATCAAGGTCATCGACGCGATCAACGGCAAGTCGGGCATCGTCGCGCCTACGTATGTGCACCTCTCCGCAGACAAGTCGGGAGGCGACGCGATCAAGAAGGAGATTGGCCGCGATCTGGAGTACTTCTCGTCGAATGTCGAGCTTGGGGTAAGTACCTTGTCTGTTCTATTTAGACACTATGCCGCTTTCATCGTCCCTCTCTTCTGCTCCTACCACGTTCCCTATATCTCATTGTGCCCTTCGCGAGAGGAATAAGATCGCTGACATCACCCCCAGCCCGAAGGCGTTAAGCGCATCCTGCCGCTTGGCAACATCACGCCCGAGGAGGCAAGCCTCGTCGCGGCGGCAGTGCCCGAGTTGGCGATCAACATCGAGAAGGGCACCAACTTCATCCTCAACCCCGCACAGGCACCAGAGAAGGCGAAGGTGTAGAGGAAGGGAGATACCATTACTCTGGCTCCTACTTGAGATGGTTTGACTCCTTACGCTTGGTCGTGACCCGTCGGTGCTGGTGGAGGGAAAGCAGGTCGCGCGCGCGGTCTGCGCAGACCCAGCCACGCGCGCTCTAACGATACTAAATCTAGATAGTGCTCCATCTGTACTATATGGCAACCCGGAAGAAATTCGCAAATCTGTATGAATATTCATCAACGCGACCAACTGGGAAAGGAAGGCTTCAATGATAGAGAATGGTTTATTTGGTGATGTTGACCAAGTATGGTGTGCGCACGTGGTTGGGTGGGGCGCACGTGCTGACTCTGCACCTTGACCAAACCCACGATGTTGGCGTTGATTTCATGAAATGAGTTACTTGACAACGCTGCTCTCTTCCTTACTTACCCCAAAGTAAGCTCACGGCTGCCATCCGATTGACGACCTTAGTGACTTGTGATTGAGCTTGACATTCGTCAATACTCGTCACGATCACCACCAATTACCTACTTATAGTCCCTCCCTCCTCCGACCTCGGGCGCCTCCCATCTCTCTCCGCATGACTTTGGCGGCTTTCGTCCCCATTTCAGAGGACTCGGAGTCACGAAGACCATCCTGAGACCTTTCCGCGTCGGGGGCCCCGAGTCGCACCTGCGTCGGGGACCCCGAGTCGCACCCGCGTTGGGGACCCCGAGTCGCACCCGACTCGGCGGGGACGCAATGTGCGTCATTTTCACCCGTCATAAATATGCCAGCGCTCGCGGGTGGCATAGTGGTCGGTGCTCTCCAGTGCGTGATTGCAGCTGGGCGTGTTGACGGTCGCGACTGGCCACTCCACATACTGCGAAGACGCTCTCGGGACAGACCAAAATGCTCTCAGGAAAGGCCAAAATGTTTTCAGGAAAGACCGCCATCTTCGCTCTGCTCCTCGCGCTGCGTGTCGGCGCGACAGTCGACGACGAGGCGCTCGGCCTCTCACAGCACATATTTCTCTCCGCGGCCAATACCACTGTAGAGGAGCCTCTCCCACCCGTCATCGACCTGGGCTACGCGAAGTACGAGGGCGTCTACGACGAAAGCACTCGCACGAACCGCTTCTTGGGTATTCGTTATGCGGCACCTCCCACTGGTAAACAATTAAAGGTCTGCATTATGTGGCGCTCACAGACTTCTACCTCGCAGGCCACCTACGCTGGCGCCCACCACAACCACCCGCTCGCGAAGCAGACGAGTCCTCAATCATCAAAGCAGACACCCTTCCACCCATGTGCTACGGCACTGGCTTCGGCTTCGCGCCCCTCGAGCCTCCGCCAAGTTCTGACCTGCCATTCTCGGAAGATTGTCTGTTCTTGAAGTGAGCCGGACCACACGACACGTCCCATCGCGAGGCCCGATACTCACACGGTAATACAGCGTGTTCACAACAGCAGATATGGGCGCCAGCCATACCGCACCTCTTGATGCTCGCCCAAAGAAACCCGTCCTCGTCTGGATCCACGGCGGCGGGTTCAATGTCGGAAGCATCCGCGGGTACACCGGGCAAGACATCTTCGACGGGCAGGACCTCGTAGACGCTTCCAACGGCGACTTCGTCGTCGCCGTGATCCAGTACCGGCTGAACGTCTTCGGCTTCCTATCCGGTGAAGAGGTCAAGAAGGAGGGAGTGCTGAATGCTGGATTGTGTGAGTTAGTCCTTTCACCTTCACCCATATCCCTCTCCGCCATCCTGCTTGCCCCTTTTCCGCCTTGATTGACGCCTCCCCCAGTGGACCAGCAATTCGCTCTCCGGTGGATCCAGGAGCACATCGCTAAATTTGGTGGCGACCCCGACGACGTGACCCTCTTCGGCGAGTCCGCGGGCGGCAGCTCCGTCATCCAACACATCATCGCGAACGGCGGGCAAACCCACCCGCCGCTCTTCCACAAGGCCATGGTCGCGTCTTCCAGCGCGCTCCCTCAGTACGACTATAATCATCCGGTGGTCGAGGTGCGTCCACTCCATCCATTTTCGTGCCTTCAATCGGTAATCTTTCACAACTCATAGAACGACTACGCCGCGATCCTCCGCGCGACCAACTGCTCCTCCCTCGCCTGCCTGCGCACCACTGACGCCTCCACCCTGCGCGCCGCCGCCTACGCCGTCTGCGCCGGCAAATTCTACGGATCCTTCTCCTTCCTCCCCGTGGTCGACGGAGAGCTCATACGGCAGCGCCCACTCGCAGCTCTCGCGCTGGGGCGCGCAAACGTGGTGAGTATAACTGCTCTCGCTCCTGGTCGCGGAGGGTTCTCGTCGCCTCTCCTATTATTCACGCCGCTGATATACCCCCTCCTCTTAGGACGAACTCCTCGCGACCACGAACACCAACGAGGGCGCTTTCTTCACCAGCCCCGCCCTCGCCTCCCTCCCGCTTGCCGATCTCGTCTCCGGGTGGTTCCCTGCATTGCCCGCCGAGCGGGTCGCGAAGGCGGTCGAAATCTACCGGCCGCTAGGCACGCCGGAAGAGGTGCAGAGGACGCTCGTCGCTGAGGGTGCGTGCTGATCGAGGTCTCGAGTTGACGGACCGAAAGCCCAATGGTGATCTCCTACAGCCGTCTTCGTCTGCCCGTCCTACGCCGCCTCGGCCGGCTTCAGGGAGTTCTACAAAGCCACGCTAGCGGTGGCGCCCGCGGGCCATGGGCATGACGTGAACTACTACTTCAAGTCGTAAGTATCCATGCCATCATGCCTTCGACTCATTCCCACCTTCGGCACAATCTCCCCTACCTTCCTAGACCATCGATTATGCTAAACCCCTACCCAGCCTGCGCGGTAATCCTGTCTACCCGCACCTTCCGCCCTCCGAGAGCTTCGCCGACGCATTCACGGGAATCTTCACGAGCTTCGCGCGCGACGGGCGGCCGTCTGCACGATGGGGAAGGAGGGACTCTGGCTTCTTCACTCAGGTCGTCGACACCCTCAAGGCGCTGTTGCTCGAGTGGAAGTGGCGTTCGAGCGTCGCGCGGGCAGAGGTGGCTTCAGCCTCGGTGCTCCTGGAAGGCGAAGAGGCGAGTGAAGTCAACTGGCCAGCCTGGTCAAAAGGCCGCCCCGAAGAGGTTCTCTTTAACGTCACTGAGTCAGGCGAGCCGTACATCGAACCCATGCGTACTGAGACAGGACTTCTGGCGAGATGCGAGTTCTGGAGTGGCTTGAGCGAGTATTTGGGACAATAGGCATATATAATGGAAAGGAATCGAGGCTTATGGATTAAATGTATGCTCAAGGGCTGCGTGCCTTTGGTTTTTGGCCGTGGTGCGGAAACAGTGGGCATTGTTAGCAATTGTTCGGTCGCCGGTTGAACTTCAACACATGTCACGTGCGCATCCGGGTTTTGCCGCGCGGATATTCTCACGTCCGTTTTCGTACTGCTCCTCTTCTCTCATCTTCTGGCTGGCCCGTCACTCTATTTGCGGTATTCTCCCCCAAATACTCTTTGAGTGACTTGAGGAATCGTACTCTACAACCTCATGGACTCACCGGCTCCGACTCAGATGAAGACTCATCGTAAATTCAAGTCCGCGGCGCTTCGAGCTGTTCAACGCCTCATGTTTTCGGCGTGTCCTCTCACGTTCCCTGATGACCTCGACTACATCTCGACATAGAAAAGCATGGCATCAGCATTGCCTTGCTTGCCAAGTCTGGGAGGGGTAGGTTTTGCCGACAGATATGCTGTAGAAGCCTAATTCTCCGGTGACTAGTATGAATACGCTAGCGCCTCTTCGACTACGCCTGAATGCCTTCGACTACGAAAACATGCCGGAAATGAAAGCACGCTCTGCGTAGATCAACACGCTTGATCTCCCCGCCCTCTGCTGGCCCGCCGGATGACGACGCAATGCTGTAGAGCGCGGCGCGATGCTGATGCGCGAGGCGCGCTGCTGTTGAGTGGCACCGGTAAGTACTGGCGCTTCGAGGTCAGCAGGTCGCAGCATCCTTCCCGCTCGCAGATAGCAGCGACTATCGAGTCGGTATCATCTAATCTCTCCGTCGCCATATTCTGAGGACAGTACAACGACTGCGGAGGGAAGAGCTCGGGGATCGCCTCGGTGCGTTGTGCAGTATACGACCGTACGCGACTTGCTTCTCATAATTCCTCGCAGGCGTGCGCTGCACTCCGTGCGCATCTCGTCGTTCACCCCGCCGACTCTCGCGCCTCGTACAACAATCCTGAAGCTTTGACGCGTACTTCGCCATCCCTCTTTCCACACCGCTTCCCTTCATGTCGGACGGCATCCTCAAAAACCTTGAGAGCGCCCTCCCCGATCGTCTAGCGCGCAACGGCAATATACGGTGCCCCGTGCGCTTCGTTCAGTGTCTGCTACAATTCGAGAGGATGCTCAACCGCTCGGGTGTATTGTGTATCGTGCAATCTAATACGGACATGGCGCGAGTGGTGGCAAGGCTGGTAAAAGTGATGGTCGGCGTATTAGTGGATGAGGACTGTAAGGAGGATGCGACAGTGGCTGAGAGATTGAGTGGGGACGTGAGGGAAAGGACAAGGAGAGATGCAAGCGCAGGTGTAGCAAGATCAAGCAGGAGAATGGAAGCACCGCCGCTCTCGTTACCAGAAGGCTCTCAACGTACACCCACGGATTCGCGGCAGAGTGTCATCAATCCCAGGCGTATACCCATGGATTCCGACGGCGTATACACCCACCGAGATGGTTATCGGAGTGAAGCGGCACACAAGCTCTGCGCTAGTGCTTGTGCTCCGGACAGCGCATCGGTGCATCGCCGGTTTGCGTCGACGACGATGGAAAGGAGGACGGGGTTGGAGATTATGGCCGACGTTTTGGAGAAGCTGGATCAAGTTGGGAAGGTGGTGAGGCTGGCGAGCGATATTGTCGCTCGAGCGGAGGGTGACGCTGCCAACGCGCACGTTAGCAGCCCTTCGCACCCCGGCGGCTCTCAGGCTGTTCCTCACGCAAGATCTGACGCATCACACGCAAGGAGTTCTCCCTTGCGCACCGGTGGCTCGACCTCCCCTGCTGCCAGCACCGTCTTCTACTCCGACAACTCCTCTCATGCAAGCGCTCACTCTAACACTCTGAATCGGCACTCGCATCCGGATGTTGCTCGCCACCCAATTCCTACCGTCGCCCGTATCTCGCACGCGGACACCCCACACCCTCCCCCCAACATCACACGCATCTTCAACTTCCTCATCGCTTGGATGAAGCGCAGCCCCGACACGGTGGTCCCACACGTGTGCCGCTCCGCGCCTTTGGTGTCGAGTCCGGCGGTTCTGGTCGCCTTGGTGGCGTATGTTGCGTGGAACCCTCGGCAGAGGAACGCTCCTGCGTACTATGATGCGCAGACCTCTGCGCATGCGCATGACACGCCAGCTCCCCAACGACGAGAGGCTCGCGAAGCCTCTCAACTTGCTTTTGAATGCCTTGCGCACTATCTGGTTCAGTGCGGTGAGGGTCGCCGCGATGAACGTCCCGAGGACGCACCGATGAATCGACAAGGAGATACAACCCATACCCATTATGAAAGACGATACCCATCTCAACCTCCCAGTGGGGACCTGCGACCACGCTCGAGCCCTGACTGCCCACTCAGCGGAGACTCGCGCGACCGCCAAAACGAACGACGGAATATTTGGCTGGCCTACTTGGCCGATCTGGAAGACCATAACGCGCGAGCGTTCGTGTACGACTGTACAATGATCGTCCACCGAATCGATTCCGAGAGTGAGAGGAATGTGACTGACCGGGAGCAAGGATATAATACGACTGAATGTCCGGGTCAAGGACACCGCTCCATTGCGAACCAAGGACATTATCAGACCGTGAGTCACGGACACTATGTGACTGTGAACCGAGGACAGAACTCGATGGAAGATCAAGACGCCTTTCTCCTGAGGCGATGTCTCATGGACGATGCTTTGTATGTTGCACGCAGATTGCAGCAGCGCGGTGTGGCGTTGAGCGAGTTGCACTGCGGCTCGGAGCTGCTCAAGGCCTTGAGCCGAGTAAGATCGAGATATCCTTGACAAGAATATATCTTGCTGGCTTCATTCGAATATTTCATCGTGAGGTTTGCGTCAGGCTTGTATGTGGTGAAGTACAATACCTGCCTAATATGGAAACAATGACTTCCATTTCGGCTGAACTTGCAGAGTTCGTGCCTTCAATTCAATCCGACATCTCTGAATCTCTCCACACGTCTCCAATGATGCACGCTTGGTGAATGAAAGACCCCGCAACCGAATGGGGGGAAGCAGGGGGAGGGCGCGACTGTCGCACAGTGATCTGCGTATCGCATTCTTTTACACAGGTCTGAAAGAAGTAGGCTTCTTCTCAGCGAAGAAGGGTACATGACCGACTCTTGAAGAGGAACAATCTGTGAGGGCGACGAGTGAGGGACGGAAGCAGAAAGCGCAGCATCAGCGATCATCAGACGGTGGCGGACTCTTCTTCTCCCATTTCTTCGCAAACTATTTCCCTTTCTTCTCCGTCGTTCTCGACGTGTTCGATCCCTCCCCCGCTCGCGGTGACGACGCCAGGGCCATCATGTGCGACGACGAGCCGACACCACCCGCGGGGGTTATCCTCCTCGCCTTCGCCCCCGAAGTGCGCGAGAAGCCCGTCGCGAAGTACCTGCTCTCCTTCGACTGGGCTAGCACGCCCCTCGGTCCCATCACGGAATGGCCGCAGTCCCTCAAGACCGTCGTCGCCCTTATGCTCGTTAACCCCTCTCAGTCATGCATGTTTTGGGGTCCGGAGAAGACCGTACTCTACAATGATGCTTGGGCGCAGATATCAGGGGCAAAGCATCCCCATCTCATGGTGCGTGGTGCATATCTCGAGCTGAATTGCTTGCTCACGAATTCTTAGGGAAGGCCAGGCAGAGTAGCATTCCACGAACTCTGGGATACATTCTCAAAGCATTGCGATCAGGTGTACAATGGCAAGGTGAGTAGTCCCCACGAGGCGACTATATCGTACGCGACACGGGCTGCGTGCGGGAGGGGGGAGGAGGGAGCTCGCCTCAGCAGCGTCGTGCATGGGCGCGAAGTACGAGAAGTACCCCCTCCCCCTCCCTTGGTCCATGGCGCTCGTTGCCGTCAGAATCACTCTGTATCATGAATGCAGACCTCCTTTCCTCTACAACTACACATGGATGCATAGGAAAGGCTCTGTGTGTACGGACTGCTTCGCGAAAATCCTGACATGGGTCCTGCATGGAGGGCGCACGCCAAGTCCCTATTGAGTCCGCGCAACGATCCCGTGCCGTGCCGCAGACGAACGATATTCCTTCTCCCTCCTCATCGTATAGGCATATGGCTCATCGCTGACAGACCATCCCAGCTCGTCGGCCGCGTCGACGATCTCGTACTCTTCGAGTCGCGCGTCACGGAGGAGCAGACCGCGAGCTTCCACAGCCCAATTCTCGTTACGCCTGAATCGACCGAAGACGACCCACCCGTCCTGGAGACGTACTTTACGTGCGTGCTCGCACACTCAATCCTCGTCACCACCTGACCGTCCCGCCAGTTGGTCGTACCTCCCCATCCAAGTCGAAGACGGCAGCGTTGGCGGTATCATCAACAAGTTCGTTGGTTCCCCACATCTATGAACTTACCTCACTCATTCCCCCTCCCCCTAGCTGTATGGAAACCACTGACAAGGTTCTGTCCGAGCGCCGCATGCACACCGTCCGCCGTGTTGCCGAGTGCACCTCCCTTGCGCAGACCACGGCCGAGTTTTGGCCCGCGCTCACAGAAGCTTTCACCGACAATCAGTACGACTTCCCGTACTTCATGTGCTATGCTGCTAGTGCCGCGGAGCCTGCGGCGTGCGACTCTCCCTCAGGGCAGTCTTCGTCCTCGCGCTCCTCTTCATCGTCGTCGATGCGCTCGACAATATCCCCCATCCGTCTTCAGCTTAAGGAGGCGGTCGGTATACCAAAGGAACATCCGGCAGCACCTGAGGTCATCGAGCTGCTCTCTACGACTGGCGAGGGCATGCCGTGGCCCTTTGCCGAGGCCTGCATATCACGCGTGCCCATACGCGCGGCCAATCCCTTTCCTGTGGACGAAGGCAAGGACGACGACGCTGGCCGCACGTGGGCCGAATATGCACGTAACAGAGCCTGGGGCGACCCGCCCGGGGACGCCGTCGTCATGCCCCTGACTTCACCCGACGGAGGTCTCATTGGCGTACTTGTGCTAGGACTGAATACGCGGAGGCCATATGCGGGGCGCTATGCCAACTTCCACGCGACACTTGTGAAGAACCTGAGCGCGAGCTATGCGGCGACGCTCGCGTTTGAGCAGCAGATACAGCGCGCGGAGGAGCTCAGGGCGCTGGATCGGGCAAAGACAGTGTTCTTCCAGAATGTCTCGCATGAGCTTCGGACGCCCCTCACGCTCATTCGCGGGCCTTGCGAGGATGCTCTGCGTGCGGAGAAGCTCGATCCGCTGGCACGGACGCGCTTTAGGTTCATTGACAGGGCTAGCAAGCGATTGTTGCGCTTAGTGAATAGCCTGATGTTATTCTCGAGCGCAGAGGCGAGGAAACTGCAGGTGCGTGGACAATCTATCTGGTAACTTGACCGTCTGACACGCCTCTCGCAGGCGCACTACCGTCCTGTGAAGCTGGGATCAGTAACCGCGGATATGGCGTCTTTGTTTCGCTCTGGTATCGAGCGCGCGGGGTTGAGTGAGTGGATAGGTATAGGCTGCTTCCACTAGTCACTGATGAACTGCTCCACCCAGCATTCAATGTCAACTGCGAGGACCAGGACGGAAAGATGGTCTTTATTGACGTCTTCCTTTGGGAGAAGATTGTCTTCAACTTGTTGTCAAACGCGCTCAAATACACCAAGAAAGGGTATGCATTGTAGTCAAAATTCTCGAAATGCCTGGCTGACTGTCGTCGCAGCTTCATCAATGTCAATCTGAGGTATACCTCGACGGAGGCCATCCTACGAGTAGAGGACTCGGGCTGCGGCATCCCTTCCGACCACGTCGGCCGCGTCTTGGACCGCTTCCACCGCGTGGAGTCCTCCGAGGGGCGTTCCGTCGAGGGCACGGGCATCGGCCTCGCGCTAACCTCCGAGCTCGTCAAGCTACACGGAGGCCGCATTGACGTGACCAGCGACCTTGGACGGGGGTCGGCGTTCATGGTGCGTCTCCCGCTCGGGGACAAGCACCTTCCGCAAGAGGGCGTCGAACACGAGGAGGCGTCACACGAGCATATGAGTACCGAACACATGGCGCGGCTGGCGACCGATGCCGGCGGTTGGCTCGCGGAGGACTCGGCGGACTCGACGAGCCAAAGTTCGGCGGGTGTGGTCGGGGAGGGGGAGAAGGGGGCGCAGCTGCAGCCGTTCAAGGTGCTGCTGACGGAGGACGATGAGGTGCGCGTAGAGTGAGGACACGGTAGGATCAGAGCTGATGTGATTTCGTGAACAGGATGCGCGGCAGTACATCCACTCGATCCTGAGGGGCATCGTGCAGGAGGTGGTTACCGTGCCGGACGGCATGGCTGCGCTGGAGTACATTGAGTCGTCGGAGAAGCCGCCAGACTTGCTGGTGACGGATATGATGAGTGAGTGCATCGAGCAGGATGTTTTGGGATGATCTTCGACTAACGCTATTACGCAGTGCCTCGCATGAACGGCGCAGAGCTTCTTCGTACACTCACGCATCATCACGACTCTAGTATCCAGGCCATGCCCGCTATCGTACTCACCGCACGCACTGGGCAGGAGGGCGATGCTCGTGTGGATGGATTGCTGCACGGACCAGTAGACTATCTACTCAAGGTCTGTTCGCTCTTCCGAAGTCTGTGAGGGACTGGCTGATATAACCTTTCCCCAAGCCCTTCAGTGCCACAGAGCTCACTCAGCGTGTCGAGACGCGGCTGCAGGCCTTACGACAGAAGCAGGAGCTCGAGCGGCTGGTCGAACAGAGAACAGCTGCCCTCGACAGTGCTCAACAGCGATATCGACGTATGAGCGAGCTGGCGCCTGTCGCGTTGTTTGAGACCGACGAAGACGACCGAGAGCTGATCACGTACGCGGTAAGCATAATTGCTGATTCCCATCGCAGGTGTGCTGATGGTGCCGCAGAACGAGCGTTTCTTCACGCTCACGGGCTTGCCGAAGGTGCTACCCCTGCGCCTGGAAGTCTTTGTGGATATGTGAGTGCAATATTTTGCACGAAGTGGATATCGCGCGACTCACACAACTCCAGGGTTGCTCCGCAACATCAGGCCATTGTGCGCGAGCACTGGTTAGACGTCCTCGCGAACGGTGTAACGGCGCGCTTCGATTTCCTGTGAGTGCAGTGATTGGTTCAAATGTAGTTCACTAAAGTGTACACGGTAGCTTCGTTGACGACAAGAATGTCTTTGCGGAAATTATACCGTCTGCGTCTGGCGGATTGTGTGAGTTCTGGTATTTTGTCCCGCTTTCATATGTGCTCATACCATTTCAGTGGCAACGCTGACCGATCAGACCGAGCAACGGCGGTTCCTCGCGCAGCAGTTGGATACTGAGCGTGCGAAGGCAGACGAGGCTGTCAGGCAAAGGCGTCTACAGGAAGCGTTTATCGACATTGGTATGTCAAACCGCCGAGTATCTTCTTCTCTGCGTACTGAGCTAACAAACTTTAGTATCGCACGAACTGCGGAATCCTCTCTCCGCGATTTTGCAGAGCGCGGATCTGCTGTCAGGTTCAATTGTGCGATTGAACGACATCATGCAAGAGGTCTTCGTATCAATAAAGACAGGTCTGCCCCTCTCGGGATCACGGCTGAAGAAGCTAGTGAGTTACCCTTACGGTTCGTAGCACAGCTCGCTCTAACCCGGATTCCAGATGGACGAAAGCGAAACAGAGTTGCAGGATGCCAGCCATGCGGTCGCATCGGTTGAACTTTGTGCTCGTCACCAGACCATCATCGCCAGCGACATCCTTGTCGTCTCGCGACTCGATTCGTAAGTAGCCCCGCTAGCTCGATTGCTTTCCATACTGAGTTTAACCCAGGAATCTGCTGAGCATGAAGCCCACGATGTTCCATCTCATGGATGAGATGCGAAGTACGTTGGCTATGTTCTCGGTCCAGGCGGAAACGCAGAATATCAAGTTCTTGCTCAAGCCGGAAGGCGTCGATGCCGAGACGAGGATTGTGGCTGATCCAACAAGGTTATGCCAAATTCTTGTCAACCTAATGTATGTCGCTGCTTTGCAAAGCTATATCAAGCGCTCGCGCTCACGTTGTGCCCAGATCGAATTCGTGCCGAGTGCTAGAGTGAGTTGTTTGCAAGGATTTTTTCGATGGGCTTTTATTGACGCCATACCAGGTCTTGGGAGGGCAAGCGCGAAATTACCATTGAAATGTCTCTGGAATTGCGCCGTCCCTTCGCATTAGCAGTTCATTCTCGTCATGCTTCAGAGGAGAACGTGGACCCCACTCATCTATGGCTCACCTTCCATATCTCTGACACGGGTCCGGGGATTCCCGTCGAGGATCAAGCTCGTCTTTTTACGCGCTTCAATGACGTGCAGGCGGTACAGACGGCTGGCCGACGGTCCTCCAGCATGGGTGGTACCGGGCTTGGTTCGTTGTCGGTCTCAATCATGACGTTCTCACTGCTCACGGTGCTCCTTGCAGGCTTATACCTCTGCCGGAAGCTTGCCGAACTACAAGGCGGCGCCATCAAGTTCGACGGAGAAGCGGGCAAGGGCGCCTCCTTTCTGTTCTTCATTGAAGCTCGCCTTGCACCGCCGGCACCCAGCGCGTTCTCCGCATACGCGAAGCGCAGCTCGGATCGCTTTGAACGGACGGGCTCCATCTCGCCGCGTCCCGGTATATCGCGGACGACGTCGGACGTTATCCTGCACCATGCAGAGAAGCGGAATGGGACGCAGAGTACACCTGAGGTCGAAGTCGGCGCGCGGCAGGGGCTGAGCAACGGAACCAACCTGAAATCCGAGTTAAAGGCCGACGTGCTGAACGAGAAGCTGCTGAGCGTCCCGGTTGTCGCGAGTCCGGATCTGGATCCGGACATGATACTCAAGAGGCCAGAGGTGCGCCAGAAGGAAGAAGAGGCGGGGCGGCGGCAAGAATCGGAGCGCGAGGAGCGCCATCGCCAGGAGTCTTCCGCTCCTCGGCATGGGGGCGACCCTGTTGAGCGCACGTCGTTGCACGTGCTAGTGGTTGAGGATAATGTGCGTCTGGATCAGTGCGCTCGTGATTTGACTTGCTAACCGGCGGCTCCGCATCTTAGGCTGTGAACCAGAGACTGCTCCGTCGGCAGTTAGAGAAGGCGGGCTTTCTGGTCGATACAGCTAATCACGGACTGCAAGGTAAGCTATCTTCACCCCACCAAAGACTAACGAAAAATGCTAACTTGAATGGTGTGCAGCGTTGCAACTTCTCGAGGAGGGCGCATTGGCGACCGCATCGCAGCCCTATCCATCCGTCGTACTGATGGACTTGGAGATGCCTGTTATGTGCGTACATTATGTGCCTTCGACGTTCTCGACACTAAACTGTCTTGAAGGGACGGCCTCGAAGCGACATCGCGGATTCGCGCGCTCGAGGAAGAGGGCAAGCTTCCGCCGCCAAAGATGCCAATCTTCGCGATCACGGGCAACGCGAGACAGGGCCAGGTCGACGCGGCGCTGGCGGTAGGGATGGACGAGGTGTTCATTAAGCGTGAGTTTCCATGAGTGGCTTGCCTTTGTCGTCGATGATTATGGGCTGATGTCCTCGCCTGCAGCATATAGACTGGCGGATGTCGTGGCTCGCATCGACCGCGATGGCCGTCAAAGAATGGCAATGGTGGACATGATCCCGGATCAAGACTTGACGCCAACTGCTTCAGGCGTCTAGGGACGAGCCCTTCATCGCATCTTCCTCGCATCGTACTCATCAATTGAGTACACATCATCATCATCATCATCACCCTAGCTCCTCCACATCGGCATCGCTATTTCTACATTGTACTTTGCATGGGTGTATCGCTAGACAATCCGCATGGGTCTCGGGCTGCTATACTATCGGTCGTGTGCTCTCTGTATCTTTATCATGTAGATCATTTTTGTAGGTATTCAGGCGTTATTCTTGCTATTGCGGGGAATCATGGTACAGAAGTTATCTTTACAACATGCTATGGCTATCATTGCGACATCACTATGGCTGGCTTACCAGCATGTCACTCCTCGCTTCTACCAGTCCCACTTGCCGAGGCCGGTGTAGTCCACAAACTGCCCGCCGTGCGTCTCCCTGGTCGCGACGTCGATTTGCTCGAGGACACCACGTGCACTCTCTTCTGCAGAAATAGGAGGGAAAGCAGCGAGCAATTGCTCGATTCCCGGAGTCTTGTCGTACGCCTGTCGCGCCCCGTCGGTCGCGACGGTACCCGGGCTTATGGGGAAAATGACTGCAAGGCTGGTAAGCGACGGGATTTGGAAAGCAAGGAGCGTACACGAATACAAGGGAACGAATGAGAACTGACCAAATTCGGGGAAGTCGCGATGGAGCTTACGCACAACCCAGTTAAGGGCGGCCTTGGACGCGCCGTAGGGGTACATGAGCATCGAGGTCTGGCCCGCATTCGCAATGCTGCCAAATCCGGAGGAGATGGCTACGAACTTAGGCGTCTTGCTCTCTTTCAGGAGCTGGTACGTCGCCTGGAACAGGACGAGAGGGCCATTGGTATTGACCTGGGAATTCCGGTCAGTTTTGTATTGCACGTAGCACGATAAATGCCGCTATCAATAAAGAGGACATCTCGTACCGCACCTCGAAGTGCCTGATCATATCATCTGTCCGTAGCTCGAGGGCTGAGTCGAAGACGTCGGCGACGGCTGCGTTCGCGATCACAACATCGAGCCGCCCCGCGACGCGCTTGATTTCCTCTGCGATCACGATGTTGTTGGCCTTGTCCGGCGAGATGAGCTTGACGACGTGAAAACGGTCGGGATGCGCTTCTGCGAGCTCCCGAAGCTCAGTAGCCCCAGCGGGCTCGCGAGCACCGGCAAAGACAACGGCGTCAGGGCGAGCGGCCAGCAATGTCACAATAGCAAGTCCTGCAGATGAAATGTCAGCCGTGCACGCCACCCCGTACGCAGAACAGAAAGAGACATACCAATGCCACGACTCGCGCCTGACACAAGGTAGACGGTGGGAGACATGACGATGCTATAGTGAGCACCGCACTGTGAGCGCTTGGTGTGAGTGAGTTCTAGCGCTCGCCGCTCCCTGTCGTTTTGTATCCTTCGAGTATAGTACAGTGACTCCCCCCAGTTCTGTCATCGGGTCGGGATAGCCTCCTAGACTTGGCATTAGTCAGGAATAACGAAATCCGGTCTGGCTTCGTCGAGCTCGCCGTACAGCACGCAAGCACCGTGATGCTTCTGCCTTACAAAGATAGGCCTAGCACTCGGAGAACCCACCTGCTTCAAGTGTGTGTTGTACCTACAGATATGCCCCCATAAACGACGCATCAATTGCAGACGGGTTTACCCTGGGCTCGTCATGTTGTCGAGTGGGTCCAATTCTTATAGTAGGGTGTGGGCCTCTTGGTAGGTGACAGAGGCGCTTACCTTACCCATGAAAGTAGCTAGAGGGGCATATCACGAGCCACAATGACTTTGAAGCTGGGTGTACCTATGTGAACACTCAATTTAAATTCTCTGCAGTGATCTTCAGCCCGAGTCTTCGAGGGATTGAGGATGGTTTCGAGGTGGCCCAAAACTCTGCCTAGTGTGTTCTCTAGATGTTCTTCCATCAGCTTGCGTGAACACAATGGAAGGAGCGACAGAGAGGATGCCAAGCACGAAAACTAGCGCGAAATTCCAATATTTGTTTCGGCAAAGACCGAATCCGGCTCGAGCCGAGGTGGCACGTGACAGGTTGAATTTCAAGCATCGGCGACTGAACAATTGCAAACAGCGCCTACTCACCCTCATTCACACTCGACAGAATCATTTCCATCATCTACTCAACGTAGGAGACTATACCACCGCAGAAGAGCCTTACAAAGTACCTCTAGCTGCCCTCCCGCGAACCCTGCGCGCCCTATCTAACCCCGGAATTCTGTCAATGACTTGATGCATGTAGAAAGCTCTCCCAGCTGGGAAGCCCTCTGCCATTTGTATCCCTTGAGGAATTGAGTCCTATGCAAGAAGGTGCGCTCGCAAAGTTAAAAACTCAGGAGGGATCTGCCAGCTGTCCTGAAGCATCGATGGGTTTGAATTCCCTGAAGGGGGGACAAGTTCGGCCCTCTTTGTTCATGTTTTTTTTTTTCTCACCTACCAAAACAAGGCCAGGAAGGAGAGTGCGGCAGCGGGCCCGCTTTACGCATCATACTTTACCTGTGTGAATAGCAGCGAGACCTCTTTGCAGCATGCTCTGAGAGGCTCTGCCAGTACAGGCCCACGCCGCGCGCGCTGCCTCAACGACGCAGGGCAAAATTGATCTGAGTACAACGATGGCTTCGAGATGTACAATGGGATGTCGTACGGAGCCTACGGCAACTGATACTCATGGCCTAGATCGCACACAAGACGGGCCAGCGTTTTGAACGGGATACCGTGCGCCGTGCCACTCGTAGCCCTCGACACCATGATCTGCCGCAACAAATCCTCGCGCCCATCACAGCTCCAGCCGTCAAAACGCAGCGTCAAGCGTGTAAGCGCCGGCAGACGCGCAGGCGCCGACTCGTCTCGCGCAAGCCAGGCGAGCAGTTCAGGGCGCAGGAAGGGACAGAGCCTATGTTCCTCCTTCCCATTCTCGATACGCAACGTGGCGAGCGCCGGAAGGCCCTCGAGGCATCGATACAGGTCGTCCAGAGGGAGATATTCGTCTATATCGAAATCTATGAGTTCGAGAGTGCGCAGCGAGCGCATCGAGGCACGCGCCAGCACGCGAGTGAGAGAAGTGATGGACACGGACCCCGTCCTCTCTTCGTCTTCATCGATGCCACCGGTGACTTTCAGCTTCTGCAGGATGGGTGCATCTATCTTAGGGAGGAAGAGATGCCCCAAGCCTGAAACTGCCATTTCTATGAGCTTAGGCAGGTGGAACACGGACGGGCCAAGATTGACGTTGACCGAAAAAATGAAAGCGTGGTCGCCAAAACCGTCGAGTAATTCAAGCCTTCTCAAATCCGGCTGCGCAGAAAGGTGGCGGACGATGGTGTCGAACTCGTGGGCCTCGCCGTAGTATAGAATGTAGATCACAGTGGTAAGCTGCTGACTCCAGGCGGGCAGCATTATAGGAGGTTGGCCATACCCAACGGTGATGGTGGCTTCCCTGACGCGAGACGCGTTCTGCACGAAGGCGAGAGGCAGCGGACCTTCGTGCTGTTCGAGCCATGTCGTGACCATGAGTACGACGCGTTCGAGTAGCGGCGTCTGAAGTTCTGCTTGCCGAGAGAAAAGAATGCAGTCACCAATCACCGAGAGCATCTCCCATCTATAGGCAGACAGGGCAGCGACACGGTAGAGGACCTCTGCTACCTGCCGGGTCGCAGCGACGGCTTCAGGGACGGCGTTGAGGTAGGAAACGTCGATTTGCGCCTCCGCGTAGACAGACAGAGGAGCCTGGCAGGAGCGAGCGAGATAGGCCTCGACATCATCATGCGAAGAGATGTGGGACGCGTGAATGTTCACGGTAGTCCATAGTCGGGGATGACCGAACGCAACCGCACGCCATTCCTGACAAACGCGAGCGATGGCAGGCGTCCCTAAGTTGCGCGAAGATGCAGGATACTTCAAAGTAGATTGAAAAAAGATCTCGGAAAGTATTTCTGGGGGAAGGGTATGGATGGTCGTGGATAGCAAGGATGCAGCGCTGCGTGATGCAAGATCTTCATGCGGGTCGACGAGAGCGCTCGGATGCGTGGTTGCATCGGCATTTCTCGATCCGACGTTCGGTGATAAAACAGCCTGACTTGGCCAGTTCCGCTCGTCTCTCATGGCTACACGGCTGCTCGTCATGTATGGAGACTGGCAATGTCCTGCTTGGACTCGTCCTTCGAAGACTTGGTGACCTGCGCATGAGATGGAATCTGTAAGGATACGCACGCATATCAGATACAAAGCACGCACCTTGTGCAATGCCTCGTCACTGGACTCGCGAATCAGCTAAGCCCTGAGGCCTGAGGTCAAGCTCAAGCTCAAGGCTCAATCAATGCCGCGGTCGTGACGGTGACACTGGAGCTGTCCCCATCACGCTCGGCTGCTCGTCAATCTTCCATCTTACCACGATCCATTTCTTTTCGCAGAGACCATATATCTTTCGCTACTATCAGACATAGAATCCATCCAAAAGTCAGAATCTCGACGAGCATCAGTCTCTTCGCCGACCCCGCCGTACCCGAATCTCTTACACAGAAGGGCCTGCCGAGGTGTCAAGATCCCAGATTTGTATCTCATCGTGCCTACCACTCCGAGGCCACGTTGCCCGGCACCGCTTTTTATGACTGTCCTTCTCGAACACACACTTCTCTTGTTGGTCCCACGACCACAAAGGCCGGCGCGCCGTGATCGCCCGTCCCTTTGTTCCCTCATGGGCCTCCCCGCAGCTTAAAGAGCCCCTCAGTGATGCGACATGTGCTGTTGTTGCACCCTCTTCAGCCGTCACAACATCATGGGCTTCCTCTCGCGCTCCTCGTCCAAGAAATCCAAGAAGTCGGCCAAGTCGGAGTCGGTCTACGAGCAGGTGCGTGCACTGGGCGCCACAGTCCGCGCAACTCGCTCACATATGTGCCACGCAGCCTTCACCCGCTAGGAGCCGGCTCTCTCTACACCGATCGGCGAACGACTCGCCTTCACGATCGACACGGCGCTCTACAAGCGAGGATGTACGTGACGTCCTTCATACTCGATCGTCCCCCGTCTCACGGCCATCTCCAGGTCCCCGAACCCCTTCCCGCACCTCCCTGCGCGCGCGTCCCGTGCGGCGACGACATCTGGGCGCGCCTCACCACGCGCGACGCCACGTCCTTCTACCTCGACTTTGCCGACCCACACGGGAACGCGCTCGACCCTGCCCTCGACGTATACGACGTCGGCAAGCCAGGGACAATGACCCGCCTCACGCCCGACTTCCCCCTCCTCACGAACCCCGCACCGCCGACATCGCCCCCGGACCCCTCACCCAAGCGTGTCTCAAAGCGCTCACCCCTGCGAGAACAGACACTCCGCGAGCGCACGCTCAGCACGATCAACCGCCCCGACAGCAGCTACTTCCTGAACAAATACGTAAACTCGAGCCAGGCGTCGACGCCTAGCTTGCCTTCGCTGCCTCTCGACCTTCCATCGTGCAATGTGCCGTACGCGTCGTCGAACCCGTCTACGACCAGGTTGTCCAGCTCCCCGATTGGCCGACCGTCCATCTCGACGCCGGGTCGGCCTTCCGTCTCGCCTTCGCGGCCCTCTGTCTCGCCCTCGCGGCCTTCCATATCGCCATCTCGGCCAAGTACTCGGCCGTCGACGCCCACCAGACAACGACCGTCCCTCTCCAACGCTCTCCCTCCTCCGCTCGACATCACTCACCCCCGTTACATCCTCTACCCCACTTCCCGGTACCAGATCCGCCGGAACGCAGATATTGTCGCAAGCGTCGACTTCCAGGTGTACTTCTCCATGACCGGGGTCAGTGGCGCTGCGATCGCTGGTACGGCACGGGACGGGAGAATACAGGAAAGCAGCGTCAAGCAGACGTGGAGTGCGGTGTGAGGACAGTGGCAGGGTAAGTATGATAGAGGAAGAAAGAGGATTGGCATGGCGGACTCAGACGCATGGTATCGAAGCCCCAGAAGGACAGTAGATGATCGCTCACGACACATTGTACATACCCCTCACGCACACATTATCAGCCTATCTACTTTAGCGCTCAATGAATGATCCCATAGTATTTCACTTACTATATTTGAACAATGACCGGGAGGTATTGAACAATGCAGTCTAAGGCCTTCGGCAAACGCCGCTCTGATTTCCCTCTGCTAATCATGAACCTGTGTAGCTGGAACTACCCGCCATGGCCTTCACTTCCCCTTCAAACTGAGAAGGCATGATGAGTAGAACACTAATCCTACTGTCCCGCATGCATGCCGTGCAGCGAGAGCGTCCAACGAAGTCGGAACACGAAACGAGGCAGCACGCGACAGTCACATGTACATGACCAAATAAAACCGAAAGCGAATGCGAACGAGGTCGCACCACTCGGGCAACAACGCAAACTGTTGTAAATGGCCTGCAACGAGAGTACGAGGGTGTCCCGCCACGAGAGTACGAGCTTAATGTCGAAACTAGCCTTGGCACGTCTCGGCGTCGTCGGGGAGCGCGTTGAGGATGAGGCGACGTCCTCGAGAATACTGCTTCATCAGGGCGGGGCGTGCATCAGGCGGAGCGGGAAGGAGATCAGGCGGGGCGGATCCCGGGCAGAGAACGCTGCCTCAAGGTATGTGTCTAAGATTCAGGTCGAGATTGGGATGGCGATCAGGAGAGAAGTACGGGCTGATGGATGGAATGCTGACGAGCTGATGGACGGAATACTGACGAGCTATAGGACGAAATACTGAGTTGTGGGGTATCCCACGCCGTCCTCCTGCATACAAGCCACCTCGCCAGCGACGCCCTTCTGCAAGCGCCACTGAAGCGTCTACTTCTGCAAGCGCCACCAAAGCGTCTACTTCTGCAGCAGATTGTGCTTGAAGGTCGTGGAGGCGGCGGTGGCGGCGAAAGATCCTGGACAAGTGGTAAAAGATCCGGGACAAGTGGTAACAGATCCGGGACAAGTGGTAAACACTTCAACGGCCGGAACCGGTCTTGGCTCTTGCGCAGAGTGGCGGGCGTTGCAAGGTTCGTGAGGAGCCTCAAGCGTGCGCCACGTGAGGAGCCTCAGAAGCGCGCCACGTGAGGAGCCTAGAGCGCGCGCCACAGAAATAATCCCAGCGGGCAGCACAGGAGTGATCCCAGCGAGCAGCACCAGGCGAGTCGTGTGTGGAAGCAGGAAGGTGCTGACGGAGTGGGGTGGAGCGCGTTGGGGGATCCGCTGGCGGCGCGAGCGTCGCGTCAAGAGAGTGTCGCGTCTCGTCAAGGGAGAGTCGCGTCTCGTCAAGGGAGAGTCGCGTCGCGTTAAGGGAGGGTCGCGTCGCGCTGAGATGGGATCGTATTCCATCGGGGGGAACGACGATATCAGCACGGGCAGCACAAGCGTCGAGCAGGAACGATGAGGATGCAGGGCGAGCGGCTCGCTGACGTCGGATACGTGCTCGTTGACGTCGGATACGCGCTCGTTGACGTCGGTTACGTACTCCTTGAAGTCGGATACGTGCTCCTGGACGTGGAGGGACACGCCAAGGACATCGGTCCCGGACAGCCATCGACAGGACGCGTCAACGGAGGAGCATCCTACATAGTTTCGATGAAGAGCCTGCGGCTGTCAGGAGGCGCGGACTCACCGGAACCAGGTCGCTAAGAGCGTCAGCTGTTCGTCAGTCATGCCATCCTCCAGCAGATCCGAGCCTTTGAAAGCGCTGTCGCGCATCGCCCGAGGATCAGCTGGCTGTATCCCCAGGATCATCTGGCGGTATCCCCAGGATCATCCACCCCGTCCCGAACACCAGAGGGCATCGCACGGGACGTTGGCATCAGCTGCGAGGAACTGAGCAGCATGGCTCGAAAGGGCAGGTCTCGGAGAACGGAACGATAGCCAAAGACGTCAGCCGACCAAAAGAGGGACAATAAACCACGAGACCAACGAGGAAGGTGTAATCGAGGCGATCAAGATCGAGGGAATGGTCATAAGACCCTCGAGCAAGGCACACCTGACAATAGAGGGCGGAGGCAATAGAGAGGCGACGGAGGTAGTACAGGGAACGTGACCACAATAGAGGGGGAAACGAAGGCGACAAAGGGATTACGAAGATAGGAAAGGGAGAGGGAAAATTTGAAGGTGGAAGCTTACAAAGGGAACACGGGAAGCAAAAGGGAACAATAGAAAGCGCGCGAGGGACAATGGGAAGCGCGAGAAAGCACGATGCACGGTGGGTAAGGTGACCCAACGATACAATAGAGGGCGGAACCTAAAGTACAATGAAACGTTAATGGAGAGTTGGAACGCGAACAAGCGGCGATGCGGGATGCGGAAGACCGATGTTCAGATGCGAAAGATAGGGAAAAGGGCGACGCGGATGTGGGTGAGTACATACTGAGACTGGCGAGGCGGGGAAGGCGGGGAAGGGACTAGTGCGAGGTGGTCAAAGGAAGACTATAAAAGACGCGGAAGAGTGCGAAAGCAGATGGAGCGCCAGGGAATAAACGAATCGAAAGTCACTGGAGACCATCGCCTTAACCAGGGGAGCGCGCTAGCGCGAGTCGACCGACGCGCTGGCGCAGAATACGCACGCGTGACGAAGTAGGAAACGCGATGGATGAGCCAGCAGACGCATGAAGCGCAGCAGTAGATGCGACGGACGAAGCAGCAGACTTTGCGGCCTCGAGCAAAGAGCGCGACGCACACGCATGACTGTTGAGGGCGAGATGGTTCCCATGAGTGATGTTGAAGGGAGCGCGATGACCTCGAATGACATGATTAAGGGGAAGATTCTGCGCGCGCCTGACTACCGAGCGCGAGCTACAGCTCTCCAGTGACTACCGACGGTGAGAGTATGCCCACGGGTGATCTGGAATAGGTCACAATGGCGCGCGACGCCCACGCGTGATAAGAAGACTGAGGACGCGGCTGATCAACGGGCGGCGCGGGTGACAGCGCCGGTGGTGGCAGAAAGCGGACGGTTCAAAGCCGGCGGTGATAGAGAGCCGCGGACAAGCCGGCGGAACGGGGATAGAACGATGCTTCTGCGGGTGAGCACGGGAGCGGCGACAACGCGGGTCACGGTGGCGGCGACAGCGCGGCTCATGGCGGCGTCGACGCTTCTTCGCGCTCGGACATGATATACGTCCCGCGAGCCGGACATGAGGCGGCGTCAGCCGTATATGCTTCTTCGCCGTCCAGCGCGTCGGAGATGAACGACATCGTCGACGAAGGCCATAGCGCGAGATGGGGACCCCCGGTGATAGAAGATTGACGACGCGGAGACAGGTACAACGGCGCGGAGACAGGTACGACGGCGCGGAGGGAAGCACGACAACGCAAAGGGACGCACGACAATGCGAGGGAAGCACAACGATGCGAGGGCAGCACGGCGGCGCATCAGGGCGACGCGAGGAAGCACGACCGCACGAAGACGGCCCAAAGACGGCGCCGCGGACACCGGTTGACGTCGACTGACGCGCAAAGCCTTGGCGAGGCCTATATTGGCTCCCGGCGGGATGGGATAGTGCGCTCGACGTCCTGAAATACTCGGCTGGATGCGACGGTCTACTCGGCTGGCTGTGACAGTCAACTCGGCTGACCTCGACAGTCACTCCCTCCGTCAAGGGAGGCTGAACGCGACCGAAGGTGCCTGAAGGCGCGTCGAGGGTAGTAAGGAGTCGATCTTCGAGGGTAGAGTACGTCGAGCTTGCGTCCAATGTATGTAGCTCCCGATCGCATCGAGCTACACCACCGACGTCGCGCAGAAGGCTCGGAGGGATGCTGACGCCGACGTCGACAAGAGTACCATGATAGATTCGACGGGCAGTAGGACCGTATCGAGAGTTCGTTGGAGCTCGAATGGCGCGCAGTAGGGTCGATTGACGGGCAGTAGGGTCAAGATACAGTCGGAGCAACGTCGTGATGCAGTGGCGCCGGAGCATCACACACGGAGGTTCGCGCCGTATACTCTACAGAGTGCTATCAGGTTGCTATCAGTATCAGGCGCGAAGGGCATCGCTGTCGGCCTCGAGCCTGGGAAGCGTTGTTTTGAGCCTCAAGCCGATAGAATGTCAGCGTCAAGCCCGGGAAGTATCAGCCTCAAGCTCGGAGAGCACCACCGCTCGGGAAGGATCAGCTTCAGAGGGTCAGGAGCACATAACAGCCCGGAACGCACCGCCCACAACGCCGACGCAGCATCGCCAACGTAGCAGCCCTTCCGGGCTATCCGCCGTCAAGCCGTCGGGCTGTGGGCGGTCTCGCGGCAGGTGCCGTCCGTCAAGCCCGGCGGCAAGTACCGAAGGTCAGCCAGGCGCTAGTTTCTGCGCCACAAGCGCCGACACTCGGACCTGGAGGCATCACCAAACATCGCTAGTAGCCAGGAGGCGCCGAAGGCTCATCAGGAGGTAGTGGGAGGTAGCAGTAGATGCTACTCCGCCACGAGCTACCGGCCCTCTGATCCAGGAGGTACAGGCTCTCCGACCCAGAAGCGCTCTGACGCTCGGTCATATCCGTGCGGCCTGCGCGGGATGCGGTCGTATTCGTAGGGAAGTAGCGCACGGGACTTAGGGAGTTGCACTTGTGTGAGCAAAGCAGATGCGCTTGTTTGCACGGGTGAGGTACGTTCCGAGAGGCGCGATTGATGCAATCCGGAATCCGAGGGGCGCGAGAGCTGCAACCCGGGAGGCGCGGGGGGGACGCATGATGTTCCCGATGCCCGGCTGTGCCTCTCAGTCCACCGGCTTGTTGGAGGAGCAAGAACAAGGCGACGGCAAGGGAGGACCAGGCGGCGGCAAACAGAGCAGGCAACCGCAAGCACAGACCAGCGGAACATCAGCCAAGATCAGAGGTCGCAAGCACAGATCAGAGCGAGCGAGCACAGATCAGTCCCAGCCGAGCGCAGATCAGCACAAGGCGGCGGCGGGGGCGCCCCCTCGAGGCCCGCGGGGTGAGAAAAATCTACGCGAAGGCGCGTATCGCTCTGCCGCCGCAGCGTGAGATGATGGATGGGCGCAGAGTGGTGGGAGCAGGACGCAGGGCAGGGTGACAAGGGTAGGACGCGGCGTGACAAGGACCCAGCGTGTGCATTGTCAATGTCCATGGAAGATGGACGCAAGATGACTTCAGAATGGTCTCAAAACACAAGGCATGGAGCCGTGATTGACGGAGGGAATCGGTATACCTATGCTCGCGCGCGAGGAGGACGTCAAGGAACCGCAGGGATCGCCACCGGAGGCGTAGAGATTCGAGTAACGCCAAGTGAATGGCCCTCGTTAGCGCCGGGACGCGGGAGGCGAACGGGGATGCGGGAAGGCCCGCGTCCATTGTTGTGTGGCTGTCACCGATTGCCTTTTTTGTCGTCACGGGGTGACGAGATCTCTTTGAGCAGATTTGCCATGCTGCCGCGCCCGCGCGGTATAAATCCCATGCTCGGGCCCAACGTCCCCTTCGTTTCGCCCCGCCGCCGTCGCAGCCGCCGTCGTCGCCCGTGTCGGTAACGCGCGCCTCGGCGCCAGCGCCGCTGTCCTCACAACCTCTTGTTCTCACCCATGACTCTGTCGACCATGCCCGTCCCGACGTCGACGCACCGCCCGCCGCCGAGGCCCATACTGAAGGCGTCGCATTCCGCGGGCCCGCCCAGCACGCACTCGCACCTCCAGCCGCCGCACGAACGCGCCTTCCCCACGTCGTCCAGCGGGCCCCCGACCCCCTCGCGCGGCGTCCATTTCCCGCCCTCCCCGCGACTCACGCGCACGTTCTCCGCGCACCCGCCCTCGGACTACGACCGCTCGCCCATCGTCGTCGCCCCCAACACCTGCGCGCTCCCCGAGCGCTTCGGGCGCGTCTACACGGGCGAGGAGGATAAGGCCACGGCAAGGAGCGCCAGGAGTCCGCGCGTGGAGAACAGGGGTAACGGCTACGGCTTCCCCACCCACCCCCAATACGGCTACGCGCCCTGCCCGCCGTTGACGCCCGACGCGTCGTCCGAGTCCGACGATAGCGACGCGTGCGCGAGCCCGCCGCCCGACCTCGTCGTAGCTGGCGCGCATTCGCTGCCCTCACTGTCAGGGGCTCACACGGTGTCCGGTCCCAGTGCGTATGCGGGACGTGATGCATATACAGGGCGTAATGCTGGTGCGTATCTAACGCATACACCCACCCATTGTCGTCGATCCTCACCTCGTAGCAGGCGCATATACCTCGCGAAATGCGTATCCCACGCCCGACGCTGTTCCCATCTCCGGCGCCCACTCCATCCCTTCGCTCGCCTTCCTCCCACATGCGCCCAAAAGCGCTCGCCACGGACCCGCGAGCTCGGAGTCCGAGGACGAAGACGACGAAGAGGGTGGCCGTGCGCCGACGCCGACGCCAAGATCGTGCAACGGCGCGAGGATTCCCAGGAGCGGTTCGTCCGGAACGATCAAGGCGCCGAGAAGAGCTACACCGTCTGCGTCAGGGACGATCGGAGCTTCGTCGACTACCAGGACCGATTCATCGAATACCAGGACCGTTACATCGACTGCCAGGACCGATTCATCGAATACCAGGACCGATTCACCGCATACGATCACCCCACGGAAAGCGGGCTCCTCCAGCGCGCCCAATTCTCCGCGCCGCCGGCGGAAGCCCGTATCTACATCGAGCTTCAGTATGGCGGAGGAGGACTGTCTTGGCGGGTTCTGAGGGGATGTATGCGCGAGGGAGTTGGATGTATGCGCGCGACCTGCGTATATGCGCCAGCAACCTGCGTACATGCGCCAGCGACATGCGTGTATGCGCCGGTTCTTGCGCATATATGCACTCGCCGTCGACCCCATCGCTTCCGATCGGCACTCGCATCCGACTTCAACGTTCATCCCTGACCTTCCCGACCCCACCTTTAAAATCCCGCTCCAAGCAATACCTCACTTTTGATACCTCAACCACCTGTACTATACCTGCACGACCATTCGCCTCCTCGCCGCACCATTCCATCCTCACGCACGCATAATCTTGGCCTCGACTCCTCCTCAGCCAAGTTTCTGCACGACCTCATCCTTATGCACGGCCTTGTCCTCGTCTATTCCTCGGACGACCTCATTTTCGTCTTCCCTTGCGCACGACCCACCCACGACACATAGACACTGGATACCGCTGTCCATCCCATCCAGGGACATCGCTATGCACCCGTATGCAAGTGCATGCGGATACTGTATGCACTTGCATACGGATACCGTACGCATCTACGTACGGATACTGTATGCACTCACATACGGATACTGTTATGCATGCATCCCAGTTCCGCCTCCAATCACACGAAGCTCCTCTGTACTATATTCCGTAATTTCATGGCTGCGCCCTTTCCTGCTCTTCCTCCTCATCGTACTCTCGCTCGTAACTCACGATCTCCGTAGCTACCTTGCATTAGTTCCTATCATTATTGATTGTTTCTCTGCGTTCCTCGACTGGGCGACTTTGGTTCTTTTACTCGGCACTTCAAGTGCAGTACCCGATACCTTCCACTTCGGGGCTCGCTGTCCTATTGAGCCAGTCGGCGCCGTCAATTGACTTTGTCCCCGACTCGGCTTCTGACGCCCCTTCCTCGGTCGACGATTCCCTATACTTACGGTCCGGCATCACTGTCGTGTTCCTCGCCAGCACTTGTGAGTCCACTGTGTATGTCCGTGATCGCTTGCGTCTGACCTTCTCACCCTAGGGACTGTCGCGGGATGGACTCGTGCTTGCTGGACCCATTCTTGCGACGCTCGTGTTCGCTGAGCCCACCTTCGCTCTCACGTCCAGCAACTCACGCTCATATTCAGCAACGAATCACGCTCATATCCAGCAACTCACGCCTATGACCCGTGCTCGCTATGCGCATCTCGTGCCCGCTACATGCCCACGACTCGTGCTCGCTACATGCCCATACTTGCAACAAACGAGCTGTTCTTGTATGTCGCTCTCATGTTTAGCGACGAGCGGCGTCGTCTCGTGCTCGCCATAGCACTTCGCTTCTTCGGCCTGTGCTCGCTTTGAACCCATTCTTGCAACGTTGCGCCCACTCTCCTTCCTCCAAAGCAGTACCCACTCTCCTTCCTCGAAAGCGACATCGCGCCCACCTTCAAAGTCAACTTCGCCCAGTACGGGTAGCTTCGCGACTTCGCCGTGCCTGCGGTCTCATGCGCGGCATAGGTCTGGATGAGGTCGATCGTTTGTTGTTCGTGGATCGGTCCGCGTCGTATTCGTAGATCGGCTGGGATCAGTGCATCGGTAACTTCGCTGGTGACGCGAGGTCTATGCAATGCGGCGCGGCTTCGATGAATATCGCGGGCTTGACTTCGTCGAACATAGGGCGCGGGTTCTTCGGTAGTGACGCGAGGTCTACACGGTACTTCTATGGGCTCTACTGTTCCACGACCGCTGACGCGCCTTCTGCGACTAGCAGCGGGCCGCCAGGGTCTTTGTAACAGAACGTGGGATGTTCCTGCGACATTCCTATCCGCTGACGCGCCGCTGAGATGTTCCTCCGTTCCTTATATGGTTCTCTTCGACTGCTGACCCTTCTGCTCTGACCGCTGACCCATGCTACAGCTCGAGGATTGGTGGGCTCTGACCGGCGCGACTTCTATGTCTACCGACCCGACTTTCGCTTCTACCAATCCGACCTCTACACGACTGGCATGGATCCCTTGACCACTGGCTCAGGTTCCCGAGCAACTGGCGCAGCTATCACAGACTGCTGACCATGCGACCCCTCTACACGTCCGCGCATCGCGCTGGGATAATCGATGGGCGGCGCAGCGCGCAACAAGCCCGGGCATACAGGTCGACGAGTTCGGGTCTATGCGAGCTCAACCAGGGCATATCCCAGGTAGACCACGGATTCATTGACTAGCCTACTGCTCGCTACTGACCTTGCGCCTACTGCTGCTACTCGGCACTTGCCGTGGTACCTGCCAGTGACCATATGCTCAACGACCTGGACTTCACGAACGCAATGCCCTCTCCGAATGTAACTCCGCGAGCCCTGTGTAGAAGCTATCGTGCATACGCCTTGTCCATGAGTCTACAGCAAGCTCAAGCCTTACCGCACCTATCCACGCGCATGCCTGCACCTATTCACGCCTATACGGCGCTCGACTGCTATCTGCTAGCCTCTCAATAACCTCCTGCTATATCCACGCGGACGCCTCGGACTTGGAGGATCCCGGCGTTCTGCCTGCCGAACGTGCGTTGGGTGATAAGAGTTCATATACTAATGGCCCCCGCACCTCCCTGGACGCTCTCAGGGATCGTGCAGCCTGATAACAGCTAATGAGCTGCTGCTACCAGTCGGCGAGTCTCCTGATATGACTTGGTGAACTGCTGATAACTTCAGGCCGGGGCGCTGCTATCCTGAAATTAGCTAGGGAACGCGCCCCAGAGTACCCAGGGTCCTACGCGTATACGTACGCAAACAGGTGTGAATGGGATGTACCGCGCGTTTCGTATGCTGCATGTATGCTACTGAAGGCTTGAATAGATTCGCCTCGTCGATTCGAAGACCGACTCATGAATGCGAATCCACCCTTGAAATCTGCTTTTCATGAACCTGCATTCGGCCGACCCGGGGCCATCGCATCTCCTGTGCGCTCATCTCGTCGTGATCCTCATATTCATCTCATCGCGACTCTGGTATAGAGCTCATCATGACCCTCCTACTCATCCCATCGCGATTCTTTCCGAGGTCCATATACAGGCGCAGTAGTCATCTCATCACGACCCTACCTGGGTCATCCTCATCTCATAACGCGTCCACCGGAGTCATCTCATCACAACCCCGCCCCCGTCACTGGTCCTGGTAAGTCTGGGAGAAGGTCGAGTACGCATGTGTATCACTTCATCGCACGTTCGCCTCCAACGACTCCCCGAAGTTTGTCTCTATGTCACCACTGCGCACATTCATCGCATACTCGCCTGATCATCGCGCACTGATCAATCTCATGTCCCAATTCGTCCACGCCCACTCATCTCCCAACTTATCCACGATATGAAGCAATGATCGGACCCTTCTGCGGGGCGGCGGACCGTAGGACGAGGCCATGCCTTCCCGAATGGTCTGAGAAGCGCGGCTGCGGAGGTAGGAAGGTCGACGCATAGCTGAGAAGGGGAGAGGTCGTCATCTGGCGCTATGGAATCGGATCCACCACGCACCTGCCGGAACCGGAAGGGCGAAACAATTGAGCAGGAAAACGCACCCAAGTCAAGATGATATCCAAACACCTGGTATTACAATACAACACAGCGGCAAACATCTCCTCGCACCACTCTCCGGCAAACCTCAGTCCGCCTCCGCAAACTCGCGCATCTCGTTCAGGTGCTGCGCGACCTCCTTCTTCATCTCGGCGATATCCTCGCTGCTCTTGACGATGGCGTGAATGGTCTGCTCCTTGAGCCGGTCGACCTTCTCAATCTGCTCCTTGTAACTACAGATAAATTCGTCAGAGATAATAAAGAAGATGCCCAAACGGTTACGGACCTGATCTGAAGCGCCGACAACTTGGACTTCACGCCCATCCCGTTCGCCAAGGCCACAGTGCGCGCATGGGCGAGTTCGCGTTCCAGTCGACTCGCTTCTTGGGACGCGACGTATGCTTCTTGTTGAGCGGCCTAGGATTCAAAGCAAGATGAGTCCACGAATCGCAAAAGCGGAGACGAAGAAAATAACGCACATCGCGCAAGTTGTCAGCTTGCTCGTTGATTGCATCCGCCTTATTCTGCAACTGCCCATTCTCGTCCTCCAGATTCTCGCACGCCAGCGTCACCCTCTCCAGCGCATCGTCCAGCTGCATCTTCTCATTCTCCAACGCCGCCCTCTCCGCCCTCTTCCTCGCCGCGATCTCTTCCAGCGTCGGAAGCACCACCTGATTCACATCTGCGCCCACCAACAGATCCCGCGTATCCCCCGCCGCCGTGTTCAGCTGCAGGCTCAGGTCGATATCCTCCCACGGCGGCTGCAGCGGCGGGAACAGCCCGAGCGTCGCGAGGAGGTTCTCGTAGGCGTCGAGCGCTTCCTCGGCGGCGGTGCTGCGGTGCGTGACGGCGATCTCGGTCGAGTGGACGGCGCGCTGGGCCTCGAGGAGCTTGGTCTTGAGCTCTTCGGTGGTGCGGGTGAGCGTTTCGTAGCTGGTGTTCATCTGCTGGACTTCCTCGAGGGAGAGGTTCTGCGTGCGCACGATGCCCAAGTACTTCTCGTGCTCGGCGTGGAGTTGTTCGAGATCGCTTTCTGAACGCGTGATCAGTCGGAGGACCCAGATGGTGAACCAAGCGACGACGCCTACCGTTCTTCATCAGCGTCGCTTTCAAGTCCAGGATCTCGTTCTGCAGTTTCCCCTTCTTCTTCGCTTTGACATCGAGGATGCCCCTCATCTTGACGGAGTCCGACTTGAGCAGTTTATTCTGCTCGAGCAGCTTCGTGATAGGGTCCTACATCGCACTGCTCAGTAACTGCAGGCGTCAATGAGGGAATTTACTCACGGCTGACGCGCGTAGCTCCTTCAACTGCTCGCGGGCCGCCACGGTCTGCTTGTTGATCTCGTCCAGCTCCTGTTGAACTTTCTCGACCTTCCGCGCTGAATGAGTCCGTGAGCGGGAGCTGATGATCACAAGTACTAGACATTCTTACCATAGCGCTCCTCCAATTCTTGCGTCGGCTCCGGAAAGTCATCCGCGCCTTCCAACCACATCGCGTAGGAGTTCGCATAGTACTCGAACGCGAGCGCACGATGTTCGTAAACACTGTCGAACTCGTCGGGTATATTTGCTGTCAGCTGCAGAGTCGGGTGCGAGCTCTTCACGTAATGCTCTTTGAGCTGCGCAAGATCATCAATCGAGTGATCCCTCTTATTCACGATGGAGAAGTAGCCCGACCTTGCAGAGCTCGACCAGCCAATGCAACACGCCCAGCAGCGACGGCCAGGAATGCATACTCGCAGGCGCAGCGAGCCAATTATTCGATATCGTATGCGCGAAAGGGTACCTCTGCGCCTTCAGCGCAGGCACAAACTCCTCCTCGAGCCGCGCGCCCGGGTTAAAAGGGTACGCCGGGTCGAGCATCTGGATCAGATAATTGAAAATAGAACGAAAGTCCTTCGCGGTGATATTTGCGAGGGTCGCGTTCGTGATTTCCATACCGCAACTCCTGAGGTATTCGATGATGTCGCGGCGCATGAGAGCCTGGTAGGACTTCTCGCGTAGCGGGCGAGGGTCCTTTCCGCTCGCCTGAGGTCCGGTAGCTTGACTTGGCCCCGCCTGGCCGGGCCACATCGAGCCTCTCCGTACGCTGCTGCAAAATGGTCAGACTTTATGGCCATTGCGCACGCTACGATGTGCAAACTGACTTATTCAAAGGCGTCCTTCCTACATTGGGCTTACTCGCGCTCATCAGCAGCGGGTTCCCCGCCTGCGAGCGCATCATCGAGTGTCTCGGGTTCGTTGAAGGCGGAGCCATTGAAACCCTCCCCGCGGGCCCCGCGAGCGACATGCGCATATTGTTAGTCGAGGATTTCTTTACGGTGCTGGGCACAGGCAGGTTGGACCTCGCATTGCCGTAAGCGTCCGAGGGAGGCGGCATCGTGGATTTACGTCTGAGTTCGGACATGATTGCCGATGAGGAGGCAGACGGCAAAACGCGAGATGGGAGCAGGAGGCAAGGCGCTAATGGCGTGACGCGACGCGTTTGTGACATTCATCAACACGCACGTGACTCCCCAATGACCGTGCAAGTCGAAGTTTGAGTTGAAGCTCCTCTTCGTCGTGGTATCGAAGAACGATAGGCAGTTAAGAGGGAAAGTAGTGTGCATGCAATAATGCTGACTACGCGAAAGCTAAGGTATCTGAAATTCCGGACCTAGATTAGACGTGAAATGGATCAGCGCTTTCCTCGCAACACCATCGACCAAGCCGCCCGTTGTTCTCGACACTAGGAGTTGTCGCACCAGCCCTTCCAAGTCACCGTCTGACTTGCGACCTGAGCGCAACGTGAGGTGCGTCAGGTCAGGAAGATGCGTCGGTGATGACTCCTTATATGTAAGCCACTCTAGCAGCTCGCCCCGCAGGAGGGAATCGCGGTGGGACACGGTGTCTGCGAGTTCTTCGATCCGCAGCGTGTCAAGGGCAATGAGAGCGTCCAGACACTGGTACAAAAGATCGAATCTATGCTCATAGGTTTCGATGTCTTTCAGTTCGAGGATGCGAAGCGACGACAGAGTCGTTCGCTGTATCATCCAAAGCAGAGACGACAGGGGACCCTCAGGCCACATCTCCGGGTCATCCCATTCGTGGTCTTGGCAGACAGTCAAAGTTTCCAAGGCAGGAGCAACGATGACGGGAAGGAAGGCATGCGCGCAGCCAGATACGATCAGCGTCCTGAGTTGGGGAGCGTGATAGGTGGTGGGGCTGAGCAGCATGTTGATGAAACAGTCGTCGAACGCGCCATGTTCGGCGTCGGCGTCAAGAATACTGAGCTTCCTTAACTCCTTCGCGTCCATGAGGTGGCATAGGACCGTACAGAGCGCGCATGCTGAGTGCAAGAAGTAGGTCGCAGACGTGACCTGCCGCTTCCACGACGGTAAAACTATATCAGGGAACCCGAGGTCGATGGTGATTGTACGCAGGAGCGGTGCGTGTCGCACAAAGTCTAGCGGCAGTTCGCCTCTGTAGTCTTTAGGCCAAGTGTCGGAATCAAGAACCAGTGATTCGAGCAGCGGGGTCTGAGCCTCCACTTGTGCGGCGAATACAGCGAAGTCGGCCGTGACCGCGAGCGTCTTCCACCTCTGAGCGGAGAGCGCCGCAAGGTCCTTGAGCGCTCTTGCCGTCTCCTCTCTCGCGAAGCTTCGCGGCCTGTCCCATTCGCCTCGCTCGCCATATCTTTCTATGCCGGCAACGTGAACGTGCAAGGGCAGGTTGCCGGAGAGCGATATGTAGACCTCTAGGTTATCTGCGAGGTACCTGCCATCATACTTGATGTTGACCGTCGTCCAAAGCTGGGGATAGCTGACTGATATAGCGCGCCAATCGCGGCAGACACGAGTGAACCTGGGCGCTCCGAGGTTGCGTGACGACGCAGGGTACAGCGAGACGACGATGAGGAATATCTCGCAAAGGATCTCGCAAGGGAAGTTTCTTATGGATGCAGGCAGAGAGGTGATGTCGACATGAACCCGATCGTGCGGATCATGGACCAGTGTCGACTCGGAGGCAGGTATTTTCATGATGGAGAGAAAGCGCCATAGGCAGATGTCCTCGTCATTTTCCTAGGCTTCATCAGCATAACACGTCCGCATTCAATATGTTGGGAGTTAGTACCTGCTTCTGGTTCTTCTTGTTCTTCTTATCTTTCCAATCCCATTTGTAGCCTCGTTTCTTGCGCGACATCTAGTGTGCGCGTGTCAAGGTCACGCAGAATGCTTTTCACCCTATTACATACCTCTTCTCAGTGACAGACGATCAAGTGAAGACGATGAGCCCTGAGCAGCGGCCGAACGCGCGTTCGTGGTAGAGGCTAACTTCGGGCATGGCACGAGATTGCAATAGCCATGATCAATTCTAAAAATCCGGAAATGCCGCGAAATTCCCAAAACGGAAGTCGGCCCTTCCCCCGCGCAAACGTCGTCCTTCCCGTCACCTCAAGCCCTCGGGGCAGTCCGGTAATGTTCTGCAAAATCGACAGATGTCGTCCTGAGCCTCAGGCGGAAGTCTTTGGGCTCGAAGACTTCGATGAAGTGTGACATGCGCCTGTAAACATTGCTGCCCCGGTTCCTTGGCGGGTTCTGTACTACTACGGCCTTCTGCTACCACTGCAAGCAGTCGATAAACTGTCTAAATGCATTCTCTTAGTTGTCAAGTATTTTGAATGCCGCCGAGTCTCGTGCAAGGCGCAGGGTGTGCTGAGAATGTATGCCGACGTGCAGGGGAGCCTTGTAACGACTACAGCACGTTTAGCGGGAATTTAAGGTCAACATAAGCAAGTTAGATCAGTAGTAATGGTACTTCACCTACAAGAGCAACGAGAGCGGTCCGTAAAACCGTGTTACATGCCAATTACCACTAAAGTCGCTGTAAAGTCGCTTCTGGGCTCGTAGACATCTTGTGGTACGGCCGTGGGTGTATTGATGAGAGTCATTGTACATTTCCCTGGCCTGAGAGTCTTTCTCAGGGTATACGCACACGCGAACACATCCAACTTGGCAAGAGGTGTGGGCGGCGCAGGTTACCTGCCATTTTGGGACGCAAGGCCGAGCGCAGGTGAGATCAGGCCGTCGAGGCTCTTGTCTCTCCGGATCTCAGTCGGTTTGGGCTCTAGACGACTTTTCCTTAGTTTAAATGATTTTTCCCGCTCAGTCTGAAGACCTGAGGTGACGGGATGGACGACGTTTGCGCGGGGGAAGGGCCGACTTCCGTTTTGGGAATTTCGCGGCATTTCCGGATTTTTATAATTGATCATGGCTAATATCTGGTTCGGCAAGTCCCGCGTACACGTGACACGTCGAACTTCAACCGGCGATCGAACAATCGCAAATAGCGTCTGTGCTTCCCCTTGCACGTCGTTAAAAACATATTCATCCTCCATATTTACTTTCTTCTTGTTAGTCTCTTCTTGCGGCGGTCGCGCTGGCGCTGCTAAGTAAGAATCGACCTCACAGTGACTCACAGCGCCTCCGGTGTATGCGGAAGTTCAGATGACCGAGTGGTTAAGGTGATGCCCTGCTACGCCCCGTAGCCTCAGCCCAGGCATTGTGCTTTGCACGCGGGTGTTCGAATCGCCCTCTGAACGCAGCCTTTTGCTTCGCAGTCTTCACGTCGCGGTCCATCAAGCACACTCGGTAGTTATTGATACCACACTTGGCAGTCCTTGCTCGCGAATTTACTCAGGCAGGCGCCCAAACTCTGAGTTACGCTATGACACCGCCGACTGTCACCTTGCTTGCAAGGTATCTACAGCATGCTCATTGACGACGCCACGAGTTTTTTTGCGGCATAAGTACAAACAAAAGATGTCACCCGTCACCTGCCTTCACTAGCGCAGTTCTCAGCGCTTGAGGGGATCTAAGATGGGACTCGCCGTCCTGACCAGTCTAAACAATCGAGGAAGTGCATTCAACAATGTAAGAGAGCGTTGCTCTCTTGAGTCCTTGTGTCCTTAGTTCTCGCAGATGAACCGAACCGCGTGCTAGCGATTGACTCGAAATACAAGAAACAGGATGGTAAGAACTACTCTCAAAAGTCCGCGTGTCCGAATATATAGTACGATCGGGTCCACGTGATGTGGACCCATAGCTGTCCATGTCCGTATACGTAGCGTCCCCATTACACCCTCCCCCTCTGGACGGCGTCAAGCGTCCCAAGAAACCAATGACCACGAGCGCATTGCAGCGCCAGCCCCCAAGCCAATCCCTCACAATCCTACGCGTCGACCGCCCCCGATCCAGCCCCTTCGCCCTGCGGTGGCAGGGGTTGTGCCAAATCGTCCTTCGGGACATCCGCGTCGACGCCCGACTCCGGCTGTGCACTGCCCTCGGCGCTCAATGCGGAGGGGTTGTCGATGGGTGTAGCGGCCACAGCCTCAGGCTGCGACGGCGTCTCCTTGCTCGCATCCCCCATCTCCTCGTCGCGCTCGACTGTGTCACCCGACGCAGTCGGGTGCGCTGCGGGCGGCACGTTGGCCATAACCCACCGCTCAACTGCAATCACCGGAAGCTTACGCATCCGGTATTGCTCTGGGTCATTCGGTGCGTAGATGAAGTTGGGGTCGGCGATCGCGTCAATGCACGTCGGCGGACTGCGGTGCCCTAAGAGGACCTGGTCGCTGCCAGGTAGCGGTGGCGCTGCATAGAACCACTTGGGGTCCTGCGACGATGTGGCCCAGTACGACGGGCCGGGAAGCCCTTGGGGCCATCTTCCGCCATCCTGGAGGACGTGCGACGCGATCGAGTCGAGGACAGCTTGCGATCTGTCGACCTCATCCACCAACTGTAAGTTGACGTAGCAGGCCTCAGCGACGAAGGGGAGCATGTCATTGAACTCGATCGGGTTGATGCCACACTCGCTCGCGAGGAACTTGACGAAGTGGGGCATGTCGAGCGGTCCGTGGTTAGGCGTGAATCGAGACAATGCACGATTGAGCCTAAGTTCCACACCAAACGACTCGCACCAGGCGATGTACCCGACACGGCCATTCCCGGGTCCCGTCGTGGCGAGCTCTCCGATGAGGAGAATCGCTTCCGTCAACCACCTGTACTGGAAGTCGGTGGTGTCGTCGGGCAACATCCGCTGCAGCGTGCACCATGTCCTCACCTGGCTCACGGCCAGGAAGTGCGGGTCCGCGTTGTGCGTTCCCCAACGCATCGTCCGAATGCCTCGCGGCAGGGCGTTCACATTCGTGGCCAGCGTGGTGATCCATACCCCGAGAGGCGCATCTCGGGTTGGCGTCAGCGGACGATCATGACGAGGGTCCGCAACCGTGCGCGGGAGGGCGTTGAACTTCTGGATGATGAGCTGGGTCGGAGTGCGATCCACCCTCCGAGTCCGACCCAAGGGCGCCGTGGCTGCCGTGAGGGCGCCATTGCGGGATATGACCTTGGGCACACGAGTGATGTCCATCATGAGCATCACTTGACGCTCGCGCACGTACTGCAAGGCTGCCGGGTCGCGGATGGCGACCGCGACGGGGTGCAATGGTTCGGCGCGCAACTCCAGTGCCCGCTTGCGTCGCAGTTGACGCCGATCTCGGATCCTCTCACTGTCCGAGTCGGGTTCGCCACTGCCCAAGTCCGACTCGTCATCATCTTCCTGCAGCGGCGTGAAGGTTGGCTCATGGCCTGGTGGGAACACGCCGGGCCCATGCGTCGTGGTCGCCCATCCGTCCGTGCCACCGGTCCAGTTGGCCGGTCGGAATGGCGAGAACGGTTCGTTCGGAGCCCCAAAGGGTCCGAGCCTGAAGTTGCGAGCGCCTCCGCGCCCGCGCGGTCGTCCTCCTCTACAACCTCCTCGTCCAAAGTCACCCCCTCGTCCTGCTCGTGGGCCGGTTGACGTTGGCGCGCGTGCAGGCGCGTTCGACGGCCCTGCCCGTGGCGGTTCGTCAGCGCGCGCGCGCTTCTGCACCGGTTCGCGCGATGGCGACCGCGACAGGAATGACCTGGCCTCCTCCGCCTCTACATCGTCTCTTCGGCGAATCGACCCCGCCGACTCGCCAGCTGCGGACACGTCCTCGCCGTTGTGGAAATCGTCGAGGGCCTCGTCGTAATCCATCCGAATCCACCAGTGGCAGGGGCCAAAAGGCTTTTGTCCATGGCTCTAGCCATTGGGGCCAAATGCATTTCGCACGGCTGTAGCCATTGACGGCTGCAGCCATCGGCTGACCTAGGCTACTGTTCTGAGCCAGCTGAGCCAACCCAGTCAGGCTGAGAGCTAGACTCGGCAGCTCAAGTGCTGAGCTCGATTGACCCAAGATGGGCCGAGCCAGGTATTCCAAGTGAGTTCAGTGGCTTGGCTTCAGCCCAAATCTGATCTGAACACGAGAATGCAATACACATCTAGACTACACATACTCTCAAGACAAGCTATCCACCTCAAAACTTCTAGTCCTTGATCTCCTGCACAACGGCAAAGTCCTCCTCGCTCACCGCAGCCTTCCCCGAACCTGCTGACCAAGCCACGTGGAACGAGGTTCGCAAGCGGCCGTAAAGGTGAGCCTGACGCAGCGCGTATGCGCGTAACCCAGCCCTGCCTGCAGGATCCAGCTCCCCCTCAAAGCGTGCGAGCTCCTCCCAATGGCGACAATTCCAGCGTAGGCACCGGAGGACCCGACGCATCTCCTCGGTGATGATGTTGACCTCCTCAGTCCAGCGCTCGGAGCGTGCGCGCGCCTTCGCCCACTCAACGCGAACTGCTGTGCGAATGTCAGATAGGAACACGAGAACAACAAAGGGAACGTACCATCGTGAACTTGAGCCTCTGTGTCTTGGTTGGGGCCGCCGAGCGCCGTCCAAATCCACGAGGTGAGGTTGCGTCGTGAGTCGGCATCGCGCACGGATGCGATAGCACGATCGCGGGCAGTCAGCGGCGTCGCGTCGGTCTTGCGTGTGTTGCTGATTGCGCGACTGCCACGCTCACCGTGGTTGTTCAGGCGTTCCGTGCTGGCGCCATCGGCTTCTCGGTCGTCGTCGATGCTAAGGTCGCTGCTCCTAAGCTCGCGGAACGCAGGATAGTCGTTGGCGGGGGTGATGCAGAACAGGCCGCGGCGGGCAGCGCGATACTTCTCCGCGACTCGCTCGATCCGTTCGTCGAGACGGGCGATGATGTTGCGTGCGCGTGTAGACTGTTGCTGCCCTGTTGCATGAGCGTTGCGTTCGTTGATGATGTACCGCCTCGCATGCAGGCGGTTGCGAATATCCTTCAACGCGTCAGTGCACTGAGCGACACGTAGGCTCACTTCAACTTTGGCGAGCCCCTCGACGCAGCCTTCTTCACGTTCTTCGCGCGTGAGATTGGATGGCAGCCATATCTTGACCTCTTCAGCATCCGGGGGCGGAGTGTCCGGGTTTCGCGCTTGCTCTTCGGCGAGAGCCTTCGCAACGGCGACCGGCATGAAATGTTCTTGAAGAGCGCGATAGCGCGTCAACTTCTTGAACCACGCGACACGTTGTTCTTGGACCTTCCTGTCGCGGTCCAGGGCGGCGAGGGAGATGTCCGCGGCCATCGCTGCAATGCGACGTCTAACAGGTTTGAGTGTCAGCCTATATACGAAACGGCCAAAAGTCGTGTACTCACTGCATTTCCTCAAGCTGCAAGCCAAGAACGACGAAGGCAGCTTTCGTCGTCGCTCGCATGGGAGTTCGGCCCAACTTGATGTCTTCGGCCTCGTCGCGCACTAGCTGGGCGCGAACACCCTGCTCGGAAGGTCCTTCTGTAGCAACGTGTCAGTAAGCTGCAGACGTTCGAGCACTGGGACGTACCAGAAACTTGAGGCATGAACGGGTTTGGCTTGCTGACATCGTCGCGTTCGTACTCGTCGTACATTTTCTGCCAGGTCTTGAGCACTTGCGGCTCCAGGGCCTGCTCGATGTCGAGGAGCTCTGCGCGGCGTTGCTCTCGCTGCGCTGTTGCAAGCTTGTGGCGACCCTCAAGGACATGGCCTAAGCATTGTTGTTAGTAGACCCTACGACATGCGATTCGTATCCATACCTTGCCCCACGTTCTTCTGGACATTGTGATGCGCTGTCCAGTGCTCGATGACACCGTCGCGCACCCCTTCCCCCATCTCCTTAGTAGCCGCCGCCATACTGTTCATCTGCGACCAGATTCGCTCTGGCCCCTCGCCGTCAGGCTTTCCGGCACCACACGCGTACCGTACGGAGTTCGCGCTACGGCAGGCAATATCGTGGACATTGCCATGCCAGACAGGCAGGCAAACGTCGACGTCGAAGATGGGCCGCTGGTTGGAAAACTTGGGCTGGATGGCGGCGGGCAATTTCTGCACGCGGGCGAGGAGTCCTTTCTTCCATTGGCAGCCGATGTCGTATGTGAGCATTACTCGGGGTACTTGCTCCCCCTGCAGTGAGGACCAAAATATATAATCCATATTCGCATATCTAGGTTTCCGTCAGTCAGGCGAACATATATCTGGACTTGCACGACGTACCTCTCTCCCTTCTGAAGATCGCCGAGGCCGTTGGGCCGTATGGTCTCGTGGCGCGTACAAGAACATGCGCCGCATCCAGATACACGGCAGCCTGTTGTTAACTTCGTGTCCTTCTCCATGAGCGCCGCAAACGAAATGCAAGTGCTGACCTGAAAGTGCGTGTCATTAGCAGAACTGGAGCTATGGAAGGTGACGTACATCTTCCTCATTTACATATCCCTTGAGGTGCTCCTTGAATTGCTGAGGTTCGACGAAGCAGCCAGAACCGCCGCCCAGAGCTGCGTCCGAGCGCGCGTTCTTGCGAAAGCGGTTCTTGAGCCGAAAGTTTGCATCCATGGAGAGGAAAAGTGTATGAATATATCTGCCATACGTTAATCGGACGCAGCCACAGAACGTCGAGGTGAAGTACTCACTGTGTAGGGTCTTCGCGCCATCTTGCCGGCATATTGACACCTTCGCGAGGACAAGCCCAGCATCGCACGGCAGCCTCGCCGGGTAGCGTGCCAGCGATGCCACGCGCGTCATGCGCGCGTCCCGCGCGCATCATTCGGTGTAGGAACGCCCATTGTCGAGTCATCACTCCGAAAGATCTATAGCACTCCTACTCATCCGTAAGTAATCGTTAGCCATACAGTGAGTGAGAACTCACTGCGAGGGGCAGCAATCGGAGCGCATTCCCCGAGGTTTGCAGTGAGGTAATGAAATCGCGGACGTTGGTATTCGCGATGGCGGTGAGCAGCATGAAGTGGTCGAGCGCGGAGAACAGCGCGCATGTGCCGGGCTCGATAACGGTGGCAGGATACCACCCTTCGCGAAGTAGTTGTTGTACGTGATTGGCGCGCTCGCCGCGAGAGCAGGCACAATATCGAATGTTGACGCGGCATATGTGAGTGGCCGCGATCACGGTCATCGAGTAGACCGTTGGCTGGGGCGCGGGGCACGGCAGTCCACCATGACCGACTTGGTAGACGAGCCCGAGGTCCTTGAGTGAGACCAGCTTGTCCCAGAAATCGCCGGTCCAGCGCTGTTCAGCCAACTTGAGTTCGTTGCACGGGCTGGTAAGGACTGTGAGACGTACCGCGATGCGATGGAGCGGCAGGTGCTGGTGTTGTATCAAGCAGCAGCTTCCACAAAGAATGTGTACGCCGCAGTCGGTGCACTTGAAGAACGACATGTTGGGAGATGGGCCGGCCTTGCACGACGCACACTTCAGGTTCTGATGATCGCCGGCGAGGCCTTCATGACGCAGAAGCTCGTGGAGGAACATCTGGTCGTAAGGTCTCCAGCACTGCATAGGGTCGTCCTTCGAAAAATTAGCGTGATATGTCAGGACTGATGGACAATAACGCACCGACGCGTATCTCTTGCGCTTGCCGGTAGACGCGTCGGTCACTTCGATAACCTGGTCCTCGCAGCTAACGCCCTCGCCCATCATGAAGAAGGGTATGTACTCCTCGAGGGTGTCCGAGCGCGACGGCGCTATTGTGGGCTGCCATGCGTCCACATCGTCGCCCTCTTCATGCACGCGACGCCGTTGAGCCACGGGCACCAATACATCGGAGTGGCGTGCGTGTCGCCTGACATCAGTGGAGAACTCGATTCCCCGACTGACTCTGACACGCGAAGTGGACGCGGTCGAGGCGGTCGTACTCCTTGAGGGCAGATACGATTCCGTTATAAGCTGTGGACCCGCCGTCCTCTTGCTTTGCGATCCGGATTTCCGCGAGCGATTAGACATAGCAAAGGAATGAGAAGAGAATGTGGTGAGAGAAAAGATCGTGAGGGAAACGCGCGCAGAAGGACGGTGAGACGGGCGAAGGGGTGGTGGTCGGCGGTCTCAAGCTTGTTGACAGTGGCTGTGCGATGCCGCGGTCTTGTGACGCAAGTCCCCATTTGGAAGTAAATGTGCTCATATTTTCAACGCGAACACTAAATTACTGTACGTATCGAGATTCTACTCATTTGCCCTGGACTTCTTCTCTACCATAGCATGTATCATAATCTGTAGGTCACGAACAGCAATAGCCCATTGTTTTTCCAGATCACGCAGCCTCGGGTCCTGAACCGCCGACTCCTTGCTGCGGGACAAGCCCTCCCTCACCCACTTCAACACGACGACGAGATTTAGGACACCGTTGATCCCGCTACACTCCAGCTTGCCCATGTCGTCCTCGGACACCGTGCACGGTTCGAGCGTCCCGTCTGCTCGAGTGTTCCGCCAGCTGGGAGACAGGCGACGGTACCACTCCCACCATCTACGAAGGAGGCCCTGCGCAGACGAGAAGTCTTTCAGGTCGGGCTCGCCGCTAAGGCCGCGATTCCATCGTGCGTGACTGACCCAGACCCCGACTTCCTTCGGACGGGTGTTGAGTGTGGGTAGTGCTTTTGCAACCCCCTTCGCGTTGCTGTAAGCATATGCCTCCTCCCACAACGCATAGTCTCGGAGGAGTGCTTCCCAGTCAGGCCCGAAGTCATGAGCAACGTACTGCCACGCATCGCGGAACCACGCAGCTGCCGTGTTTTCGCGAGCGCTTTGGGGAAGCTGTACCGCTGAGACGACGGCCGCGGGCGCTGTAGGGGAGGGCGCGCGTGTAGTGGGAGATGGGGGTTGAAGACTCGCGCGTGATGCGGAAGCAGGGATGGGAGGCGACTCTGAGGGCGCGCTGGATGTGTTACGCAGATCCGGGCCATTGACAGAGGTGGCAACCCCTGCACGTCGTGCAGCCTCATCGCGTGTGATCGCCGACGGGGCGTGTTCGCGTTGACGCTGTAGCGCCGACGAACGTGCGCTCTGCCGACGCGATGCTACAGGCTGCTCGGGCTCGATGGGCGGAGGGTTGACCTGTCCGAGGAGCAGAGGATCGATGAGCAGAGGGTCGACCGGCTTAACCGGCTCACGCTGCTCGATAGGCTCGGGGGTGAGATGCTCGACGCGCTCGGGGCAGAGCTGCTCAACGCGCTCAGGCGTGAGCTGCTCAGTGGGCTCGGGGGCGGGTCGAGAATGCTGGAGCGGCAGGCCGACAGGTTGCTGAGACGCGAAGGCGGGGGTCTGATCGAGGGAGGGAGTGTCCATGGAGGACGACGTGGTGTTCTTCTTCTGCCGCTTGCGCGCGCTGCCGCTAGTATTCGCGAGCGGTACTTCGTCCTCGTCCTCGTCATTGTCTTCGCCGTCGCTCTCGTCGTCGTCCTCCATTTCTTGCGCCGTGAACTCCGTCCTACCGAGGCTGCCGGGAGTATGAACGTCTGGAGCATTCAGGTCAACGGCCGCGCATTCCTCGGGACCTAATGACGCGATCAGCATTGGATGTGGGACGAAAAGCCTGCGACGTACTCCAGATTGTCTCAATGTACTCCAACCACGAGCCCAATACATCCTTCTGGTAGTGGGACTCATCCCATAGCGAGAACGGGAGGCCTTCAAGATTCTTCCCCATGACGAAGCTGAATACGGCGTGAGCAAAGCCAGCCAGCTATAGACGAGATGGTGTACATACTGTCTGGCTTTAGGTTTACCACCTTCCTCGGGCAAGCGCGCACCGACAAGTAGTACGACGTTCCCATCCATGCGCGAGACGATGCCGCGGAGGAGGGGCTCAACAAACGCGTCTAGGCAGTCCCACGCCCTAGAAGATGTCAGTATCCGGCACAATTCATCAGTACGCGGTTACTCACTTCTGAATGGACTTCGCATCGCGTCTGGGGGGCTCTTTTAGAGCCTTCTCCCAAGCCTCCTTCTCCTCCCGTGCGGTCTGCCGAGCGCGCGCGCCATAGCCAGCCTTCTCCGACGCCGGCAGCTTGTCGAAGTAGTTCTTCTTGATCCAGCCCATGGTCCAATTGACGGACTGCTTCTCGATCATATTTTTGCCGTTCATGACGAAGCCTTTGGAGGCCATCTCGTCCTCGAATGCCGCCCCGGCCGCTACGGAGGCGTCCGGGTGCTCGTGTGCGTATTGCTGAACGGGCTGAAGCGCTTTCTTGGCACCTTTAGGGCTCATACCGCAGAGTTGGAGTACGAGGCGGTCGAAGGGGTTGTTTCGGTTGGCACGATACTGCTGCCGATACCCAGGAACCTTCTTCGCGCGCCAATGCACCCAACGATGGAGCATCTGTTGAATATGAGCGTCAAGGTTGCAAGTTTAATATCTGCACGACTCACCCCATTCAGCTCGGTGAGAATCGCGGATCGTTCCGCCTCCTCCTCGTCGGACAAGGGCTCGAGCACAGGAGGGTTCAAGGGATCGTACTCCGGCAGCGGTGTCGTAGGTTCCTTGGTGTAAGGTAGGGTCCACGGGATCTTGGCGTGGTATTCGGCGCACAACTCGCGAATGACTGCCTGCCCAGCAGGCCACCCTCCTTTGGCGACGGCGTCGACGTAGCGGGGGACGTAGGGCTTCATGAATTCTTCGCGCACGCCCTCCGCCCAGTTCTTTCGATTACGACGCTCTTCTTTGGGCTTTCCGCCTCGCTTCCGCTTTTTCCCGGCGCCCTTACGAGCAGGCGCCGGAGGACGCGTCGCCGCTTGAGCAGGCGCCGTACGTGTCGGCGACGACGGAGGAGCTGGCAACGAAGCGAGAGGAGAAGGAGATGCCGGGGGAGGCGGCTGCAGCGGTCGCGTCGTCGTGGTTGGCGCTTGGGCTGTAGCTGGCTCTGGCTGGGTCGGACGCGGCGAAGCGAATGTCGTAGTGGGCGGCGTCTCGGTCATTGGGTACGAGAACTGTCGGCTCGCGTCAGGAGGCGATTGGACCGTCGCAGTCGGATTCTGGACGGGCGGCGGCCACGTAGGAGGCGGCCATGTTGGGGGTGGCCCCGACATAGGAGGCCCGTCCATTCCCGCCGGGCTAGGGCGCCATGACCAGGAGGATGGCTGCGTCGACATCGGCGGCGGCGGCGGCAGAGCACCAGAGGTCTGCTCTGAGGAGAGGCCGTTCTCCATGAGAGGGGAAGAAGACGAGGAGGAAAAAAAGAGACTTGCCGAACTCCACCGCTCGGGCGCCAGTCCCGTCTGGCATAGCACCCGGCAATTGCAATTAGAGGGCGAACTTGTCGCGACGAGATCGTGCTCAAGATCGGGACATGTGGCTTGAAAGCGGAAGCTTTTTTTCCCCGCGTTGAGCGCCACTGTACAGACAAAGTCGGACATCGAGAGATAGAGCTGAAAATCCAGTCAGTCACTGCCGCACAACAAGATAGCATACCTTTCATCTTTCAAGGCCTCAGATCAAGGAAACGGAGCTATTCGTTGATGAGTTGAATCGAGCAAGGTGAGTACCCAAGGGTGGCGCGCATCCCCGACGTACCGAGATACTCACCTGGTATGAGATGTCTCGCTCAGCCATAAACACCTAATATTTGGGCTGGATATTCAACATTCTGTAGGGAGTGGTTAGTACACAGAGAACTTCACTCACGGCTAACCTCGAAGTCGTACCTGCTATAGTCGCCGCTCGAAGGTTCGTCGACCAGATCGTCGTCCCATTGGGCATATATCAGTGATACATTCGATCCATGCTGTAAGCTTGAAGGATCAACATTCATGGCAGCTCATAACAACGAACCTGAGGTCCTCGCTGACATGCGACGAAAGCGCGATGGAGGTACGAGTAGAAGTCGAACTTCACGTTCCCACGCACATGCGAGTTTGACCCTACATGGCTCTCGCAACAATATCGTGGAGTGTGCGCATTCAGATATCGTTCAGAGAGTAGTATACAAGCCCACCGTGGTTATTAGGTATCACAGAGAACACGATGAATTGATTGCACACATCGACGGTATGAGATGCGAGATCTCGAAGGCGTGTAAGTTCGAGTGTCCTGTTCGAGGATCCACTGTAGTCCCAAGCGCTCGCTCAGCTCCCGCACGCAGCCTGAGTAGCGCATGTAGCGGTTGTGTATGAGGAGGATTGGTGGTAAGGCCCAGTCAGCTATACCTACGTCGATGATTTCCTGCAGGCCCTTCTCCTTATTGCCTCAAATGTTCCTGGGTATTCTGAACTACGGACAAGGAATTATCAGTCGTTGTACAACTTGTCCAAGCTGCGACTTCGATATACGATGTAGCTTTTCGTACTCAATTACTTGGCATTAAGTACGGCAAGATCATGCGAGTCAGATACTCGTTGGGGGACTTCATGGTTCTGGTGTATCTCGTCATGCGCGACTTGAGCTTTGCAAGTTCTCTACTTGTTGCATGCACTCTACAAGAATACAGGGATCGGTTCTGTGATTTCGAGGTAGCTATTGAAACAGTATATTGAGTTGTACTATGAGTTCTCCAAGTACCATTACATCTCAATCGCTGTCCTCCAAGTCGGTCAGGTCCGAGTCACTATCCTCGAGTTCGGTGAGATCAGAGTCGCTATCCGTACCGTCGCTGTGCGAGCGGAGCTCCGTGAGGGTGGAGTACATGGCAAGGCCCTTGCGATAGCGCATACTGGCCTTCGCCACCTCCTCTGCTCGCTCCTCCGGGCTCAGGCTGGCGAGGAACGCCTCCTTTGTCTGAAAGCCCTGGTCAATCCACCGAATGAGCGCACCTGCAGTATACTGCGTTATTGAGTAACGCGTCTCGTTCGGGCCTACAGGGACATTGGAGTGTGTGAGTATGCCCGACGGTATCACGATCGTCGAACCCGGCGGGAACTCAATCACCAAGCGCAGTTCCCACAACACTAGGTGCCCCCCGCGCTTGTAGTCGTAGTTGCCCAGCGCTGTGATCGGGCACCAACCCCACGGGAGATTCGCGAAGTCCTTGTGCGGGAGGCAAACGGTCTGGGGACCGTAGTTGACGGTAGTCGCGGCCCAAACACTTGCGCGATAGTTGTGGCGCAGTGACGGCTTCTGGGTGCGCAGGACGCGCCGGTTGTGGCGGAGATAGGTGTGGAGCTTGGGGGCCCATCCCTGGGCGACTCCGTTCTGGTAGCCGGAGATGCGAGGCATGGCGGGGTGCTCAAGGATGCGGCGGAAGTGGGGGGCGTTAGCGGGGTATTCGCTGATGGACATGGGCTCTTGCTGACCGCCGCCGTAGGAGTGGCCGTGCGGGGTCGCGGGGAAGGGCCCGCGACGGTGGCGCAGCTGGTGGGACTTGAAGCGGATATGGGGGCGGGTGTTCTCGATGGTGTCTGCGAAGTCTCGCATGAGGGGGTCCCAGTCCGGCGCTTGATCAGGACGGCCGGCGAGGAGACCGAACACCGTCTCGCCATTGTCCACAAAAGGACGTGCTTTACTGAGAGGGGTGTCAGGGGTAATCGTGGGGGGCCTATAGGTTACGCACCGCCCTTCCCAAGTTACCAGATCAAACTGAAACTTCGAGTTCGGCCCGACAAGTTCTTCCAGCTGATACACGCGGTGAGGGGCGGGCTTGTCGCGCATGGCAGTGTACCCGGTCTTCGTGACGCGCACACCGGTGAGTTGCAGATTGGTGGGGATGGGCAGCGCGGGGTCGATGTGCTTGCGACGCGTCGACGCGCGTACCTCAAGGTCGGGCGCGTCCTCCGCCGGCACTTGCGCCTCCTGACGCTTGCGCTTGCGAAGCGCGTGGTTGCGCTCGCGGGTGCGTTTCTTGTGACCGCGCGGGGGCGCGTCAGGCACAGTGCATGGTACGGGGGCATTGGGGTGTGGCGTGGTGGGGCTGCCGGCTGATGCGACGCGTTCGGCGGCGAGAGAGATGGTCGCCCCTTCAAGATCGTAGTCCGTGTCTTCATCCGAAGCCTCGTCGCGCTCCTCCTCGATGCTGCGCTGGATGTAGCTCGCCAAATCGAAATCGGTGTCGACAACGCGAATCGCCTCCCCGTCCCATTCACTGAACGTGTTGCCGGACCTGAGCTGACGCTGCATAATCTGTATAGCCGTCAGACCGATAACCCAATGCGCAGTGGGGCGTGTGGTGCGACGGGAGCAAAATAAAAATTTCAAAGGGCTGGTCGGCAGCCGTGCATCAGCCTCCGGTCCCCCAGGCTTGAGAGTCACGTATCGCGTCCGCACGGCAAAGACACAGCCCAAAGGAATAGAAAGAGAACACAAAGAAGGGGCAGAAAGGGGAGCATACCTGCGTCTGGCCGGGATCGTGGTGGTTGAGAAGGAAGACGTGATTTTACGTGACTATCAACAAGCGGCACGAGCTGAGCGTGCGTATCACATGATTGAAGTTGAACTTTCGGCGAAATCACGATGTCACCAGTAATTGCCAATGTAATTCATCACTTGCAGGATGTGCCTATCTGGGATCGCATCTTCGTATCTTTCACTGACGACCGTCATGTCTATGATGCGCGCTCCCCCGCGCAAGCGGGCCTGCCGTCCTCCTCAAGAGCGGCAGCAACTCCTGGTCATTGAATCGTAGTCTCTGGGAGATGCTGTACTCATTCACCCTTAGGAATATCTACTTCCCTCACCACCCCAGCCGGATAAACCGTCTTATCTTGCCGAGGACCCGGTGGAGCGGAAGCGCCTCCTCGCCATTGAGCGGGTGCGCGCCAGCATTCGGGAGCACGTCTACGACGCGTGTGATCCTAAGCACTGGGAGACATGGTCGGACGACGACCCCTACGACCCCATCATCGACTATGAGCAGCTCAAATGTGAGTCCGCAAGTTGGGATGCAGAACCTGTACTCACATTAAGATCAGTCCGGTACAAATGTTTCGCGCTTGTCGCGCTCCCCAGCCTCTACGACTCAGACGATGAGGCTGAGATGGAGATGGTTGTCCGCCTGCCCGGGATGCCTATGATCCTCTGGGCAACGCTCGATGGTCGGCGTGCTCAACTCGTACTCCAGGACGCGATCACGCAGGACTGGCTTGCACGCGGGGGAGACCCGCCGCCTCAGCCCGTCCCGAACACATGGATTGACGTAGATTCAGATGAATAGTTGATGTATTTGCATGTAATCCAGACGATGGCGGCGATCGCCTTATACTACAGGGCTACGACACCTTTCAGATGGTGACGAGAGGAGCATGGAAAGTGTTTGAATCATGTCAGCACGTTTGTGAGAAGGGAGAAGATAAAAGACGCACCGGCCTTTCCAACTCAAAACCTCGCAATCGAGGACGTGATGGAACTACGACGGGGACACGTCTGTAGACGCGCCGCTGAACAGAACCTCGGCGGGAGGGAACTTCGCGTGGTACGGGACATGATCGACGAATCCCTTGGGGCGGTGTGCTTTGTGATACGTCCTAGCAAATGAAGTCAGCAAACACTACAATGAGCGAGAGATGAGCACGCACATGTAGTACCCTCTCAAGTGCTGCAGCACATCGGCGTCTCGATAAGGCGAAGCCGTCTTGCATTGCGGCTCACGCGCGTCTGCGGGTCGCGAAGTTGCACGCTGGGAGGCATGTTCTTGGTGACAATCGCGGCTACAGATTCGAAGTCATGAGCAGTTACGCGAGGATTTAGAACGACACACCTTTCGTCGAGCATCATTTTCGACGCGCGTCGGCCAGAACAACGTTTCTTCGCCATATTCCAGTAGGAAGAGGTGGGGGCGAGCCGGCGGCCGACAACGCCGAACGTCCGGATTACACATTTCGACCGACATTCCCAAGTCACTCCTAGCCCGGCAGTTCAGATGTACGCAAAGTTTCCCATTGTATTATCATTTTACTTGAATATATAGGGGCATTAAGGATGTCTTGTGTACGTAGGTAGTGGCCTGATGATATCGCATGCGCAAGAGACGTGCGCGCCGCCAGTTGTACGTCTAGGAAGGGGGAATATGCTCGCGCGGCGGGAAAATGGACTACATAGAAGTATAAGTCGTGTTTTCGGGTTCAGACTCATACTTGACGCACCTCGGCAGGAGAACTGGGTTCGCCTTCGTACAATGGGCTCTTGCTGTCACTACACGGCGAAGGAGCACGTCGCGTGCGACGGCAGAGCACATGGTGAGTCATATCTAATAGTATCGATTAGCAAAGTTTGCTCAAGGAGACGGCATAGCTACGCACCGATTGACGAACTATGCTGCCGAGCACTCCGCCACCTATGTGTCGGCTGTTCGTTGCCCTCGAGATGGGCGTACAGTCTCGCGAGGGAGGGGACTGGAAGTGAATGTCCGAGTTTTGTTCTTCTGAATCGTGTTACGGCCGACGTATCGCTATAAAGAGGGAAATGATTGTTTGAGGTATAGGGGAGGAGGTGGGTAGAGGCAACTGGCGGCGGGCGCAATGGCGAGCGCGTGATGGCGGTGAGCAGGGTTGTGAGCGCGTGTTGGCAACGCGAGGCGCGCAGACTCACCGAAATGCGCGACTGCGCGAGATCCTGCGCGCGACCGTTTGCGCACTTGCCGACAGGCAATCGCTTGCGTGCTCGCATACGCTCCCATTCCACCGCGTCTCGCAGGGCAGATCGCGCGCTCACGCTAGCCGCCGCGATTGGCGCGCGGCGGGGTTGCCTAGGCAGTTCGTCAGTAGTGTAAACGGCAGCTGTGAGGATAAACGCACCAGCGGCCCGTGCACTACGAGTTCCGCCTCTCTCCTTTGCAAGCCAGGAGTCCGGCATATAAGAGCCCGCGCCCAGGGTCTACTGAAGCGACGTCATATCGAAAAAGAACGGTGAGGTAGTGGGACGATGAGAGAGGTGCGATCGGCAAAGGCCAGCGGCCAAGGGGAAGGACTGCCTGTCGTGACAGGTATTGAGGGTCGGTAGGGGCGGGAGGCGGGGAGGGGGCGGTGAGAGCGGCGGTGAGAGCAGCGGTGAGAGCGGCGGTCGTGGTGGTGGGAGGGAAGCAGCTAGCCCCATCCCGATCGGGCTGCGTGATCGATTCGCGGCCGAAGCTGGCGCAACCCGTGCGTGCCGCGACGAGGCGACGAGCCGATATGCGAGCCAGCAAGCACAGAGCCAGGCTCGTAAGCCAGGCGCACCTGCGAGGGAGCCGACCTGCTGTGAGCCTGCCCGTTTTGGTAGGGGCGCACTTTCATGGCAAGTGCCATTGGCGGCTGCTGCCAGGCCAAATGCATAAGGGCCCAATGGCTACATCCGTGTGTATTACTCTCGTATATACTACTACGGCTCCCGAATCTTGGCCTTCAGGAAGTCGTTGAGGCATGGCGCAATTACGGGCTTCATCGTATCGTACTCGCGCCCCGTGATGTGTCCTCGCACCGTCGGGGGTGGGACCACGCGCCGCGCTGCTGCATCGGCCAAAGCCTCCTCGGCCGCTCTCCGTGCCTCGCACTCATATGCCATGAGCGAGGCGTCGACGCGCAAGTGATCGCGCACGTCCTCGAGGTCCTCCACCTCGCGCTTCACCTCCTCGTATCGCTTCCTCAACCCTTCGACCTGTTCTTCGAGCACGCTGATGCGCCTACGCGCGCTTGCCGCCTCGTCTCGCGCTGCCTGGCGCTCCGTGCGCAAGCGCTTGTTGTCGGATCGCAACTGGTATGCGTCACGACTGTCGGAGGTGGCGGTGTTGGCTTGAGCAGCCGGCGCCGCAACATGCGACGCGCTAAGGATGGCCGCGCGAGCTTCGACTGCCGTCATGTCTCCGTCAGTCCCAGCGGACGAGAAGTGGTCACCGAAGTCTTTGCCGATCCCGCAATTGCAGACGACAATGTTGAGGAAAGGATGGACGAAAAAGCGGTGCTCGTGCGGCACCGCTGGTTTTGGTAGTCCAGGCGGCGCCTCTGGCGCTGCTGGAGCTGAGTGTTGGCCTTCTCCTCCAGGCCCTCCCCCTCTCGACACCACTGTGGCGTCGACCATCACACTGTCGTGGACGGTCTTTTCGGTGGGCGTGTGCCCGTGCTCGAAGCCCGCGCCGGGGGGATTGGCCATCCCCGCCGACAGCGTAAGCGGGTCCGCAGCGTTGGTGTTGTTGTTGGATGACATGCTGATGACTGACCAATATGGCGATCTTGAAACGACGCGGTGGTTGTTGGGAGATCGAACACGTCGCTGGAACGATCTTCGATCACGCACGTGACTACAGCTGGCTCCGGCTACGTCCGACCAGCTATAACACGTGATCGCCACGCGCAACGTTCAACCAGAGACTAGATGCGGTGCGCCCACGCGTCGCGAGGGTTGACGACGTCTTGTCGGTCGCTTCCCGGGCAGGTCATTCGGCGTCTCGACACCGCAAAGCGCGAGATAGTCATCCAGCGCCGATAACTCCTCTACATTGGACAATGGCTCCTCCGTGATGTCCCCGTAGTCCCAGACCACGCTAAATAGTAGCTTCTCACCGTCCCAACGGTGAGACTTGATGCTCGAAACCAAAAACTCAGCGTTGTTTGGTGCGCCGAAGTCATAATGCTTCGTGAAGTCCTGATTCGGGAACAGTATGTCATTGTTGGGGTCGTGAGGCCGCAACAAGCTGACATGGAAGACGGGATGGATGCGCCGTGCTTTGAGCGCATCCGGCAAGTCAAGCTCGTATGTAGAGGTCTCAGGGTGCGCCCGAAGGACCTCGTAAGGTCCGACGAACCGGGGAAGGAGCTTTGTAGCTCTTCCTTTCGGAAGATTGAGGTTCTATGTGGATAAGTACACAAAGCTGCCCTCGCCAATGGATGGTTCCTCTCGCCGGCGCACATCAGCATAGTGTTTCTGGAAAACACGAGCTTCAATGATCGCGTCGTGCGCGTCCGCAATGTTCTGCAACGCCGTCAGGGCAAATTCGCGCAACCCTTTAGGTGCTGCTTGCGCCTCTCGCAACTCCTGAATCATCGACGGCATGTATCCGTAGTTCAACTCGAAAGGCGCGAAGCCAGTCGCGCTACTGATACTGGCGTTGATAGCAAATTCCACCAAGGGAAGACGCTGTACCCAATCCTTCTGGTCGGGTCGGATAAAGGATCTCAATATTTGAGATATTGAGCGGTTCACGCGCTCAGTCTGCCCATCCGTCTGTGGATGGAACGCCGTAGACATGAGTAGCTTGGCTCCCAGCAATCGGTGAAGCTCCGTCCACCATGCTGACGTGAACTTGGAGTCACGGTCACTGACGATGGACGACGGCAGTCCGTGGAGCTTCACAATGTCGCGGAAGTAGATCCACGACAACTCGGTCGCGCGCGTCCGAGTTGTTATTGGGATTAGATGCACCATCGATGTCATCCTGTCAATGACCACCCAAAGGTAGTCGAATCCTTGACTTTCAGGGAATGGCCCCAGAAAGTCCATACCAATCGAATCCCACGGCTTTGTGGGTACTGGAAGCGAGTGCGTTTCTCCTGAGGGCGCTGTGTAGGCGCCCTTCGCCGCTTCACACACCGTGCACGAATCGCAAAATTCGTGCACGTTGGAGTACACCCCCGGCCACCAATACCATCGGCGAATATAGTCGCCGGTCTTCTGTGGCCCGAAATGGCCCACGGTCTGATGGGCCTGCTCTATGACCAACTGCCGCAGGGTCTTGTCGACGTACCGCCCTTTGGGTACGTACGCCACCCACTCCTTCGCCCCATTCTTTGTCCAGATGAAGCCGTCGCGGACGCGGAATCTGGCGTGTTTATCTGGCGCCGCCAGAATTTTTCGACCAAGCGGGTCGTCGACATACGCATCCTGCATAGTCTTGAAAAACTCGCTGAAGGTGTCGGCAACCTCTTTGCGCAAGTCCGGCCCCCTTGCCCGTGACTCCTCCACTGTCGGGTCATGCGCAGGAGACACCGTATGGTACTCCCCCTCTGGCACCGGCTCCGCCTCCCGCCGTAGGCGATCTGCCTCCTCATCCCGTTCTTCCACGCGCTCATTGAGGGCGTGAAGACGTATCGCATCCGCCAACTCATCTACCCGCCCTGGGGGTAGATCGTCTCCTTCTGGATCCAACCGCACATCCGCGTTTGCGTAGTTATACGGAGCCGTGATGTCCTCCCAAGTGTCGTTGACATGGTATTGCGACAAAGCGTCGGCTACCTTGTTCTCCATCCCTGGAATGTACGTGATACTGAAGTTGAATCGAGCCAGGTACTCCATCCATCGTGTCTGCCTTCCTGACAGACGACTCTGGGTCTGGAAGAATTCCAGCGCCCTGTGATCGGTCACGATATCAATACGATGCCCAATCAGCTTGTCCTCCCACTTCAACAACGCTTCGAGGATGGCGAGCGTTTCTTGCTCGAACATCCGATAGTTTCTCTGCGACGAGGTGAACTTCCTCGACATGAACCCGGCAGGCCTGCAGGTCTGCCACGACGTTCCTTGTCCATACATCGCCCCCACTCCGGATGGCGAAGCATCACAAACCACTCATATGGGCTCGTCGCTGCGAGCGTCTACTGGCTTCAATACCGGGGTCTTAGCACATAAGTGCTTGATCCTCTCGAAACATCGTTGATGGACGTCTCGCCAAAAGAACGGCTGGCCGTTCCGCACCATGGAGCTCAAGGGCGCCATATACAGGGCAACCTCGGGTAGGAACTGGGAAAGGTACTGAACCAGTCCCAGAAATCGCTGTACATCGCCGTAGTCGCGCGGCGTGCGCCAGTTGCGGATGGCCGCCATCTTATCGCCATCCGCGTGAAGACCATAATCATCAATTATGTGCCCAAGGCAGTCGATGGCGCGCGCGTACAAGTCGACCTTCGCCGCCTTCATGTACAGCTGCGCTTCCCTCAGCACATTGAATACTATTCGCAAGTGCTCCTCGTGCTCCTCAATCGAGTCACTGTACACGAAAATATCATCAAGATATACGTGCAGGAAGCGCCCGATGCAGTCTCGGAAGATGTGAGTCATCAACCGTTGAAATGTTGCCGGTGCGTTGCAGTCTCCCTGCTGCATAACACTACTGACATAAGTGCCGTAGACCGTTGAGAAGGCCGAAGATAGGATGTCGTTCGTTTCGATGCGGACTTGTTCGTACGCATCCGACAAATCGATCTTTGATCGATATTTTGCTCTTGCCACATCCTGTCGGATCTGGTCCTGGTCGGGCAATGGGGTCACGTCCTTGACCGTATTCTCGTTGCGCTTCCTACAGTCAATGACTGTCCTCAACGATCCATCCTTCTTCGGTATGCACAACATGGGTGCCGCCTGCCTCGTGCTCTGCGAGGACCACCACCCGGCTCGTACGTATCTCCCAATTTTGTCCAACAATGGCCGCTTCAGCGCGTCTGGGCAGCGCGGCAGGTGATACTGATAATTCAGGTCTGGGTTGATGAGAGGGATGGTGTGGTTGACCTCCCTCCACGGAGGGAGTTTCTCGGGTACTCCTCCCAGCAGATCCGCTTCCTTATCGAGCCACTGCTGCCGCAACCGAGGAATGTCATCCTCGGTGAACAGTACTCGAGGATCTGCCTGCTCGCCCTTGACCTCCGAGGGCACCGACGCGGAGCCGTGCCTGTCATATTTGACAACCGGCCCCTGGTTCAACCAGCCCATCAGTTTCAACAGACCATGGCTCTAACCAGTGCTTGGTTGGCCCCCCCCTCACCACGGCCTGTGCGCAGGGGGCGAATTTGGGATTATTAGGGTCGATATCCGCGCGAAATACCTTGGTTTACGCCTCACCCCGGTTCGCCTGCCCTTTTATTTGCTCCGGCTGCGCCTGCCCGCCCTGGGTTTGGGATACGCGCCCGGGTTTCCCTCGCGTACCCAATTTATCCGTTCGCATATAATTACCCGCTGCGCGCCGCCCCGCCCCACCGCGCTCCCGCTCCCGCCCCGCCGCGCTTCCGCTCCCGCCCCCGCCCCCGCCCCGCCGCGCTTGCTCGTTCCCTCCACCCACGGTGGTTCCTCGCATACTCAGCCCGACCTCATCTGCTCTGTGTGTCCCGCTTCCGACCGTCAAATCCGTTGTGGGCAGCTCGCGCGATCGGGATTGAAATTTTCGTCGGCACCTTTTCGCTCGTCCGGCTCGCGCACGGCGCGTTCTTTACCTCCCTGCTCTTCCTGCGGGAATACTCGTATAGGTGTGTCATGATTTTCAGCTCTCCCGCGCGCATCTGACCGTTATTCAGGGTCCGCGCCCGCTGGCAGCACGCTCCGAACATTGGGCGCGTCCCCGCGAATTTCCTCAATACCCTTCCCCCACGCTGTCGCCATGCGCGCACCCCATTTACCCTCTGTCTACACTCCTCTTATATCGCGCTAGATATGTGGGCATGTCCTCCAGGCGCGCTCAGATACCCCTTAGATACAGAATGTGCTGTATCCCTATTATTTCGCCATTCATTGTCATATGCAATTGGTTCTATGCATCGTAGCAGCTCTCGCCGCCCCCGTTTAGCGCGTCGCGCGTCTTCAAGTCCGTCTGCCTCCTAAAGTCAGCCTATCCCCTGAGTCCCTCCCTCGCGAACTTGCAGATTTTTCGCTAAGTCCAGCGGCACGTGCATATTTTCACGTGGTCCAATGTTCAACATTACTCAAGACGTGACAAAACAACTACAGCGGGTACTCAAGCTACGACGGTATATCAGGGTATATCTACAAGTGCAGAAAACGGCAGTGGAGGACGGTGAGACACAAGAAGAGCAGTAAATACGTATATATGGTCCAAAATATCAGACATTACCAAGAACTCGCGCGAGCGTTCAAGCCGCGCCCGACACGAACGCGTCGACCTGTTCCTCGCAGACCCAGATAGCCTCGTCAAGACACCTGTCCCATGACCGGCTGCTGCGACCCTCCAGCGCAATCCCCCACCAGCACAGCGCCGCGATTACATTCAAAAGTCCATTCTGACCATGCATGCCCAAAAGACCCCAGTCGCCCGACTCGTCCACCTCGCGATCCTCAGAGGGACGTCCGTCCGCGTTCAGCTTCCGCCAAGAGGGCTGAAGCCCGGCCCACCACGCCCAGAACTCCTTCTCAAAGGCACGCACGTCGACGACGACCGGCAACTTCTTGACGCGAGGGGCGCGACCACCACGAATCCACCTCGTCAGTAGATCAGGCCGAGCCCCGGTCCCCATCGCATTCGTGCCCTTATTGGCGTCGAAGCCCCACTTCTCCTCGAGCCTCAACCAGGCGTTGACGGCGGCGACGTACTTTGGACCGAGCTCGGGGCGGTTGAGGAGCGCGAAGTTGGCGGCGACCCATTCCGGCGCCGCCGAGGGGCACGTCAGTGGACCCTCCACCATCTCCTCGTCCTCCTCCTCCTCCTGGGAAGCACCGGCCGTCTCCTTGTCATTGGCCTGAGCAGCGCCATCATCTCCTTCGTCCATGTCGGCATCCTCGTCCTCGTCCTGTTCGAGGGCCTCCGCAGCCGCGAACTCAGCCTCCGTCAAAGGTAGTTTGCCGGTGCGTGATCGCTTAAGAGGTGGCCCCTTGCGCGGCGACGCTGGGACAGAGGGCGCACGCGGGCGCTTCGACGTCGGGGGCACAGCGTCGGGAGTGGTAGGGCGAGTAGAGTCCTCGCCGCCGCTGGCAGTCGCAGGATCCGCATTGCCGCTGGGAGGCGACGGAGGAGTCTGGCTGTCCGTGCTGGACCCGGGGACGGAGGCAGGAGGGCCAGACTTTCTGATCGGCTTGGGCTTGGGACGCGGCACAGGAGGCGCCGAGGTTGACTGGTTGACGGCGGCGGGGGCAGTCGACGAGGGCGCAGCACGAGGATCAGGCTGCGGCGTGTTCGGAGGTGCGGGGGGCTGTGATGACGCCGAAGCGGTCGGGCTGCCCGTCGCCGAGCCGGGGAGCGGCGCCTGCGACCTCTTCAAGACAAAGCCATCGAGGCTGACATAGTGGTCGGCCTCCCACTCCTTCATCAGCCTGCGCTGCTGCGACGGCATCTCGGCGCGAAGAGACAGCCGGTACTTCTCGCGCATCCAGAGCAAGCGCCGCTGTCCCTCGTTGGCGTTTGGCGGGTCCTTCTGGCTGAAGGTCAAGGAGGGACGCGTGACGTCGAATGCGCCTTGCTGCGGCACGCCGGTATCGATGTGGCAGCCGGCGAGCGGCTGGGGACAAAAGGACGCGGGGAGGGGAGGTCGAGCGGGGGTCTTAGCGGGGGTTCTCTTGGCCTTCGTCTTGGGGGTCGGCACGTCGTCGTCGTTGGACTCAGCGGCGTCGTCGGATCCAGATACGCTCGGTTGCTTGGCGGGGGTCTTCTTCGTCTTCTTCGTCTTCGTCGCCTTCGTTTTGGGGGTCGGCGCGTCGTCCTTGTCCTCGGGTACGACTGCCTTGCTTTTCTTCTTCGACGCGCTCTTCTTCTTCTTCTTCGACTTCTCCCTCTCCTCTCTCTCCTCCTCGTCCTCCGTAATCTCCCCTTCATCACTATCCTCCTCCGGGTCGATGGTCAACAGCCCATCGACGCTCAACACCGGCATCTCGCCATCATCCTCCAGCCCCGTGAGCTCCGGAAAGACCAGGCTCATGGCCTGACGCTCCGCTTCTGCTAGGGAGCGGTCAGTATGGGAGTAGCGAAGGGGATACGCGCGACATACAGAAAGCAGAAGCGAGGTACTCCTTGAAGTGGTCGGTGACCGCGTTGAAGCCAGGCCACTCGGGCCACGGCTTCGCCGCCCCCTGATGATTGCGACCGGCGGCGATGCATACGGTCTTGAGCTGACCGCCCCACTTCGGCATCGGGCCTCCGAGCAGCAAGCAAACGTGCATGCCCGTACGAGCGTAGACACCGGCGAGCAGTGGAGCGATGAACTTGGGGAGGGCGTTGATCGCGCTGCAGGTGGTGTGAGCAATGCGAAGAAGGCGCAGGGCGTGTCACGTACGCTTGGCGAGCTTCCGGCGTCTGCGAGGGAGGCTCCGTCAGGACTCGCTTGTACTCCGCAGTACGCGCGTCGTTGAACTCCTTCGCCGCATTCTTCCAGTACTTCTGCTCCTCTGCACTGAGCTTCTGCAGCTCCTTCCTAGCGACCAACTCCCTCCAGTTCCCGCTCTGCTTCGCGTCCGCAGCAACCTTGCCCGTGAGCAGGAGCGCATTCCACTGACTCTTGTAGATGGGCGCGAGCTCGGCCGCGTTGACGCTCTGATAGTGCTGTGCCGGCGAGCGTCCGCGCAGAGGGCGAGTGATACCGCATAGCTGGCTGAGGAAGATGTTGTAGGGATTCGAGGCGGCGTCCGTGGAGAGTGCGGGAGCGCATGAGAGGCGAGAATACCGGTAGGCGAAGTACTTCTCGATGCGCTGGAAGGAGGAAGGATCAATAAGCTGACTAATATGTCATCAATAACGCGTGACATACGCGATTCATCTCCTCCATCTTCACACGTCGCGCCTGCTTTTCATCCTCGGTCTTGAGATCCTCGAAGGGGTCGTAAATCGTCTCTGGCGTCCACGGTGGAAGGGGACCAAAGAACTCCGCCTTAACGGGGACGTCGGGCGGGATCTGGAAGTGGAAGCGGTCGTAGATGAGCTCGAGCACACGCCGACGTTGGGCTGTGCCGCGCTGGGCGGCGTCGCAGTACAACGACCACATCGGCTCGAGCACCAGGTCCTGCCGGACGCCCTTCGCCCAGCCTTTAAAACTCTTTTTCTCCTCGCGCGGTATGATGCGACTCGGCATTTTGCTGGGATGGTTCATGAGCGAGCCGTCGGCGAGACCGGGAGGCGAGTTTTCGTACCTATCTCTGGTTGAACCAGTTGTGCACAGAAAAAGCTGAGGGAGGGAAGAGGACGACAGATGGAAGGCGGCTCTTCGAAGGGCAGGTCTTTGAGTCAGCTCGAGGGCTTCATCTGACAGTTCAGTTCTAGTGCACGGCTACCGCCGCTCCATGGTGCGTCCCGCGCTTCTCTATTCTGCGAATCTATCGTTCGTCTGACTTGTATCCGGATCTGCGACGTAGCCTTTCTCAACGCAGAGCGCTTGCGGCCATTTTATTTTTTTTTTGCTCGTGCGGCACAAGACTATCGTACGGTACGCCTACAATCCACCTTGGTATCCCCCTGACCCTACAGTCTACTGCTTACGAGCGCAATACGCAAACCAGCGCGCAATGCGCTATAAGAGACCATAAGTGAGTCGCTCCCTGAAGCTGAAACCCGACTCACGCGGTTATCGTCAATCAGCTTCTGCTTGCGAGCCACCCGTTCGGCGAGCCCATTGCAGTCCTCGAAGGGGTCGTACTCGACGTCGGGCGTCCAAGGCGGCAGCGGCGCGTGAACAGCCCCGAAGAGCGGAGTGCTGGGCGGGATCTGGAAGTGGTACCGATGGTAGATGCGCTCGAGGGCGCGGCGGCGGGCTTGTACGCCGTTCAGAGAGCAACCGATATAGTACTCGAGCATGGGCTTCAACACCAAGTCCTCCCTGACGCCCTTCGCCCAGCTTCTGGGGCGTGTTGTTCCGGCGTTGTTGATCGACATGCTACTGAGCGACTTGTGAGTACCCAACCGCCATCGCTCTGCTTTCACTTACTGTGGACTTCAGAGCGCAGAAGATGAGGGGAAGAACCAAGTTACTGGGTCTGACAGCAATGGGACTCACGCCGATCTGGTCGACAGGATTCCCACGTCAGTGCGTGTTTACAGTGCCGACAATAATAACTGAACCAAACAGCGACTCACCTCAACTTGTCTCGTACTCCCATCTCTTCCCCAGCATGACCCAGAACAACAGTAAGTGCCCATTCCCCCTCCGCGGTGCCTGCCTGACTCCACGTTCAGACCAACTCGACTCCCCCTTCGAGCTCATCCAGCTCGGCGGCGCAGTCGGCGACGTCGTGTTCGTGTCTGCCCCGGCGACGGACGCCCAGCCCAACGCGCCTGTCGCCGCCTCCTCTGCCCACGGTGCTCCTCCCGCCGGCGCGATGCTTCAAGTTGCAAATGCCCCCGCCGCCCCTGTTGTCGCCGCGCCTGCCGCTGCCGCTCCCGTTGCCGCGCCTGCCGCTGCCGCTCCCGTCGCCGCGCCTGCCGCTGCAGCTCCCGTCGCCGCGCCTGCCGCTGCCGCTCCTGTTGCCGCGCCCGGTGTCGCAGCTCCCGTTGCCGCGCCCGCTGCTGGGCCTACTGCCGCGCCGGCTGCCGTCGCCGCCGTAGCCCCAGCTCCCCCATTCGGCAGCCTCAATCCTCTCGAGAATCGCGCGGGCATCCCCCTTGCGGTGGTGCCCTCGGCCGACCTGATCTACGACCCCAGCACCATCGTCAACGACGCCAGCAAGTACTACGCGATTTCCCGCGGCCGCTGCATCGGGGTTTTTGACAAGAGGTACGACTATAGTCATCTCATTGTGCCAGCTCTGATGTAATGTTCAGTTCCACCTATGTTCGCGCTACCGCCCGCGTCTCCGGTCCCATTTCCTGGTGCCCCGACACCCTCAATGCGGCGTTGGAGTGGTTCAACGAGCAACGCGCAATGGGCATGTGCGAGATAGTCGCCTGATCGGTGAGTATTTGGCTCTTCTGCGCGACGCACCCCTCGCTGACGAAGACCTTGAGGTGTTGCCACTCTTTTTCTTGGTGTCTGTACGCAGGGATCTTCGTCTAAGTCTGTGTTGTAGTTACTGTGCTGCTGCTGTATCGCTGTGAAATACCATATGTTGTCCTGCGTGCTCTTTCCTGTCGAGATCCCTGGGTCCGAACCCGGCAAAGCATGGACAAACAAGGGAGTTTCCGATCAAGAATTGCGATCGGGGAAGTTCTGGCTCCTTGCCTCAGCTTCTCCTCCGCTGCGAATCCCTCGCGAACTACCGCTTTCTCTGCGCATATGCGCTGCGCCGTCTATCCCGACTGCACGTCGAACCACCTTTACGCCTCCACCAAAGCTCGATATCGAACGATGCGTCCACCGTGCAGCTTCTCGCGCCGAGCAAGCAGCGGCTTAGGCTGTCGGGAACGTCTCCGCCGAGAGCGCTGTAGCTCCGTGGGCATATAGAAGGTGTCTCGTCGCTGAAACCATCCCCTGGACATCTGCTTCTCACCCCAATGAGCACCGACAACATCGCAACCTTGTTTTCCCAAATCTCGCTGGCTGAGCCCCCGCCACCATACGACGCAGACCCGCCCACCCCTCCCAATGTTGCTCAGCCGAGCGCGACTGCTAGCAGTCCGGGCGGGACTGGATACGCAGTCTATGTCGGACGCGTCCCCGGGGTATACGCGGCGTGGTACGTCTTTGCGTGCGACCTCGCTAGATCCACTCGTCTGACGTGCTGTCAGGCGAGACGCGCAGAATCAGGTCAAGGCTCTTCCGCACAACTCGTACAAGGCCTTCTCCAGCCTCGAGGCCGCCCAGCGCGCGTACAACGCCGCGGTGTCGCGCGGACTCGTCAGTACTGGAGCGCAGCGCGCGGCCGACATCCGCCGAGTGGTCGAGAGGCAGCAACTGATACTCGAAGACCTACCCCTATGCCTGGCGTTCCTTGAGGACTCGACCAGCAAGGCCATGGCTGTCGGATCTTCGAGCTTCTACGTCGTATACACTGGACTGCAACCCGGTGTCTACTTGACCTAGTAAGTTCCATTTCCTATCACTACCTACCTCTGAACTGATATACGCGGTTAGCCACGAATGCTCGTATCTCACGAGCGGCTACAAGGGTGCTCGTCACTGTAGCTTCAACACGAAGGATGAGGCGGTCGAGGCGCTCAAGAGCGAGCTCAGGGCAGGCAAAGTGTTCAAGTTAGTGTTGCAGTAAGGCTCGGTATGTGGCAATGGCAGTAGAATAGCGCGCGCACTGTATCGAATTTTGGGACAATCAATTGTGTACGCAACGAACAAGCACGAGCGTGCGTAATGGGTGTGAGATCCGAGCCTGATGATCCCAGAAGAAAGTGTAGTGGTGGGAGAATGCACAACGAGCGGTCGGCCAGATGTGATGATGCCGCTCTACCGTGGCATAACGCACCTACACCGAACGTAGGACGAATGTCATTACCGTGTACAAGTAGGGTATGTATGCTTACAGCATGTGAGAGGCCGTATCACGCCGGGGTAGGACCTCGCGAGTGTCGCGAGACGTCGAAGTATCGTTGCATGCAAGCGCCAGAATCGGCTGAAACTCGTTGCCCAAGAGGCCGAAATCTGCACATTTCGCCTTCTGTAGTTGTCAGTCTCCTCTGCAGGCATAAAGAAGTGGATAATCGCTTACAATCAGACTTGGAGTACTTTTTGAGCATTTTTTGACGAATTCTGGAGACTCATGTATGCTGTCGGCGACATTCCGAAATCCGCATCCCGCCTTATGTTGAATATTTTTTCACGAATCGGGCGTTTCGGAAATGGTACCAGTGGATAGGTACGCTTTCGTACTCTCGGCGACTTCAAGGAATTTGCGCGTTCTTCAAAGGGCAGACCTTGGAGAGGGGATAAGTGTCCGAGAGCGCGCCATCAATGGCTGTCCCTATACCCTGAAGATATGCGGCGCGTCGATTAAATAACTGTTTCGTGTACATTGATACTATTCCAAGTGCTTCACGAACTGTGAATGCCTCATGTTTATCACTCGTCAAGTTATTGAGGTGTCGCGTATGCAGATATTGGATGAAATATTGGTGCGCCATTTGATCGTGGCCGCCTACAAACTCAGGGAGGCCAAGAGAGTCTCTTGAAGTATATGTTCCATACACTCCGGCACCTTGAATTGGGCGACGGCACACGCAGAGAGCGCTCGAAGTCAGGCGCGCTCCTGAGTTCAACCGTGGGAAGTTCGGCGGATGGGCTTCACGTGCCATTCGAACTCTTCGCAGCTTGGCTCAGACTGTCACGATGGGCCGTCTAAGTCCCCAGCGTTGCTTTCTTCCTCGACCTTCCCACTGCGATGCCCTACCCAGGATACCCTGTCGCGATGTCTCTCCCCGACGCGCACCCGTTCGAGGTCATTGACTTTGGCAATGGTCAGGTCTTCGTCAGTCTCCCCGGCGGCGTTGACGACATACCCAAAGTCATCGCCTTCGCGAAGCGGTCTCCTGCTCTGTTTGCAAAATTTTTCCCCGGCGTCGACATTGACGAAGTCATAGCGGGGAACTATCAGTGGTTTGACGAGCCGGCCGTCCAGGAGGCAGAGCTCGGCACTACTGCTACGAGCTCGACGAGCGCCGCTCTCGCTCCCGTCCCCGTTGGCAACGGCACGGGCGTCACCGCATCCGCGCCTGCTCCCGCGCCCATTCCCACTCCCGTGGTCTCCGTCTCTGTCGCTTCTGCTGTTGTCGACCCTGCCGTTGCCGCTCCCGTCGTCTCGGTCGGCGTCGCGGCGCCTGCGACCGCCTCTGTCCCGTCCATGACGGTCGTTCCGACGCCGAGTGTGCCGCTCAGTATGAGACAGGCCATTGTTGCGGGTATCTGCTTTATGGACACGTCGTATCGGTAAGTTGAGCCCTTCGTGACCTAGTGAGGTTTGATGCTGAAGGAGAGTCATAGCGGCGACTACAACACGCGCCTGCAGAGGGACAGGGACACCCTTTTTGTCTTCAGCCCGCTAAGGCGTATTCCGGCGGACGCTCACAAGCTAACGGGGGCAGCTTATCGGTAAGTCAATCCCCACTCTTGCTTTCAGATGTCGAATCTGACGCGTGCTCCGCAGAGCGTTCCTTGCTAGCCAAGGTCTGCCTCCCTACGTGTCCCCAACGCGCGTGAAGGCCGACTTTGTGCCACGCAAGCAGCCGAAGAAGACTGCGTACCAGGCCACGAAAGTGACCGTCAGGGGCGGCGATTTCCTCTGGAATCTCGCCCGCGACCCGACGCCGCTCGACCTGATCTTCAGTACGACTGGGACTACCGTGTTGCCTATGCGCGGCAGGTGAGCAATGCACTTTTGTGCTGCTAGTTATAGGTACTAATCATCTACTTCAGGACGTATACCTTCGCCGAGTTGTTCCCCGAGGAGACCGAGAGTCACAGCCTTACGGAGCGTGCTGGCCCCTCGAAGTCGTGGGGAAGTTCACCTACCATGGGGTCCCCGTGGCCGTCGTCTTCGCAGGACTCTGCTCTTGACTCAGATATGACCATGTAGTTATCTTCGGCATACTGCTTTGCTCGTTCGTGTGTACCTTCTTGTCAGTGTATGTACATGTAGTCAATGATCTTGTGAATACAATGCAGCGCTTCATTGCCTCATACGGTCCCTTGGAGAAGCCAGACGCGCGGCGTACTGTTCGAAAAATACAATTATGTCCAAAAATGGCAAGGGTCCAAGCACGCGAGTCACGGCTGTCCATCGCGTCTGTTCGTTGACAATCACGCTCGCCATACATCCTCGACCTTAAACATGCCTCCCCGACGCGCACGCCCCGACGTCGAAATCTGGCATGACTTCGACGCGTCCGCGCAGTACGACAACGCGCCGGATCTGGCCTATTCCGTGTCTGCTGACGGCGCAAGACTGAACTGCCGCGCGTTCGACTTCGTCCCTCCCGCTCCGAAGAGGCGCAAAGTGTGCGAGCTCAGCGCCTCCCATCGCGCGTGGAATCCTATGGAGGCAGATGATGACGACGAGTTCGACTTCCCCCCTTGCAATGAACGAGGGGACGCACCGCAGGTCCAAATATGTGACGAGCCGGCTCGCAAGCGAAGCTATGGTGTGCGTTCCTTACTGATACCCCCACGATGTTGACTGACTCACGGTATAGGAGGACCCCATGACAACCTGGCGGGACGTATGGGAGCAGGACTTTTTGGAGGAGCTCATGTGGGGAGAAGGGCTTCGATACGCACACAACAATCCGTGCTGTTCCAGTTGCGGCGCTTGCTACGAGCCACCACCTCCCAGCTCGTCCACTTCCAGCACTGCCAATCCGACGGCGCCTCCCGAATCACCTGCTGCTGAGCACGACGACCCTCCCCTACCTTCTCTCGATCCGCCGCGGCCACTTGGAGTGTCAGACATCTACTGCTGTTGGGAGTGTGGCGATTTCCTGCAGTGCCGCGACTGCTGTCTGAAGCGGCACCAAACGATGCCTTTGCACGTTGTTCAGGTAAGCCTTTCACGCGCTGCTCTTGCGCTCGATGCTCACGTATCGTCAGGTGTGGACTGGCCAGTATTGGCGCAAGATCAGCCTCGCCAACATGGGACTCGTCTATCAGATCGGGCACGGCGGCCTTCCGTGCGTACACCCAGACCCCGTCGTCCGTAACATGGTGGTCGTGGACGAGGTTATACATACCGTCCGCGTGCGATACTGCTCATGTCGCGGATTGAGCTCGTTGAGTCCCGTCCGGCAGCTATTGCGAAATCGCTGGTATCCGGTAACGGTAACGGACCCGGAGACCTGTGTGACGTTCCGCGCGCTGGATGTATTCCGTCTGGCAGTCGTGCACGCCAACGTTAATGTCAACAACTGGCTCAAAGCCATCGAGGAGCGGACGGACGCGCTGAAGCTCAGCAAAGTCCCGGTATGTTCACCGATTTTACTTAATCCTCTTGCTGGTCTGACCGTCTAGCAGGATCGGCGAGCGGGCTTCCATCGCGCTTTCCGCCAGTACTCATTCCTCTTGCGGGGGAAGCGTCTCGGTCGCGGCAATGACCGATCTGGTCTCCGAGGTACTCGGCAGGGTGAACTCGCCCTACGATGCTGGGCATGCCCACGTGAAGGCGTCAACTTGCCGGAGGGCTGGAGGAGCGTAGGGGAGAACGAAGCGTACGTCTGAATGTTATAGATGGGGTAGGATGGGCTGACTTATGCGTTGCAGATACCTCTATCGTCCGACGTTGGCCTTTGATGCCAACTTTCGCTTGAAGAACCTCGTACGGCAGAACGAGCGCCACGACCCGGAGCTCGGAGATGGCTACGGGTACTTTGTCAAGCAGGAAGAGTATAAGAAACACATCAAGGGCTACGTGAGTGAGCTCGACGTAGGTATCCTTCCTTCCATACTCGATCCCTATGGCTTACTTGTCACTTCTAGATTAGCACGTGCATCGCGTTCAAGGCATTGTCGGAGAAGGATACGAAGGCGACGTCCGGTTTGCGCGTCTCTGGCGTTGCCGGAGCGATTTGCGCTCGCCACGAGCTCGTGCAACCGCACGGGCTCGCAGATTTGCAGAAGGGGGAGCGGTGAGTGGAACACGCCTGAAGCGTGTGTACGTCGACTTACGCTCGTTATGCAGGTTCTGCAACATGGACTACGTCCTGTTGTCTGTTGTCGCCATCATGAGCTTCACCGCGCTGACCGTGTCTTATGACATTGGTTGTCAATTCATGATAAACTTCTTCGCCCGCATGCTGAAGATGCCGAAGAAGCTGCAGCAAGATCAGGAAAGCTTGGACGTCACCTTCGGGCTTCCCGTATGGCACGGCGGCATACACGAAGAGGCCTGTCGCACGCGGCACTCACTTAAGTACCATGACGGCGTGGGACGCACAGACGGCGAGGCTATTGAGCGCGTCTGGTCTCTGCTCAACCCTCTGTCGTGGGCGACGAAGTACATGGGGGAGGGAGCACGACACGACTGGCTCGAGGACAAGGTCGACAGCGTGAACTTCAACAAGCTCATCACGCTAGGTACGTGCAGTGGCTGGGCTTATATCATCCTGATGCTGACCTTCGTTCATCTCTCAGTCTACTTATTGGCGCGGCGCTATATCGTGGCCATCGACGAAGTCAAGGTACAAGTTAGCTCCTTCAACCTGATCTCGAAGTCCATCGAGCCGGCCGTGCTTCATCAGTGGAAGAGCAACATCAGCGCGTGGAAGAAGGATCGCTCCTCTGAGTGTCCGTATACCGCCCCTATCATTGGTAAGCGTCGTTTCCTAGCAATATTGTCGATAACTATGCTCATGACTTGCTTGTGTAGAGGGCCTTTCGGAGGCCGAGGTGCGACGGCGATTGGACCGAGAGGAGCTCGACGAGGCCAAAGCTGGTCGCGCGGGTGTCGAAGGAACGTCCCAGACCGCCTTCCTGGTCGCGGGGATGAGGCTTGAAGCTGCGCAGTGAGTTCGCCGTCACCTTTCCGCTTGTCGGCGCTAATGAGTGACTTAGGCGTCGCATTGTCGCCGATCTGGCCGGGCGTGCCGTCCTTCCCATGAGCCTCGAAGGGTTGATCAATAACCGCCGTCGCTCATTGCTTGAGAAGATCACACCATTCAACGATCTCCTCAAGACGTACATGCCCGGCGCGCCTTCGCTGCCTTCCGACGTCTCGGGCGAGAAGGTTGTTGAGCCCGAGCACCTCCCTATCACGATGCCGTCGCGGATACCTGGCGACAAGCGACGGATGGTATGCGCCGAGGGCCTCCCCGAGAAGGAGTTGCAACTGCGCAGGGCGCAAGCACGGGACGCCCTTCAGCTCCTGCGCAAGAAGCTTCACGCCAAACAGTACTACATCGAGTTTCGCAACAAGAACTTCACGGGGCAGAAGCAGAACACGCGAGCGAGGACAATGATCATCACCCTCCAAGAGCGCATCGACTCCGACGCCGAGACCTACCGCACCGCTCGCGCGGCCATCCTCGCCCTTCGTGGGGTGGATGAGGACCCGGACTTCCCAAAGCTTCTCGCCAAGGACCTTCAGCTAGAAGGAGAGCTCACCGAGGAGGACGACGGCGCCGCGCGTCGACTGGCTGAGGCTGGGAGGCAACGTAACCGCCACGTCCACGTCTCCACCAGCAAGCATACGATGTCCTGGCTCTGGACGGCGAACGGCATCCACTCGGACACATCGGTGGACAAGGCGGAGGTCGAGAAGAGTGAGTCTCTTACAAAGTATGTTACATCCGTGCATGGCTGATTGTTCTACAGCCATTTGGCATCTATGGGCGCGCGCTTATGCTCGCAAGAATCGCTGGGTCGAGGAGGCTGAGTTGCTTCAAGAGGACATGCGGCGATGCCTCCGAAGCCTCGAGTCAGAGGCGGAGATATGGCGCAAAAGGGCAGAGGTGGATTTGGGACGTGGACCGGCTTACCTGTCTGGAACGCGGGCCTACGCACTGCGACACCACGACCTCTGGCTGCAACTACGCGATCATTTCCGTACCGTCTGGAATCGCCCCGTCGGCAAAACCAAGCGACGCATCTTCGAGCACTGGCAGCAGCTCAACGACGATGCCGAGATCTGGCTGGCCGAATCCCAAGCGCTTCTCGGGTTTGACGAAACGACGGGCGACAACTCGAGCGAGGCTGCATCGTCCGGAGCACCGGCGCCTGCGTAGGACAAGAGGGCGATGGGATGGATGGGCGCGGGACGGGACGGGAGAGGGCGGCAGCTGCAAGTGCGCAGTGTGGGGGTGCGCTGGTTCTCGGGAGCGAGGCCGCCTTGGAGGATAGCATCGACGACGTGCAATCCTGCGCGAGACGAGGGCGCGGCCTTGCGAGCTTGCCTTCAAGGCACGGCGCGCACTCGATGACGCGCACCACCACCATCGTATAGGCACGCGCGCCGCTCCCGGGCGAGGGCGGATAGGTTGCGGCTGTTCGCCGCGATACGCCAAGCATACGTGCATCGGGATAGACGCGTTGGCGCTGACGCGTGAGGGTGCCAATGAACGCGAGGCGAGGGAAGGTGCCGCGAGGCTCGCATCCATGGCGGGGCAGTTCACCACTGCACAGCGCGCTATACGCCTCCCAACGCATTCTCAAGGCGATTTCAAGGCCCCGCGACACAAGGAATGCGCGTCCGCCGGAACACTGAGGCTAGAGGCGCGTCGCCAGCACCCACCATGCGTGCATGACCAACTCCAGCATTCTTGAGGAAGCGCCAGCCCGTGCCGGACGAGCGACGACGGCCCTCGAAAGCAGTCACCAGGTCACGCAAAGCCAGCAAGACGCGAGCGCGCAGAGCCGCCGACGACGCACCACTCACGACTTCCGATGCTCAAATGGCCCGCCGCGCCCGCGGAGGAACACATTGGACGACTTCTGATCATCCTCAACGCGCTCCCGGGACCACGCGACATCGGCGACGGCATGAGCGCAAGGCCGCCGACGCTGGCGACGCATGCCGGCTCGCCTGCTGAGGCGCCCTAGCAAGGCGCGCGACCCGCGGGCCCGCCGCTGCACCCGCGGAGGAACGCACTGGACGATATCCGACCATCTTCGACGCGCTCCCAGGACCGCGCGACGCCGGCGACGGCATGAGCGCAAGGCCGCCGACGCCGGCGACGCATGCCGGCCCGCCTGCTGAGGTATCCTAGCAGGGCGCGCGACCTGCAAGCCCGCCGCCGCACCCGCGGAGAAGCCTCCGACGTGCTTGAGGACGACTTGTAGCAGTGCTACGAAGCTCTGGTGGCGTCGTGGAGACCCAGCGGAGCGTGCCGGAAGGGATTATTGGGGTGCAGGCGGCGCGACGGCGCCGCTGGGGAGGCGGCTGAGGCCGCGCTGATGCGCCAGGCAACGGCAGAGCCCGCCGCCTGGATTTTATCGGGTTTTTATGCGTCGCGTGGCGACCCCTACGTATATAATGCATGTAAATAGTGGTTTTCCTTCGAAATGGACAGAAAGCGTGGCTTAGACCTCAGAAATACGCTCGAAACCCAGCTAAACTCGCTTAACAATGGAAAGGCAGTTTTCAGGCTGACCTTGAGAGGGAGGGCCAACCAGCCTCTGGTTAGAGCCATGCGTAGTTCAAAGTGCATCGCTGGTTAGATCCAGTGCCGAAGGGAAAACCATACGTCGTTGGGTGCGACGCGGCGGCTAACCGCTCCCTCGGCACGTTCCTCAGGTCCTCGCATGGGTCCTTTATCTCATCCACTCGCACCCCTTCTCATGCGAAGTACCTGCGTGTCTCTTCCTCGGCGATGGGTGCCGATCCTTCAGTGGTTCGCGCCAGTCTCTCCTCAACAGGGTGTGCGAAGATATGATAAGCCGCCTCGTCTAGCTTGCGCAAATGCTCTGTTCGCGCGTACGACCACGCCTTGCTACGAAGGTGGTCCCATCTCGACCGGGGCTTGCGCTTTTTGCGAGCTCCAGGTCTCTCTTTCCACAGTATGTCTTCCTCAACCCGTATCTGCTCACCCGGTGCAGACTTCGTGCCCTGCGTCGCACCCGTCGAAGATGGTGCTCTCTGCCCTTTCTCGTCGTCCGTTGGTTCTTCCGGACACTGCTTCGCGTCCGGTTCAACCGTCTCTTTCCTCCGTGGTGAGAATCTGGGTTTTTCTGGGTTTTCTTTCGCCTTAACGAACGCCTCGTACTCCTCGTTCGTCATGAATACCACGCCCGCATCCCACAATTCGCGGGCTCCGTTCGTCTGCTTCCCTTCATCGTCTTCCACTTCCTCAACCTCAGGTGCGCCTTTCCTCCGCAGTCCCGTCACCCGTACTGCTGCCAGGCGTTCCTTCCCTTCATCCAGTCACTCCCGCTTCGCGCGCATCGCCGCTCGATGGACGATGACCTCCCGTTCCTCCCCCTCGGCCAGGACAGCGATGTCCTTGCCCCGACACAGGACGCGTCGGGCGGCGATATCCAGCACAATACCGTTCGATTTCATGAACGGTATGCCCAATATCGCGTCGTAACGGTCGATATTCGCAATGTCCACGTACGAGGACACGGGACCCGCAGGCATTACAATGTCCACAAATGTGCCAAAGGATATGCGCGATCGCGATCCCACCGTGCCCAGTTGGAGGTCAACTGGGTCTTCAAGCTCGTGGACTTTCGTACCCGTGGCTCGCGCGTACTCGGGTGTGATAGAGTCCAGGGTCCCTCCTGCATCGAAGAGCACGTACGCCTTCGCCCCATTGCTCCTGGGGCACATAAACAAAGTCTACTTAGATGTAATGTTTGAGTCACTATCTGTAGTCTAAATCCACTTTTTCTGTCCGTCTTTATCAGTCAGAATATTCCGTACGCTAGAGTATTCTATGCTCCAGAATATTCTAGCATACGGAATATTCTAGCGTACAGATTATTCTGGAGCATAGAATACTCTAGCGTACGGAATACTATGGTAGATTATTCTGTACGCTAGAATACTCTGGGGTATAGAATACTCTAGCGTACCGAATAATCTGGGGCATAGAATACTCTGTACCTTAGATTATTCTGGCAGTGCTTCATTCTCATAGATTAATCTGGGACAGATTATTCTGTTCTGTTTGTCTGTCCCAGATTATTCTGTTCTGTTTGTCTGTCATAGATTATTCTGTTCTGTTTGTCTGTCATAGATTAATCTGTTCTGTTTGTCTGTCATAGATTAATCTGTTCTGTTTGTCTGTCATAGATTAATCTCCCTCGGCCTGCCACAGAATATTCTGCTGTACAGCATAATCTGTCTCAGATAATTCTACTTTCTGTCACACAGCATATTCTGTCCCCTTGTTTTAGATTTCAGGATATGCTAGGATAGACTGTAACAGAAAGGTCAGGTAACTATGCCACTAATATCAATGAATGTGAGAATGAATAGGTCATGATAATCGTTTTCTACTGGCAATGTTGTACTTGTTCATCCAAGATCGTAATGGTTAGTAGCTATAGCATAACTAGTCGTCACTTTCCTCGCTAGAGTCTCTACTCTTGACATCATCAGCTATCCAGAACATCCCCTCGTCGTCGTCATCCTCTTCTTCATCCTTCTCGTCCTCGTCCTCTTCTTCATCCTTCTCCTCCTCGTCCTCTTCTTTATCCTTCTCGTCCTCATCCTCTTCTTTATCCTTCTCCTCCTCGTCCTCGTCCTCGTCCATGTCGACATCGGCGCCAGCAATATCAGCACCCATCTCGACATCGTTATCTACGTCGACTGTGGCCTTTGACTTGGGTGCCTGGCGACGCCGAGGCTTAGGCAGGCTTGCAGGCTTGCCATTGCGTCTAGACAGCTTCTGCAATCGAGATTCGCCAGCCCGACCTTTGCCCTTCTGCCTCCAAGCTTGCCACTGCACACGGGTATCAGTCCCGTCCTGCACGTCCCGTTGGTAGCAGACCGAGCGCTGTTCCCATGTGAAGAGGGCGCCGAGCGTTTCCCTCGAGATCACCATTGGGGTTGCGCCCAGGTCCGCAAGCGCCTTTCCCTCAAGAACTTCCTGGGGAATTGGAAGGATGGCGGGGGCGTTGCACTCGCGCAGGACCTGGCGAGCGTCATCGCCAGTCAAGCCGTCGTTGAGTATACGGGTCTCTGCTGTCTTGCGCGACAACCACATATCTCTTGCGGTGCTCGTCCAGTCCTTGCCCAGCGGCTTCTGAGGCGGTGTATCCTCCTTCGGCGCGTTCGACAGCATGACAGGGGCGTAGCGCTTGAATACCTCAGGCCATCCACGAAGCTCGAGCTCCCATCTGTAGAGTATGTCGGCGAGCTTACGATACGGAAGCTGCTTCGGTAGGTCGCCCGGATGGCCGTTCTTGTTGACAGAGGCGCCGATCAAGACAGACTCCCGCGCTGATAGTCCATGTTAGCCCTTGCCGTGTACTATTAATTTGCCTAACTTACCAAGGTCCTCGCGAAGGCACTCCTTAACGATGCGCCAGTAGCCGTCACAGTTGTTCTCCTGAGTACCTGGGCTCCAATCACGACGCTTGAAGGCGACTGCGTCTTCACTCTCGTCCATCAACATCGCGGCCGACCCGCTGTCTATCCACTTCGAACGGACTTGGAACTGACAGCTCCTTGTAGATACGTCAGATGCTAGGACCGCGCACAACACACAACGAACGAACCTCAAGACCCGTGTCATCTTGTCCAGCATCTCATGGAAATTGCCATCGTATTCGCGCACGAGGGCCTCAAATGCTTCTCCTGCACCGAACATCACCGCGCCAGCAGCATGTTCCTGAAGCGCATGAGTGTCAACCACCCAACCAAAGGCCGTCATGCCGTCGTGGAAGAGGTGCGACGTAGCCTGCTGCGTAAGCTTCCCTGCGATGCTCTTCATGGTGCGTACGCGCTTGCCCTTTGTGCCAGACGTGCGCTTCTTTGCCGCGATATCGGCGGCCTGGCGCAGCTCTGCTTGCAAATGCTCGGCCTTTTCGAACTGGGTGGGAGGTCGTCCAAGCTTGTCCGTGAGCTTTTGGATCTCAGCGTGATACGCCGCGGTCCCCTTCGCCCGAAGATCCGTCCGATCATCTGGCGGCTCGTTAGATGTGCTCTGAATGTTTAATATGCTGTAGTACTTACCGCCTTCATATGTGGCGGAGTAAGCCTTCACAAACATGTTCGCCATATTCTCATCGCGCGGCGCATAATGATCGCTATGCATCCAGCCGACCAGCTTGAAGAACTCCTCGGGATCCTTGCCGGCTTCTCGTGCGAGATCCAGTATCCGCTGCAAGTACTCCATCCCCAGCTTCTCCGCGGTTTGGCGTATATCGTCAGGTACTGCCCCGGTCTTCTTGTTATCCTTCGCGTTGGACGATGCAACTCTTGGTGTGTCGCCTTCGTCCACTGCTGAATCGTCTGCCCGATCGGATTTTGTGGGCTTCGCGGACGGACCAGCTCGCGGCGTCTCCTCTGCGCAGTCGTCGAACAGTGAGGTGACGTCGGGTAAGTTCTGCCGGGACGCAGGCTTGGCCGTCGTGCCCTTGCGCTTGGGGCGCGCCGCTGTCGCACGTGTGGGCGTTGCGAAAGTGTTCGCAGGAGTTGGCGCATTCTGCATGGCGACGGGGTTGACGATCGTGCCCATACGCGTTCCCGTCGGCGTTGAACTACGAGTGCGAGAAGCTGACACATGGGCATGCGGCTGGCTGGTTGAGGCGCCCTCACCGGACCCGGTGTTAGATTTCGCATGGCCGCCTCGGCGGGGGGGAGGGCATGGTGATGGCTCCGGCGTTGAAGGGCTAAAGTCGAAGGCGCTCGCAGGAGCATGGCTGTTTGGGGTTTGAGGGCGGGATGCACTCGGAAGCTTGGTTGCTTTAGGCTGCTTCTTATCCCGCACCATGGCAGAAGCGGCCTCTGGGCTCGCGGTGGGGGGATCGGGGCGCTCATTCGTCATGAACGCTAGCCAGGCATCGCCATACTCGGTTCGCGCTTGAGCTGCGACATCGCCGGGTTGCCTGCCTTGAGCCATTCCACCGATGGCAATCGCCCGCCCTTTGCCATCGACCTTCTGGATTGCCTGACCGCCCTTGCCCTTGCGCTTCGTATCTGCGCCCTTGCGCTTCGTATCTGCGTCCTTGCGTCCGGTCTTGGCTTTCTTGCGGGTTCGCTTAGGCGACACAGGCGGGCTAGCGGACGTGGGGGATTGCTCTACCGACGGCGCGCGTTTTCGCTTCTCTCCAGACGCCTCTGGGGCCGCGGGAGCGTTTGTCGGGACATGCGGTGGACGCACTCCAACATGAGCAAGTCCCAGCTGCGTAGATAGATGGCGAGTTCGATTGATGACCGGAATCTCGACGCAGTCGAAGACCATGCGCCCTTGTACTTGTGAAGCCCTGGAGGTTCGGCTAGCATATGCAGGACCCCCAGGGTTATCACCGTCCTTGCGCGTGGTTGAGGTCTGAGTGAAGCCGTCAGAGGAGGCCAAGATGACCCACTATCAATGGCTACGCACCTGGTGGCTGTCTTCCCTGCTGCGCTGGATGTGACGCGCCTCGGGCTCCTCCGCCCCTTGCTCCTTATGAGTGTCTGCCTCGTCGCCCGATTCCGGAAGGCGACGGCGGCGACCACCGACATGTGCCGGAGGAGGAGGCGGGGAAGACTGCGGTGGGGGTGATGGGGACGGCTTCTGGAGCTGGCGTCGGGAGGATGCTGGGCCCCAGTTCTTGTTCTTCGCCGTCGAGCGCGTTCGCGCCTTGTCACCGCGGGCTTTCGGGCCAGTCTTGCCTGCTCCGCGAGGGGCAATGTTCTTGCCAGCGGAGTCATTGGCTGTCTTGTCGCCCGGGCCCGGCGGCGGCGCAGGCTTGCTCCTTGACCTGAGCTTCTGCCTCTGCGCCATCATCTGGGCCTCCTGCTCCTCGATAGCCTCTTGTTCATCCCGAAGGGTGGCGCTACGAAGTTCCATGTTGACGCCGACGAGTATGAAGGATGGGTGATGAGAGAGAGAACAAGAAGCAGGCTGCAATCGTCGTCAATCAGGGAAGCAGGATAGTGATGCTTGACTTACGTGATAGCGGCTTCATGTCTGCCTCAAGGCGCTTCCCTGCGAACGGAGGTTTCAGCCCCTGTGATGTTGCACAGTACATGTTCCGCCACATTGCTTTCGATGTATATATATTGGTATTGTACGTATAGGTCGAAGGAGGGACTGAGCGACGCAGACAACGACAGCAATACACTAGCACGGGTTCAAGAAATGCAAGTGATATAAGATGGAATACCAACTACTCCGACTCGTCCTCGCTATCCGGATCCAGAGGCAAATGCTCGCTGAAGCGCATGGTATGACCACCCGCAATCTGCACGCAGGCCGGACAAACAGCGTAGATCGTAAGCTCCTCCTCGTATGGCCCAATGGGTATGGGGACCGACCACTGCACCTCGAAGCATGCTGGTACGTCGTCTATGCGATAGTTGTCCGGGTACTCGCGCAGGAGAGCGCAAGAGGTTGGGTTCCAGGTGATGTTCGCCCCCTTGAAGAGTCTGGTCCTGATGGTATTCAGCAGCACCCATCCGCCGGCCATTACTCGAATACGGATCCAGGCCACCAATGGCGCCGCCAGCTGCAACGCGGTTAGATGGCTGGCGAGGAATCAACTGGCGTTCTCACCTGTTCTGAGAGGCGGTGGCCCATGTCGCGCCTGAAATAGAAGTTCAGACGGATTCTCCTGTCAGTTGGAACAAGATCGAAGTCGCCGATGTCGAAGTCAGTGACCCCGAAGTCATCGTCGGGTCTAGGCGATGGGAGAAACTTCATGTCGCCACAAACGACCGCGCGCACTTTGCCATGGCTGATGGGCAGGATGTCCCACCAGCTTACGCGTTGGTACGCCCCATTGATCTGTCGGTAGAAGAGGGCGTTCCGGGCCATGTTGACGTTGCAGCTGGCCAGGAAATCGCTGTAGTGCGCCATGATGACCCCGTAGAAAGACCTCGCGCCACTGACGGTGATGCTCCGTTGCTGGCGGCTCGACTGTACGCGGATTAGTATGATACTGCTTAGAGGGAGGTCGCACCCACTGGCCCCGGGATCCCTACTATCTCCAGATCGATTACAATATCGTTTATCTCGTACGTGTAAACCGACGAAGCAGGCATAGCGACAACGTTGGGGTACTGCAGGGCAAATACCCCATGGCAGACCTCCCGGACGCGTGCGACATTGCTATGCACTTCCTGCATTTGATCGCGGAATATGTACTCGTTCCCTAGGTTCATCCACGCCTCGGCCATAGGGAAAGGCCCGTCGCGCTGGTACATCAACCGAATGGTGATGAGCTCCAGATGACATAGGAACGAGCCGTCTACGTCTTGTGGCGCATAAGCGTTCGCGCTCATTGTGAAAGAGGATAAAACTCACCGCTGTTGCCGCGAACAGTGCTTCTGGACGATAGCTCACAAGCGATGTTCTCTAATTCGTCGACGCCCTCTTCATCGAGTTTGATGAACGTTTCCTGCAGCCGCGAGGAGCGCGGGAAGGGCAGGCGAATGGCGCTCCCTGTGGTGGCCATGGTGGTAGGATGCAAGAAGGGGGCGTGGGCGGCATGAGGCATTCGTGCTTTGAACACGCGCATTTGTGTCACGTGGCTTCCTCGTGGCGGAAGATACGCGTATGGCTGCGTTGGGGTCGAGGAATACTGGACATATGTACTACTTTGTCGATGATGATTCACGTGCTTCCTGAGCATAGCGCGCTCGAAGGTCCGTCAAAGTCGACATCCGGAGCATGCCCTCCTTCGCGCGAGCACGATTCGCCCTCACCGCCTCCTCCAACCCCTCCCTGCTCAAGGACGCAAGATACGCGTCATTATTCCGGCACCCGTTCTCGACAAAACGGAAGATAGCGCCGCCTGTATACTGGGTGATGGTCTGGCGGTGCTCGTTGCTGCCGATGGGAAGGTTGAAGTGCTCGAGAATGGCGGAAGGAATGAGGATGGACGAGCCTGCGGGGAAGCGGATGACCAATCGGAGAGGTACGATGACAAGATGGCCACCCTGGTCGGCGTCGAACTGTCCAAGGGCGGTGATGCTGCAGAAGCCAAAGCACAAGTTGGCGAAATCGCGATGAGGGATTGTGATAGTGCGGGGCCTGAAGTTCATCGTCATACAGGCGAATACCGACTTTGCGAAGTTCTTGTAGCTGCGGAGAGCGGGCTTCCATTTGAAGAGTTTGGCCATTGTGTCCGCGTAGTACTCGAATTCTTGGGGCTCCCACGTCTGGAAGACAGCTGCACGAGTTCAATATGTGCAGGAAAAAAAGCAGCTTAAGCGCGTACATGAGCAGAAATGTGCGATTTGCACCATGGCCGGCAAGCCAAGCAATCGATCCAGCTCTTGCCGATTCTCCGGGCGGTGTCGAAGTGGTCGAGGCGACTACATACAATCAGCAGGAGGCGAGAGTATGTGAGATGACAGCAACACACCTTCTGACCGCCTCCGTGTGAGATGCCATGGGATTTGAGGGCGAACTTGCCGCGGCGGTGGTCGCATTCAGCAGTAGAGAATGACAAGGCGGTTGCTGCTGACTGTTCCATAGCCATCGCCAGACCCCGCTGCCGTTCGTCCCAGTCCTGCGCGGGAGGGCAGCCTGCAAGGATGCAAACAATTATTCGGCGTGATCCAATGGTAACAGCAAGTTGATGTCTACACCAGTCAGCGGCGGGCGAGTCTAGTAACAAGAAAGGCACTCACATGCCGTCCCACTGGAGATAGCTATACCCCTGCAGCTTTGAGACTGCCGGAATTCCTGACCGACCAGCGTCTCGAAGCGCCGTGTATGCTGTGCTTGTTGTCGGCGCATCGTCCAGGTCCCAGGACGCCGTGTATTCGTCGGCATCGAGAACCTTCTCCTCCCGCCGACGCTTGTTGGCGCCATCCGCGGCACCTTCTGCCCGGCGCTTTTCCTTGCGCTGGCGCTTACTTTTGCGCTGCGCCGAATTTTTCCCAGTCACGGTGCACGGCAAGGGAGCGCGAGGCAGCGGCAGTGTTGGATCATCGCCGCCGTCGTCGATCTCGTACTGGTTTTCGCCGCCGTCGCCGTCGTCGTCGTCGTCGGATATGGGGGTTAGCGGGGAGGAACGACCGTCGTCAGGTGGAGAATCCCCATCCCAGCCACTGTAGTCGTCCTCGCAGTCCGACTGCAATACATCCACGTCATCTTCATCGTCGCGTCCGGCTGCGTCGCTCATCAGCGCATCCAAGTCGACATTTTCAGGAAGAGGGACGAAGTTGCTGAAGACCGTCCCGCGCCGCGTGACTCTCGCTATGTAGGCAAGTAAGCATGTGTTTGGGAGAGAAAAAGGAGGGTCCTGTACTACGCTCGGCGCGTTGACCCTATCTACCAGGCGTTGGCTGACGGGGGCGCGCTCCGCTGCGTCCAGGACCCTCCAGGAGTGGGAGACTTACCCCCTAGTATTCGCCCAAGCTCTTGGGACATGGCGGCCAGGACAAAGATGCGCGAGATGCGCGCGATATTGCATGCATGTTCGTCGCGCGTTCGCCATGAGTCGACCGCAAGCGCATAGAACATGTGGTAGCCATGTGCACTTTGACCCCAGGAATGTCGTTGGGTGGGCGTCCGTAAGGCGTATGTACGTAGTCTTCGCAGGTATCGAAACGATCTATAGGCGTATGCTATCTGAGCTCATCTCGGCAGACTCGTCAGACTTAATGTGACCATCCTCCGACAGGTCACTAATCTCGAAAGACGACAGATCCGACTGCTCTTCGTCGCTATCCACCCCGACCGCTGGCCCGTCTTCATCTTCCAGTGGATGTTCCACATCCCCCTCAAGTGGGACAACGTCGCACGAGGCCCTTTCCCACTCACGAATGGCGTTCGTCAGTTCCTTCGGCGTAGGACCCGGCAGAGTTGGAAGGTGGCTCCGCCACCGGACTGCCAAGACGAGCAGCGCTTTACGACGGCAGACAAGCTGGTGTACAAGAGCAGGGGAATCTGTGAGGAGGACTTAATTCGTGTGCCCGCGGAATGTCAAGCAACGGAGACATTCACCTGGTAGCATCAACGACGACCGGATGGCGCGCCTCACGGCTTCCCACTCCTCCCCAAACCAAGAAACAATGTTCTGCTCCTCATGAGCGAGGCGTGCGTCTTCTTCTTCACAATGATCCAATGTCTGGACCGCCCGTATAGCCTGGCGCATCAGAGGATTCACCATCCACTCCGGCGCGTCTTCATCGGCATCGAAGTCGTACCTCAGCTCGTCCCAGCAAGCGTTGTCGATGTCGAGATCCCAGAGCCCTTTTGCAGGGAGCTCCTTTAGAGGGCGGACGGAGCATTGACCGCTTCGAGCGATTTGGTCATCGATGCGCGCGTTAAGGTCTCGACAGGCCTTATTGTACCGGTTGACTATGCCCTTGAGGGTGCCCGCACGGCGATCCACCGCCGTCCTCACATGCCTTCGCAAAACACTGTCTGTGATCCTATAAGCATGATGCGCACACCGTAACGAAAGAATGATACCTACCTCCATTCTTATTGTTTTGAAAGCGGTTCACCCTTTCCATTTCCAGCTGGCGGGACATGACCGCGTCGCGAGCATGGCGCAAGAGAACGACACAATTGGCGCGGCTATGCAGCAGTTTGTTCTTCTTCAGGCGACTCAATCGACCCTGGACGTCTACTCCTAACTGTTGGACTTTGCGATTGTACTTCCTCTGCGCGACGTGCAGGACCGCTTGCGAGGCTTCGACGTCTGCCTCACGATCCTCCTTCGACCGGGGCCGTGCTGGTTTCTTGCCCTTCTGCGCACTGCCGTTCTTGGCGGCCTCGAGCGCCTTCTCAGCTTTCTTGACTTCTTGCTCCAGCGATAACACTGCCTCGATTTCTTTGCGGGCAGCGGTACGGGAAGAACCTAGAAGTCATGGGTGGGTAAGACCAACGGCCTCTTGATGCTGCACTGTGGCGTACCTTTGGTCGGCTTGGTCTGAGCGATGAGCTGCTCACGCCATTGCTGGCGGACAAAAGCAAGGTCATCGGCCAGTGGGCCGCACTCGGCCAGCAGACGCTTAGCCTCCTTGCGCTTGGTCTGAACCAATGTACGCTTGCGCGTCAGCCAAGCGCCGGCATCTTGTATAGAAGTCTCAGCCAAGTATAGCATCTGCGCGTTCAGGGTGAATAGACGAAGATGGAACTATTGAAGATGAGCAAACAGTTGCAGGAAGTTTGAGAAGACCTACCCCAGCAACACGCAGATATGAGATTAGTTTGCTAATCGACGACCAGAACCGTTCACATCCCTCGCCGTCGGTAAGGCCGAACCCGATGCGCTTGCGGGGATGATATAGGCTCTGGCAAAGCCAATCATGGCCGTACGCGTGGAAGACGGCCACGGCGAACTGAATCCGATGAAGGTACCCATTGAAGAGCCCCCACTTGATTGCGCTGGCTTCCGTCTGACAAGCAATGTCGTAGAGGAATCCGATCGTCCACTCGCAAGGCAGATGCTGGGTCAGGGCGTCCATCAAGGCCACGACATAATACTGCTTCTCGCCGGCGCTGGTCATGTTTGCCCAGAAGAGTGGAACATCGTGCCTGCATAGGAGTGCCATCGCGGCTGTCACATCATGTCGCCGTACACTAGCCTTGGCGATGGAAGACTGGGCGGCCTTGAAGCTGCTCTTGCACTGCTCGAGAGACTCAGCAGGTAGTGTCGGTGGATCGTCAATGGAGGAGGTGACGGTACCACCTCCCTGAGCGCCTCGTCGCCGCTTGACGTTCGTAGAGGCAGCCCCGTCGCCGCGTATCGCCTCTACCCACTCCGCCGTACTGGTCAATGTCGCCTCGTCGATCATAAAGTCGTCCGGGTGAAGGAAGATAGGATCTCGCCGCTGTTTGTTGTGCTTTTGCGAGAAGCACGCGTCAATGGACACCAAACAATCGGGAGATGTCGGACTTGACTGACTGAGGCGTCGCGCCGATCCAAAGCAGATTGGGCAACATGCCTGGAGATGCGCGGAAGGCCTGGGTGCCAAGGGGTCTTCGCTAGCGGGAGATGCACCAGCCGGGGCTGGCGGGGCCTGATCCGGTAAGGCGTCGCCAGTAGTGGCGTCACCAGCGAGAGAGACGCCAGACGCAGCCGAGGATGTTCCTTGGCGAGGTTCGTTCGTCGAACTCTTGATGCGCTGAGCCTCGCGAGCATCCGCACGAGCAATTTCGAGAACCGACTGCAGCTTCTTCTGGACTTGCGCGTGAAGCACAGAGTACCACAGGAGCGCGCTGCCAAATCGTTTCCGCATGTTATCCTGCTGTTGTTGAGCGCCGTGGGCAGATGGAGAGTCAATGTGCTCACGGAATAGTTGATCTTATGGCCTCGCCCCAGTAAGTATATCTCAGAAGCCTTACACCAGGCTTTGACGTTTGGCGATATATGGAGGAACAGCACCCGCACAAATTCGAGAAGGCCGATGTCGACCGCGAGGTTGGGACGATATGGGGCGCAAGGGAAAAGACCGCCTCGCACCAGCTGAGTAGCCGCAGGTCAACATTTGCATGTGTCTATCTCTATTCGTTCGACGCCTGAGATGTCTTTGGTCAGCGTCCATTGCGCCATCCACTCTTTCACTCACTAGTCATCCGCAGAACCAGAATCGAGAGACGCCGAGCATATTCGCCTTCGCATGTGCACGGGGCAGATGTTCCGTCCACGCTTGGGGCGGGTAATCGCATGTTGTCCGTCTCCTCCATCAGACGCATGTAAGGCCTGTGAAGAAGAGGAACAATTTCCTGCTCCCATCTTCTCGTGGTCGTCTCGCGGCGGCGCTGCCAGCGGGATCCTTTGACAGGGCGACCGAGCTCCGCCAGCTCGTCAAGAGCAGCCGACGCTGGTATGGGCGTGTCCACGCGCACGCTGCGCCCGTGGCCAGGTGAAGATAGGCGATGAGCGGGAACAGACGGGTGGTCTTTCCTGGTCTTCAGAGCCCGCCCCAAACCAATAACGGCAACTGGCGGCTCATGCCACCGCCTACGCTTGCCCTTGTTCCAGACATTGACGGACTTTGGTGTGAAGCCCAGAGGCTCATCAGTGCGCGAGGAATGCCGCTTGGTAGGCGTTCTCGGCAGCACTTGCTGTTTTTGTTCCGGCGTATGCGGACACGGTGCTGTGGGAGCGTCGCTAGCCTGCCCGCTCGCAGCACTGGAAGATGCCAGCGCGAACTGCCGTCTCTGCGCTTTCGTGATACGCCCCATGAGAACCTCTGCAAGGTTGAGATACGCCGGCTTGGTGATGGTCGGGACGAACAGGATGGGCAACGACGCAAGCCCGCGCGACCACGTTGTCTCCACACACCGGATTTTTGACTAATTGTATGTGTAGCGAGTACGTGGGTATATACAGACCAGACTCTGAGGTCAGGTAACTGTTTGTCGTACCAGCAGATAGCGAGGGGCAGCGATGTAATAGGTGAAGTCAGTTAGATGTCGCGCGGGAAACACAACAATACGTACTGACGGTGTAGAGGGTCTGCAAGATGCGTCCCCGATAGCTCGTGCGCTCGCAATGGTGGAATTACTTGCGCTCTTTCCACCCATTGATGGTTCTTTAGTATGGTCAGTGGATACCAAAGGACTTCTGCTTACCTGGACTGCCACCAAAAGCACCTTTTGGAGCGGGATGGGCGCAGTAAGCGAACAATCAGCATATAGAGGCCCGGGAAGAAAACGGGAGCCTGAGCATAGTCAATGTCGCATCAGGTCAGGGAACGCGCGACAGACGAACCTGTAGCGCATGCGAACGTCGACGAGCGCGATGTGCGAGGACGTCCCGCGCTCGCGTAGCAAATCGCGGCTGGGGAAAAGACATCGTAGGCTTCATTCGGTCTTGCTCGGTGTAGATGGGGAAGCCGGTCGTCGATGGGTGTGCTCAACGACCCTCTCCCCACCGGTCGCGCAACATATCGAGGCCGGTCAGGAGGAGGCAGAGACCAAGGGAGGGGGATCAGTGTAAGCCAAAGGGGAAGACGATATCTGCTTACCAGGCAATGAGATTAGCGACCGAAGGCGAGATACGAGCCCCCCACAGACCGCGTGTAATGGTCAACGGCGTTCATTGCAGAGAAGCGATGTAGACGCACCATATATCCATAGACGAACGATCGAGGCGCTGGGGAACGGTACCCGAGGCTACAGACGGCGCTCGCTGGGACGACAGCGCACGAGAAGAGGAGCTTGTGAGCCACCCCGCCGGTCGCGTAGCATATCGAGGCCAGCGGGGGGTCGCAAGTCATCCGTCGCGCAAGCTCGGGGGTCAGTATACTACGTGGGGAACAGATGGTACATACGCACCGTGTGCAGCGAGGAGCGCCGCGCGAGCAAGAAGACCATGAAGGGGGTCAAACAAGACGGGCGGGGGACCGAGGAAAGTCGGCGGCGGCGGCGACAGGGGTGGAGACAGCGACGAGGATGACGGTCAAGACGAATGAACAGAATATTCTGCGTGCGCTCTGATCACGGCGACGCCACATACGACCAAACAAGGGCCGCTCGGCAGTCGCCGGACTGATCGAGGCGGCGCTTGCAGACTTGGCGGTTCTTGACTGCTACCACGCCATTCCGCGCCCCTCGTTCATCGCTCCTCCGCGAACTGTCCGACTACGGCCTCGCCACCGCCTACGACCTCGCCACCGTCTGCAGTTAGTCAGGTGCCCTCCACTCGCCTTCAAGGACCCGTCTTTACCGCGTATTGCAACAAGCGCCGGCTGCTCCAAGACAGTCCTCGGACGTTCAGACCAAAGGTACGTGACCTGCTCGATGAATTAGGCCTTACTGACCAAGCACAGGCTCGCGCGACTTCGCAGGTACGTGCTACTTGCATCGTGATCGGAACTTGCTGAAGTGTCCGAACGTCTTCGCTCTCGTCCGCAATCCATCGCCATATGTTAGGTGTTGGATTGTGCAACCCCAACAGTTCCGAACGAATACACGCTACGCCCACACAGGATATGGATTCGCAACCAACACGCTTCGCCGGCGCCGCTGAGTGGGACGGCAGGCAGCTCACCACCGCCCGGGCGTCCGACTGGTGCGAACGCCACTACGCCACCATCGCCATCCAGGCCGGGCCCCCGCCAGCAGCTCTGTCGCCCGACGAGGAGGCGTTCTTCGACGTTTTTGAGGGCCGCCCAATTCCACGCCGGACCTACCCCGCAACGGGCATGTCACCCGCGACCTTAGCGCGTCCCGAACCCGCCGCCAGCAAGGGCAAGCAGAAAGCGTCTGCCGTCAAAGCCAAGCAGACGTCACGATCCGCGCGCGCGCAGTACTCCAGCGACGACGAATTCCCTCGCGATGAAGTCGAGAAGGCCATAGTGCATGCCAACGTCGCCGTCGCCCAGCCTACGGTAGCCTCGCCGAAGGGCAAAGGCAAAAAGTCGCGCAAGCGGGCGCCTTCCATACCACCCTTTCCGAACTACGAAGATCTTCGCCCCGTCAAGCGAACGCGGCAGCCCGAGGCGACGCCCATTCTGCGTATTCGAGACGTCGGGGTTCAAACGGTGAGCGTATGCGCCTTGTACACCCGCAAGCGCGTTCTCACAAACGTCCAGGAAGGAGAAGCCATCATCTGGGGCTGGTACGGCGCAGAAGCGGCCAGCAGGGCCAAGTTGCGCGAGGATAATCACTTCCCGCCCATGCCCTTTCCCGACGCGACGCACTACACCGTCGAGGAGGCAAGCGCGGTGCTGTTCAAGAACGACCTCGCGCCCGATATTTTTGAGGCAGTCTGGCCTAGTGAGTTCGCGTTCGCCGTCGGTTTATCGCGAAACTAATGACATTACAGAAGACAAGTGGTTGCGGATGCGCGTCGCTGGGTTCTCTCGCCAAGGGACGCACATCATTATGTCTCCCAACGCCAGTTACATCCCTTACTTCCCCGAGAAGCCCGAAGAACTAGTCCGGTGGGCGGTGCACGAGGATGGGCTGTACGGCGCCCAAGAATACACGCGGGTTCCTTGCAAACATAACGCGCGCGAGGGCCATTCACTTTACTGCGCATTCATTCCCCGTCGTCCTCTCGATCGCAAGGACCCAACGAGCATCTTTTGGCACGACGTATCGTACTGGTTCATCCCCGCTCCCGATCCGCTCATCGACCGCGAAGATCGCTACCTCCTCAAGCCATATATCGCCGATGCTCTCAAAGAGCCTGTGAAGTCTATCTGCTCATTGCTCAGAAAGATCACCAAGGCCAGCATCCACTACGGGGAAAAGAGCATGAAGGAGGATTTGGGAATGAGTGACGAAGAGATCCGAGACGCACTTCTAAAGGAGTCGCTTGGCCCCGATGATGACCGACATGTTTCCGACGAGCACCTCGACAAGTACTACAAGACGCTAATGGCTGGGCATCCCTATCTCGACGGCCTCGAGGTCGCTATCCGCCATCTGTACGGATACCTCCAAATCCACGGCATGCCTCTCGTGCAATGACAACTGGCGGCGAGGGAGCTCCAGCGGTATTGTCTGGAAGGGTGGGGCATTGTGAATCAGACCGTCGCGCACTACGAGAACATCGAGCACCACCAAGACTTCAATCCTGCAAACCCCTTGCGGTGGGTCGTTGGCGCGTTCACGGACGACCTCTTCACGATGAAGTATCTGGCTGGATGTCGCGTCCCTGTTTGGCGCTCGGAAGTTTTTGGCGGGCCGAATGGCATGGCGTACGACATGAAGTGGTCGAACTTCGTCAACGTCCCCTCAGTTGAGCGACTGGTGACGATGACCTCCCCCTATCGCATGGCGTGCCTTTCGCCCCATCCCGAGCGCCTCCCCTACGTCTTTAAGGGCACATTCTCCGACAGTGGGTGGCTGGCAAAGGTGCACGCTTACTCGTCGATTCAGTTCTCCGTCAACGTCCCTCTTGATACAACGATGAACAAGGACGAGGACCCGCTGTGGGCCCGCCCCAGTATCAAGGACAGGGAGGCGTCCAAGTTGCGCAGCGTGGATTACCTGCGCAGTGTTCGCGCTCCGGACCCGCCCCCAGCAAACCCGTTTGAGGCCGCAGAGTCCTTTGCGGATGACGAGAGCATCCCCACAGTCGAAGTTCTCCCCGTTGAAGACCGCCCGCTGCCCGCAATCGAGGGCGTTGACACGACGCTCGACGACCACCAGGACGCCAACGAGGACCGCGAGGCATTAGCGTACAGCACCATCGATGTTGACGCCATTTCTTCGCGCGAGAGCTCCGCCGGCGTCGAAATCGTCGAGAGCGTCAACCCGGCCCGTAACAACCAGGCGGCCGAGGTCATCGACGTCGACATGCTTCCCATGAGCGTCCACGACTTCGAGGGGACCATTGACGTCGACATGTTACCTGACACGGAGCTGTTGGACCAGGGCACTGCGGCTGTTGAGGTCGCGCCAGCGTCTGTGACCCCGCCGCCCGAGGGTTGAGAGGACTCGCCGCCACTCTCGAGCGGTGCTGCTGCGACAACAGCGTCGACGCCGCCTGGGCCGGGAGCACAAGCGAATATACCGCCTCCGCCAATAGCTAGCACGGCGGCATCCGGGGCTTCCTCGTCTACTTCTGCAGCAGCGGCGCCGTTGCAGCCATGGGGCAGATCCCAGGCGCATGTCCAGCAGCGGATTCCGAAGGGCATTCACACCAATCCGAAGCAATGGGTCACTTCCACCTGTAAGTGCGATTTTCCAAGCTATATGCAACGACATGCTGACTTGTGAACTGTAGACGACCATCAGAAGGCCCTACCTTCCACGACGCTGGCATGGGACGCGGCAAAAGCTGCTTGGACGCAGTCTTGGAGCCACGTGGGCGCGCGAGAAGGCGACGCTAAGCGATGCTTCCCGCTGCCCAGGACGCTCGTCAGTGGCAAGGACGAGTCGAAGCGCATCGCCATGGTTCACATGTTCATCTTGATGAACAACATGCTGCTAGAGAACGCGCGCGAGACGGACTGGGACGACGACCTTGACAGCACTCGACGTGCTGCGAACGCACCGATGCCGTGGAAGTTGTCGAACTCGGACTGGCGCCTGGTCCTCTTCGCCGAGCATACGATGAATGCGAACCCCACTGGCCCTACCAAGAACGCGCTCGAAGCTATCGAGGGCATCTTCGGCGGCAAGGTCAGCTTGGAGTTGCTCGTCCACAAGATGCAACTTCCGTATGTCATTTACGGCGAGGAGGTCAGCCACGGTCAGATGCCGGGTCCAGCTACCCTCAAGACGATCCTGTGGCGCCTGCAGGAGGTGCTGTTCCGCAAGGACTGGATCGACCTGAACCAGCGGATGAGTGTCGCGATCATGAACCGGGCGGAGCAGGAAGAGCATCTACGACAAATCTTCGACCCGGCTACGGTCATCGCGGGTGATCTCCTTACGGTGCGCGGCAACGGAGAGCAGCAGTTGGGCCTAGTGGCTAGCGAGTGGAGGGTGCGCGCGCGCTACGTGCGGGCAATGGTCAAGATTATGGCAGGCTGGTCGCCGCCGATCTGGGACTGTGTTGTCAGAGTGGCGCAGCTCAACCACCTCACACGGAGTCAGGCAGTTTGGCTCGAGGAGCAAGCCAGCATGTTCTACACGCGGTGCTTGTGGGGTGAGCTTCACCGCGAGCTGGTGCCGCCTCCTATCCGGTCTTCTGCAGAACTTTGATTGGTCGTCGCATGTCTTTTGTGTCTTGGTTTTTTTTCGCACATACTTACTTCTTGGATTCGCTACGAACTCTCTTGCATAGTATTTCATCAAAAAGTGTAACATATTCGTCATCCATGATATCTTAACATGTCTATGCTGGGCATAGCATGAGTTTCCTTACTTTGTGTGAATATTGTCTGAATTCTTCTAGCTAGAGGTCTGGGCATCGGATGTACTTAGGGAAGAGCAGCTGGCACTGTCTTCCCTGATTGCATCTGGTAGGTACAACACATTGTACCTACAGTCAGGCCTCAGGCTCGTCATGCGGTAAGAACTGACATACTCAGATAATTGGCGTGGAGTTATCTGCACTAACTGTATGAGCAGTACCTGAAAGCTCCAGCAACCAGCGCCGACAGATGAATCTAAGTGATAAGAATGTGCCGGTGCGACCGAATATTCTGTTTCCCGAATATTCTGTTACAACTGTAGGCGACAGATTATTCTGTGACGATTGTAGGCGACAGATTATTCTGTGACGATTGTAGGCGATAGAATATTCTGTTACAACTGTAGGCAACAGAATATTCTGTGACGATTGTAGGTGATAGAATATTCTGTGACGATTGTAGGTGATAGAATATTCTGTTACAACTGTAGGCAACAGAATAATCTGTTACAACTGTAGGCAACAGAATAATCTGTTACAACTGTAGGCGATAGATTTATCTGTTTGAGTCGTAGACGATAGATTATTCTGATATCGACAACTCAAACAGATTATTCTGTTACAACTGTACGCAACAGATTATTCTATGGCAATCGCATACAACAGATTATTCTGTTACAACTGTATGCAACAGATTATTCTATGGCGATTGTATGGGATAGAATAATCTGTTGAGATTATATACATCAGAATATTCTGTTTCCTGCAACCTTGTCAGATTATTCTATGGCGATCATACGCAACAGAATAATCTATCGCCTACGACTCAAACAGATAAATCTACTTGTAGAATAATCTGTTACCTACATGCGGTGTAGAATATTCTGTCGAAACAGATTATTCTATGGCAATCGTATGTAACAGATTATTCTAGACGTAGATTTCTCTGTGTATATATACTGTAGAATAATCTGGATTTTGAGGCAATAGAATATTCTGTTTCATATGCAGAATAATCTGCCTGATAAAGAGGGACAGAAAAAATGGATTTAGACTACAGATAGTGACTCAAACATTACATCTAAGTAGACTTTTTCTTGAGTGCCTGGGCTGCCCATTGATCTCAACGAGCGCGGCAAGGCCGGCTCGGTCTGCATGCTGTCGCCGAGGGCGCGAGATCTTCTTCTGTGAGCATAGAACCTGTGTCGTCCCACGATGTCTCCCCGTCGGTTCGATGACCGCTCTAAGCCTTTCCTCGCGCGAGGCTCGCGTGCCGGTGCGCACTCTCATGGCGTGCATGTGTTCGCCTTCATCATCGGCGAAATCGTCGAGCGACGAATAATCTTCCAGCACTAGGCCCGCGTGACAAAAAGCTAACTGAGATTATTGTAAAGTTCTGCAGAAAGCTAAGGTGGATTTATCTTACAAAAAACTGAATTGACTTACAAAAAGCTCTCTTGGCTTCAGCTTTTCGTGATGCTGGTGGTAAATTACATATGCTACAAGCACTATCTGTAGGCAGCTGTTGAAGCACAAACAGAAGATGAGTGGTGGATCTGTGATGCAGGTGTGATATGTGGATGTCAGAAGTGGTGGTTAGGTGGCGAGCCTGCCTCCACCGCGTGAAGGAGTTGCCTTATTGGTGAATCAGGCCTGATTCACCAATTAGGAAGGTGCTTACTTGGGAAGTATGTTCCCACGGTCGATCCCGTACTATACTGTACATACACGTTCCTTTCTCTTCCCTCAGTCGCTATTCCCATAGCAGGAAGACTGAGGGTGAGCTCTACTTTACTTGTACTTTACTGTATACTAACGTTACCTTAGTCTTGCGCTTCCTGCGCATATTTAGGTATGAATTCAGTCGCTATTCCCATAGCAGGAAGACTGAGGTATTGCGCTTCCTGCGCATATTTAGCTCGTGAAAGGTTATGAGCCCCGTGGCCTAAATCGAGCAAGACTTCGATCTGCGACTCACTCTATCCCACTCTGCGCCATGGCTCCCAAGGACAGCAAGGTCCCAACGCTCACCGACGCGGCGGACTGGACGCTCTGGCGCCTCCGGGTCACCGACGCCCTCAACAGGGACGATCTCACCTCTGTGGTGACTGGATCGGAAAAATCCCCTCCCCCTGAGATTGCGGTGACTCCACCGACACCGACAACGTCCTCACCCCCGTCCACGTCACCCGGCGCTCCGGCAACCTCCACCACATCCACCGGATCGGGCTCCTCCTCTACCACTCACCAAGTTGCGCGGAGGGAGACCTGGTCCTGGCGGAACGCCCGCGCCCTCTCCACCATCCGGGAGCACCTCTCGAATGACATCGCCCTCGAGCTCCACGAGTACCAGCATGCGAGCGAACTCTGGGAGAAGCTCGTCGAGAAGTTCGAGCAGACCAACACCAGCGAGATGGCGGTTACCAAACTGATCAAGATCTTCCGCGCAAAGCTCGCCGACGGCGACGATGGAGACGTCTCCCGCGAGGCGATGAGCGCGCACATCCACCGCGTTCGGCAGTCGGTCACCCAGCTCGCCACCCTCGGCTACCCCCTCAACGCCAACCTCGTCCCCCTCATCCTCCTCGCCTCCCTTCCCAGCTCAGAGAAGTGGAAGATCGTCTCGTCCGGCATCTCGGCGGGCAGCTCCAAGGCCGCGCCCCTCACCTTCTCCTACGTCGAGGCGAAGCTGATGGCACAGGTGACCAGCAAGGAGGACTCGGACGACGAGCAGGCATACGCCGCCTCCTCTTCTCGCGCGCCCCCACCGCGCAAGCCCAAGGACAAGGGCAAGAAGAGGGCCAAGGCGAAGGCGACCTGTGTCATCCACGGCGAGGGGCACTCCACCGAGGAGTGCAAGACGATCATTGGGCAGAAGGAGAAGGCGCTGAAGAAGCGGAAGGAGCGAGCGGCGGAGAAGGCGAAGGCGAATAAGGTGAAGGACTCGGACTCGGACTCAGACTCGGACTCGGATTCAGACGTAGACGACACGCATGTAACCGTCTCACGCCGCGCCTACAAGAAGATTTCCGCCTATGTCCAGTCTGATCCTAAGCGACCGCAGCGACACCAAGGTTCGCACATCGTCGACTCGGGTGCGTCAAAGACCATGACCCCCGACGAGCGCCTCTTTGACGGTAGCACTTACCGTGTCCTCGACCCGCCACGCAACATCTACCTCGGGAATGAGTCCGTCATCAAGGCAGTAGGCATTGGCACCGCCTGCTTCGCCTCTAAGACACCGGACGGTGTGCGCGCGCTGACTATTCGGAAGACACTGCATGTCCCCGACCTCGCGTTGACGCTCATCTCGGTGCCCCAGATCACCAAGCGTGGTCTGCGCGTGTCCTTTAAGGACAACGCCTGTACTATCCGCGACTCCTCCGGCGATATCGCCTGTGTCGCGACGCGCAAACACGGTCTCTACCACGTCGACTGTCAGCCCATCGGCATGGATGAACGCGCCTTCACCGCCGTTGACATCAACCGGCTGCACCAGATCATGGGCCATACAAACTTCGAGAGCCTGCGCAACATGGTCCGTCATGGTCAGCTCGGGGAGGTTGACACGCTCACCGGCATTCCGTCCTTCTGCGAGCCCTGCGTCATGGGCAAGATGAAGAAGCTCCCCTTCAAGCGGAGCACCACGCCCGCCTCGCGCCCACTCCAGTTCGTCTCCTGTGACGTTGGTGGCCCCGTCGACCCCGCTGCCATTGGCGGCTACCTCTACTGGATCGTCATCGTCTGCCACTACTCCTCGGGCGTCTACACGCTCTTCACAAAGAAGAAGTCAGAGGTCTACAAGAAGCTTCATCAGTGGTGCATCGACATGGAGCATCAGCACCGCGACTCTATCGAGCAGTGGGAGTGGCTCCCCGGCTGGGTTGAGTTCACCCGCACAGATGGCGGTGGCGAGTTCTGCTCGAACAAGATGGAGGCTGAGTTCCGCCGACGCGGTATCATCCACGAGACGACGGCGCCCTACACGCCTGAGCAGAACGGCATAGCGGAGCGCATGAACCAGACGCTGGTCACCCGGGCAATCGCTAACCTCTGCGCGGCCAAGCTTCCCCGGAAGTACTGGATGTACGCGATGGAGTACGCCACCGACATGATCAACCTGTCGCCTGCCAGCCGCCAGAAGGGAGAACTGCCCATCAACCGCATGCGCAAGGTCAAGCGTCCTATTGACGTCCACGCCCTGCACCCATTCGGTTGCCCCGCCTACCCACTCATCCCAAAGAAGAAGCGGAAGGGCAAGTTCGCCGACCGCGCCCGCCGGTGCATCCTCATAGGCTACGCTTGGTCTGAGGGTACAAAGGCGTACAAGCTCCTCGAGATCGCCACTCGGAAGGTCATCATCTCCCGGCACGTCAAGTTCGACGACGCCTCCCCCTCTCCTGACGAGATGCGCACGGGCGAAGACGATGTGTCTGCCGAGCAGTGGGAGGACTTTGGCAAGTACTTCCGCCTGCCGCCCAAGGACACTCCTGCTCCAGATGCGGGCAGTGACAGTGAGGACGATGACAACGACGATGTGCCGGCCCAGCCACCTGCAGCCGGGTCAGTGGGAGCACCTCGTCCACCCACGCCAGAGCCAGTGGGAGATAATCGTCCGCCCTCACCTGACTCAGATGAGCCACCGCCTCCTCCGCGTCCACCGAAGACGCGCATACCGCGCCAGTCTCTGCCACCGGCCACGCCACCGCCGGCTCCTGCCCCCGCCGCTGGCCCATCACGCCGCCCTGGCCTTTGCAAGCCAGAAGAGCGAACAGCGAACCAGCACAAGGACCAGGGCTACATTAATGCCCGGGAGCGGCAGGAAAACCACCGGAAGGTGTCCGCTCAGCAGCGGAAGCAGCGGGAAGCGAACATCCGCGCGCGCGAGCAGCAACTCGAGGACAATCGCCGACGTCGAGAGCAGCCGCCTCAGGCGGAAGCTCCTCCTCCACCTCCGGCACCAGCTCCCGTACCAGAACCTGCACCAGCGCCTACCCAGGGGGGTGGGGATCCCCCGGGTCAACCCAACAAAGAGGGCGAGTCAGTGAACTTTGCTTTTCTCAATGACGAACTCTTCGCGGGTGCAGCATCTGGTGGTCGGTCGAGCAGTGGTGCGCGGAAGATTCCCACCACTTGGAAGCAAGCCATGGCGAGCCCAGAGCGCGACAAGTGGTTGGACACGCAGTCGGAGGAGTTGAACAGCTTCAAGCTGAACGACGTCTACGAGGAGGTACCCATCCCGGAGGGCGTCAAGCCGATTACCTCTAAGCATGTCTTCTCTTTGAAGGAGGATGCTCAAGGGAACATCGAGCGGTACAAGGTGCGCATTGTGGCGCGTGGCTTCACTCAGCAGGAAGGAGTCGACTACCAGGACACCTTTGCACCCGTCGCAAGCCTGGAGTCCATCCGCATCATCCTCGCCCTCGCCGCCCGCCTTGGTCTTTACACTGACCAGATGGACGTGAACACCGCCTACCTCAATGGTGAGCTGCTACAGACGCTCTACATGCTTCCCCCGACTGGCGTAGACATCCGGGAGGGCTACTGCTGGCGACTCAAGAAGTCGGTCTATGGCCTTAAACAGGCCGGTCGCGCGTGGAACCAGACGCTCCACAACAAGCTCGACAAGCTCGGGTTTGTGCGCCTCAACTCGGAGACTTGCCTCTACGTCTTCCGGGATGGTAAGCAGGTCTGCTTCCTCGTTGTCTACGTCGACGACCTCCTCCTCGCCGCTACCTCGCGTCCTTTCATGGACAGCATCAAGAAGAAGCTCACTGCCTCCTTCAAGATGCGCGACTTGGGTCCCGCCAAGTACCTCCTGGGCATCGAGATCATCCGGCACCCGGGCAAGCGCACAATCTCCCTCTCCCAGAGGAAGTACATCGACACTGTGCTTGAGCGGTATGGCATGTCAGACTGCACGGGAGTCAGCACCCCCATGTCCACAAGCACTCGCATCTCCGCTGATGACCCGAACAACAACGAGGTGCGCACTCATATGGCCTTGGTCCCCGGGGGTCCCATCGTCTCCTACCAGAGCGTAGTGGGCTCGCTCATGTACGGGATGATGGGCACCCGACCGGATACCGCCTATGTGGTGGGGGTTCTTGGCCGCTATAGCGCCGCCCCCAAGGCTTGCCATTGGGAACTGGCCAAGCGCGTCCTCCGCTACCTCAAGAAGACGCGCGACTGGTGTCTGGTCTACGACGGCGCTGACGCCGGCATGGACCTTGACTTCCACAGCTACACTGATGCTGACTGGGGCGGATGCAATGACACGTCCAAGTCCACCTCCGGCTTTGTGTTCATCTCAAGCCGGGGCGCCATAGGTTGGTCTAGCAAACGGCAGTCCATGGTCTCTCTCTCGTCTACCGAGTCAGAGTACATTGGTCTAGCTAATGCCGGCCAGCACTTGGCATGGCTCCGCTCGTTCTTCGATGAGTTGGGACTGTAGAGACCTGGACCTCTCAGGTCAGGCTACTCTCGAGTCACCTCGCTCGGGGACTTATCTTCATTATCTGCCTCATGTATTGTTGATTAGATTAGATACGATCATGGTCCAAAAAGGCCCATTACATATGAATATTATCATCTTTCCTACTTCCATCCTCTTTTTGCCAGCCGTCGGCTCGGTCACAAGTCCCTCGTAGGCTCTCTAGCCTCGGGCCGCGGATACTCCCCGCGTCGCACGCTACGCGCGCTCCCGCACATCCTTGAGCGACTGGATTTACCGTCGCCTACGGAACGTGCCACGGACACGTGTTTGACGCGTGTTTTGTCGCTCCCGCGCCTCTACAAGGCCACTCCGTCGCCAGCAGGCGACCACTCCGTGTCGGCTCCCGCTCGACTGGTGAGCGACCCCCGTGGAGCTAACGAGCCTCCACAAAGTGGACGTTAAGGGGTCCCAGTCGAGCTGCAGCCCACGCTTTGCCTGCTGCTCTGATATTGAGACGAGAAACCTTTGACTGGCTAGAACCGTCTGGGTGGAGTGTGAGGATTGCCAGGATCGCCGGCTTTGACCTCCGCTCCTTCTCGTCCCGGTATTGGGAGCTGACTCGCGCCTTAACCACTCTGCAATTGTGTGCTTCTGGCTATGTCTGGGACCACCCGCAGAAGCTTTATGCGTGCGGCTGACCGTGCCTACTACGGTGTGTATACTCCAACCTGTCCTATTCAACCCGACTCGTTGCGTAACCGTGTGCACGGGGTTGCCACTTGGACCTCGAGGCCGGACAAAGATGGTTGTATCTCGTATGAGAGCGGATTGGGGAGGCGGAAGGTTAGTGCGATAGAATTTGCGCGTTACCTGGAAGTCCTCGCAATGGAGATGCAGCCAGTTCTGGATACGTTGGTAAGGGCGACAGTTGCAGACAATGAGCCAGCCCCGAAAGCGTGGCAGTTCCAGTTCGAGATGGCGAAGCATGCTCACTCCCTCAGAGAGGCAAGAAGTTATTCCGACCTCTCGTTTGCCCACGTCGTGGCTTCCCAGCAGTGCGCCAAAGCCGTACACTTCTACCGAAAGTACCGCAAACAGGCGGAAGATCTCCTGCACGTCACCCCTCAGCTGGAACCCGCTCAACAAATGACCAGTCCACCAACCTCTGTCGCACCTTCGGCGGGACACCGCACATCGCGTGTTGCTCACGAGCACCCTCCAGTTGCACCTAGCCCTTCAATTAGAGCTAGCACATCATCCAAACCTCTGCTAGGATTGCCAGCAGGTGGTGAGGAGGTAGGGCTTGGATCGCCAGCCCATACACCTCCACGCAAGGATGAGCCGAGCCGAGCTGGAAATGGGTCGAGCAGCACGAATACCACAGTGGGTCTTGCTACGATGCAGCGATGCCCCTCTCAGCATACACGGCGGTCCGGGAAGGCAGACGAAGCGACACGACGAGAGTCGCCCGTTCAGGTCACGCCCTCCGAGACTGCTTTGCCAAATAGGAAAATCTCGCACGATGGGCATACCTTAGACTCGAGGGAGGATGAATATTCGAGTAGGGTGTGCCATTCGACGCAGCCTCGCACGAGCCAGGAGAGTCAAGGGGAGGGGGAAGTACAATCGCCGCTGAGACCAGCGCGACCTCGCCCGTTGTGGTGCCCCAACTCCCCACCTCATCTCGCACACCTGCCGAATTCGCTCGTCTCGTCACCCAGCATGGCCACCGCCGCATCCATGAGCGAGCTTATTGAGGCCGCGCTATCGGAAGCCCAGCCAGGTCCCATACCTCCGGCAAATTCGAACAAGCTGGCTATCAGGGAGAGCGACATCAGCGCGCGAGAAGGAAGCAGGGCACGACGTGCACCTTGGTCAGAGACGCTCTGGGCCGCACGGTCGCCGCGACAGAGTCTCTCGTCGTGTCCCGCACCCGCGCTCGGGCTCATGGTAGCTGCGCGAGAGTCGTCTCGAATGACCGTGGTGTCGTCGGCAAAAGCTGAGGAGCGGCCGAAGAGCGGGGGGCTTGGGCCTTCGCGGATGGGGGACATGAACGCGAACACAGGGAAATGCCCTCTGAACGTACCTCCGCCACCACATGTACTCCTGCCGTCATCCCACGCCATTGCGTCGCAGGACAAGTCGGACGCTCCCGCTCGCTCGCTCACCACGCGGTTGGTGCTCGCGCGCGAGTTGGTGAGCCCTGAGCTCGACGTCAACGCACGAGAAGGGAGCAGCACGCAATGCGCACCTCTGGACGAGTTGCGGGAGGTAGACGTCTCGCGCGCGCAAGCGTGGCGCATCTTGCCAGTCGCACGGTCTCGGACGAGTCTCGCGCCACCGACAAATCTGAAGGAACTGTCAGGTTCAAATAGCGTTAGCGGGCAACGGGAGAGTGGCGCGCGATGCGCACCTTGGTCGGACACCTGTGGCCGTAAGCCATTTGCAAAAGAGCCCGGCAATTGTCTGCCAGCCTTTTGCAAAAGATGCGAGGCTGTTGTCGGCACTGCCACACGCCCCGGCCAGGTCGCCGGGATCCCGCCGGCTCCTGCCCAATGCGGTGGGCAGCTCCCCGGGCTCGCCGGTCGGGGTTGCCCGCCGCACGCGATGCGCGTCGCGCACTCTGCCCCGCAGTCGGGATTGATGCGCGCGCGCGACGGCTCTTGATGCGCCGCCTGCGCGCGCTGCGGTGGCTGTGCTGTCAGCGCGTCAACGTCGCGACGCGCGTCTGTGACACCGCCACCTTCGTCTATGCTCGTCCGCACTTGTGATACATATAAAGTAGATCATATATGTACCAAAAGTACATTGTATGTAGAAGACGCGCAGGAATACGCAGAGGGACGAGAAAAAATGAATAGAAGAGCCAGCGAAAATTTTCGCTGGCGCGGTACACGTCGAGCACCCCGCGCTGGAGGTAGCGGGCAGACGCGTACCTTGCTTGGACAGGGGAGTGAGGAAGAGGGTGCTTGCAGGCAGACTGTGTCAGCCTGCGAGCCTCTCGCGCTTGTAGAGTGGTTGCTAGGGTGGGAGTGTGGGATCGGGACCTTGGGGCCCGCCTTGCCGAGCGAGCGCTTGTTGCTGTCCTTTGTGAGACATTGGTCACGGGGGCGGTAGTGGTGATGATGAAGCGGGGCGTTCAAAGCGCTATCGGCGGTGGGAGAATGGCGGCACATGTGTGACAGGTCGCGCTGTCACGCGATGGCGCGTCTGCCGATGCGCGTCTGCCTGGACAGCTGTACGCGCCCGAGCCAATGCTCGGCATCCCAGCACCTTGTCCAGGCCGCGAGGGCCTGGTAACGTCAATTTGCGCGCCCCGCGCCGAGCCCAGCACCGCGAATTCGCCGGTGCAGTGGGTACTCAAACGGGCCGTGCTGAGCACGGGGCGCGCATCTCAACGAGGGGAGGGGGGTTCGAGAGGGCGGGGAGGGTTCAGGAAGAGCGCGTTGAGCGCGCTCTGGGTGCTCAGATTTGACCGCCCACGACACTAGATGTACGGTGGGGGGCATGCCAAAAGATGGCCGAAAAAAGAGACATTTCAAAGAAAGTCAGCAAATTTTTGATATCCATAGCGTAGCAGCGCACCTAAGCGCCCTCTACGCGCGATTTATCGCGCCTAATCCTATAGTCGCGCGCGTTGGCGCGTGCCGCTTGGCGTGGCGCGTCGAACTTGTGGTGGGTGAGCACAATCAACGCGGTCCGGGGCGCGCGATAGAGTGAGAGACATATAATATAATGGAAGGGGTGAGGAGGAGATCAGGGAAGGGCGAGGGACGCGGGGCGACGACTGGAAGGGCAGGGTAATGGTGGTGGAAGACAACGAACGCGCAACCGAGTGCATCGGGAGGCCGGGCCGCACATTCGGTCCGATATCCGAGCATCGGCGTCGTCGACGTCGATGGCCTCGGAGACAAGCCGAGGGACACCTGGCAGTGCAGTAAAGGTAGATTAGCGGAGTATACATGCATATTGACTGATATACCCATTTTGGAGGGGTACTGCTTGGTACAGCCCTCAGAACTTCAACTTCAAGATTAATGGGCTTTGAAGCAGAATCAATCAATTCTTCCTCAGTGCTCCCATCAGCCACCCTTTGGCGCGCTCACAGCTCAATTCCCCGCGGATTCCTATCAAACAAAGTGCATTCTGTAGGGGCAAGTGCGCTCTATCTTGGCATGTACAATTTGGAATATTCTTTGCCCTAGATAGTACACAGCAGCAGAGATAGTATGAGAATTTGGTCAAATCTAGCATGTTTTCAGTATTACTCAATGTTTTATGCACAGATCATAATCAAAACTTCTGCTGAATATTCTTTACATGCCCCCCTTCCTTCCTGTGCACTTTTTTGCTAAGCGAACGCTTTTCCGCACGCTCCCGCCGCCGATTTCGACGCCGAGGACCGCTCTCGGACGTCCGGACCGGCATCCGCGGGGTCCCGAGACACGAAATCGTGGACCCGAATATCAAGACATCCGCCACCCGCCGTCCCCGCGCGCTCGAGCCGGCCTTTCCCTCTCATTCGCTTCTCTTCTTCTTGTTGATACACTCATGGACACCTCCCCCACACTCTATCCACACTCCATCCACCCTCTTCGGCATTATCTTCGTGCTCATCATCACCCCAACTGGTTTACCATTGGACACAACACGGGTGGCGCCCTCGCGTTGCGCCGTGGCAAGGATTCCAGTGCGCCCCCTTTCCCTTCCAAAATACCATCATCTCTCACTTATATATTCAGCTGCAATAGCGCGATCACGGCGTCGACATTGAGCTCAGAGGGCCGTGATCGGACACCGCCCCTTGCTTCCCGCCACCACCACCACCACCACCGCCACCCCGGCTGCCATCCCACCGCCTCGCGTCGTTTTCTGAAGCGATGGCAACCCTCCTCTACCTCCTCACGCCCACGTACGACACGTCTAAGGGCGTCTTCCCCATCTCGCCGGCTCAACACCCCTCCCGGTCACCCACCTAACGGCAACGACGAGCCCTCCGACTTGCGGCGTCACTATCCCCTTCCCCACCCCACGCCACCCTACTCTACGTCGTTCATGGCCCGGCAGAGCACGCTGCCTCGCGCGCCCAGCATGTCGCGCCCCTTCCCCCACCCCCTCCCCGATCGTGTTGACTACGCAGCAGCAGCCAGCCAGTTCTCTGGCTGGCTGCTACTTGTCTTACACGCATCTACCTCTCTCCACTACTCCCGCGCATGCCCGCAGGTACCCTTTCCCTTACCGCACGTCCAGCCACACCTCCGAAAATTTTCGGTGGTGCTTTCTTTATATTTTCTTCCAATTTATGACCCCTCGCCTACATGTTGCATCTCAACATGTTCTCCTATATACTGAATATATATATATATCCACTATCTACGCGCTCGCGAGAGGCAGCAGCAGTGGCGGCGGCGACGCGTGTCGCGATGCGGCGTTGACGGCACAGCCACAGCAGCGCGCGCAGGCGGCGCATCAAGAGCCGTCGCGCGCGCGCATCAATCCCGACTGCGGGGCAGAGTGCGCGACGCGCATCGCGTGCGGCGGGCAACCCTGACCGGCGAGCCCGGGGAGCTGCCTACCGCATTGGGCAGGAGCCGGCGGGATCCCGGCGACCTGGCCGGGGCGTGTGGCAGTGCCGACAACAGCCTCGCATCTTTTGCAAAAGGCTGGCAGACAATTGCCGGGCTCTTTTGCAAATGTCTTACGGCCACAGCTGGGTCGGAGAAGCGCTCAGTCAGGCAGTCACAGGAGCGACATCTCTCTTCGCACGCTTCCGCGCTCGCGACCGGGCTAGTCGAGATCGCGCGACGTCCCGCGCGACTGGCGAGTTCGAACGCGCAGGCTAGCACTGAAGATGACCTCAGCACACGAGAGGCGAACGACGCGCCACACGTACCTCGGCCAAAGGCACTTCGGACCGCGCATTTTCAGCAGCAGCTCTCCTTGCGCAGTCCCGCGACGGTCGGGCCCCTCAAGACCGTGCGGATGAGAGCTCGGATGCGTTGGGCGACTTGGTACAAGCAAGCATGCGCTGCAGATGACCTCACCACGCAGGAGGGGAGCAGAGCGCTTCACTCACCTGGGAATGAGCTGCTACAAGCAAGCAACTTGCGCTCGCAACGGCGGCACCGTTACTTCGGCAGCCCCACGCCTGTAGCTGGGCCTATCGAGGCCGCGCAACCGGGAGCTCGGAGGCGTCCTGCACCCCGGGTAAATGCGAGCGAGCTGGCAAGCGCGGAATGTGATGTCAGTGCAGAAGATGGAAACAGCGCGCAAAGCGCACCTCGCCCGAAGGTGCTCTTGATTTCACGCTCGCGGCGGCGTTTTCTTGCCACATGCGGTCCCGCGCTCGCATCCGTACTAGTCAACAAGGACGGCGCCAATCTCTTACCTTGGGCGATAGGGAGTCTTAGCACGAGCGGAGCAGAGCTCGCACGCCGCATACTGGAGGAAGAGGCGATCAGAGCGTTTTCGGAAGCGATAGATAAGGGGCACGTACCTTCATCGCCACGGTCCCATTGTCCCGAGTCGCGCGACATGGCAACGGCGCGGACTTGCACGCGTCTCGCGCGATTGGTGAGCTCAAGTGAGGCGGCAAGCCCTGAGATCGGCGTCAGAGCGCGAGGAGAAATCAGCATGCAACACATACCTTGGCCAACGACACGTGCGGAATTCATCGCGGGCGCGCGTTTCCAGCGGCGCTGTCCCCCTTCGAGCGGCTCTACACCCGCGCTCAAGCTCGTTGAGCGCGCGGAGGAGCATCGTCTGGCAGCCCCGATAATATGCGTGAAGGCTGGGTGGCGACCGGAGAGCACGGACCTCGGAGGTTCGCGGATGGGGGGCGCAAGAGCGGAAAACTCGAGACGGCCGTGCTGTATGACAATTAGGACCTCGACTCAAGCAATATTCGCGCGACGCGTACCTCGTCCGCCATTCTCCTTGCCATCGCCATCCTCAGCATGGCGCGACGCGCAAGCCGCATGGACTCGGACACGTCTCGGACCGTCCTCGAGTTCAGACCAGCGAGCAAGTGCAGAACTCAACGTTAGCGCGCGAAAAGAGCGCGACGCGCACCACGTACCTTCTGACAAGTCGCTGCAGAGGGGCGTCTCGCGCGCGCAAAAGCGAATCGGCCTCCACGTTCACGCCGGCGGCAATGAGTCCACGGTAGGGCTTATCGAGACCGCGCAACCGCAAGCTCGGGGGTGTCCCACACTCTGGGAAAACGCGCGCGGGCTAGTGAACACGGAAAGAGACGTTAGCGCGCAAGGGGGAAGCGGCTCGCAACGCGCACCTCGCTCGAAGATGTTCTTGGCTGCACACTTGCCCAGGCAATGTCTCGCCACGCACGGTCCCGCGCTCGCGCCCAAACTAGTTGACCAGGTGCAGGTACAGGGGGGTCGTCAGGCGATGCCGATACCGCATCCGGAGACTGGGGGGCGACGAGACAACACCAATCTTTTTTTTCGGGCGGGAGGGCGTCCTAGCACGAGCGAGGCAAAGCCCGCACGCCACGTACTGCAGGAAAATGCGATTATCACGTCCGCTCAAGCAAAATTCTCACAAAGCGCACCTTTTCCGCTACGATTATCCTCGCCGCTGCTGCTCCCGGTGTCGCTCAACATCCCAGCTGCGCGAATTCCAACGCGTTCCGCACGATCTGCAAGTGCTGAGATCGACGTCAGCACGCGAGAAGAAGACCAAGCGCGACACGCACCTAGGCCGAAGACACTCGGAGCAACGCAATCGCAGCAGCGGCATCTCTCCTCGCATGGTCCTGCACCCACAGTTGTGCTGGTCGAAATCGGGCGAGCGGGAGCTCGGGTGGATGCGGCGCCTTCGGCAAGGACTGGGGGGCGGTCAAAAAGAGCGGAACATCGATCTGGCTGGTTGGGGGACGAAGACACGCGGGAAGCGGGACGTGCGCGTCACGGACTGGATGGACCAGCTATCAATGAGCATTCGCACGCGATGAGTCCACGAAACACACCTTCTACGTCACGATCTCCCTCGCCACAGTCCCCCACCCCGCCATCGCGCGATAGGCCAGCTGCACGCGCTCACTCACGAACTGCGCGACTCGCGTTGGCGCTCAAGGCGACGAGTACTAGGCGGTTTGTTAGCACGCGAGACGAAAGCAGCGCGCAGTACGCACCCGGGAATGAGTCGCTGCCAAGGACCATCTCGCGCACGCGAGGGCGACACATCCGCGCCGGCGGTACTGCCTCAGCGATCGGATTGATCAAGACCGTGCATTTGGACGCGCGGGTGGCCAAAGCGCAATTGGCGACGGCTGGGGGGCGACACGAGAGCGCGGTGCTACAGTTCCCGCAGAGGGGGAACACCACCATCGGCAAGATGGCAGGCGGGAAGAGCTGGGTTGGTCGAATCGGCAGCGAGCAGAGTCTTCCCAGCCAGCTCTCGACTTTACCCGCACCCAAGCCCTCCCCAGGACAGGCAGTAGGAGGTTGGGAGCGCATGTCACATAAGAGAACGGGGGGCGATTATCAGGGCAGGATGGCGCGCGACGCGATGGGGGAAGGAACAAGGCATCGGGAAATGGCCGGATTCCCGGGCCGGTACGCCAGCGCCGCGCAGACAATTGGCGCGCAAATAGCCAGTTTCCTTCGCGTCCTTCAACCAAGCACCGGAGCCGCCTACAGCGCTCGTCTCCCACCCACCCACCCTTGGCACTCCGGCTTTTTCTTGCACTCCATTCTTCGGGTTCTCATTGTGGTCTTGATCCCTTGCTTTTCTCGACTACTCGCGCTGCTTCATGTCTTCAAGCCTGTAAGGTCATCAACATCTTCAGCGGCTTTACATTCGCAGCACCCTCGCGTGACACTCCCGCAAGCGCACTGCAAATGGGGGGGCTCCCCTGGGGGGAGTAGATCCGGGAGGCAGCGGCGAGGAGGACACGACGAGGCGCGATGCCTCCGCACTTTACCCCCTCTCAGCCACTATAGAGGTCAGGTACGGGTGATGCATCCCCTCGGGGCCGGAGCGGAGCGATGGCCAGTGCGATGCATAGCAAGCACTCAGAGGTCAGAGGCAGTACTGAGGAGGAACAACAAGGACACGGTACATCCCCTCCTGGACCGGAGCGGAGTGACGGTCAGAGCGAGCCTTGGCGAGCACTCGGGAGATGATAACCTCCGTGGATGTCAAGACAGCAGGACACATCCCCTCGGGGCCGGAGCATAGCGAGGGCCGCGTGCTGTGCAACAGGCGCACCGAGGACGGAGGTGAAGATGCTGGCTGGCACGCAGAAGCTGGGGCTCGAGCCAGAGGAGTATAGGCAGCTTGCCACCTCACGAGGCTGGAGACAAGGAGCAGCGTGCTCCCAAGCGTGCCCAGCACATCTTTCAGTCATGGTGTGTACGGGTCCTTCTTTTTCAATTCTGTCCATTCTTTTTTCTTCCATTTTTCCCACAAATGCCTTTATGACCCTTCATGACCTACGATTTTGTATCTTTTCATGACTTCATGGCAGAACGAGGCACCTCGAGAGTGGGGGGCTCTGTGGAGACCTGGACCTCTCAGGTCAGGCTACTCTCGAGTCACCTCGCTCGGGGACTTATCTTCATTATCTGCCTCATGTATTGTTGATTAGATTAGATACGATCATGGTCCAAAAAGGCCCATTACATATGAATATTATCATCTTTCCTACTTCCATCCTCTTTTTGCCAGCCGTCGGCTCGGTCACAAGTCCCTCGTAGGCTCTCTAGCCTCGGGCCGCGGATACTCCCCGCGTCGCGCGCTACGCGCGCTCCCGCACATCCTTGAGCGACTGGATTTACCGTCGCCTACGGAACGTGCCACGGACACGTGTTTGACGCGTGTTTCGTCGCTCCCGCGCCTCTACAAGGCCGCTCCGTCGCCAGCAGGCGACCACTCCGTGTCGGCTCCCGCTCGACTGGTGAGCGACCCCCGTGGAGCTAACGAGCCTCCACAGGGACGTCCGCAGGCCGGTGCCACCGAGCTCAGGTGCGACAACCGTGCGGCCATCATCCTCAGCCAGGACGCCCAGTTCCGCGCCTGGACCAAGCACATCCAGCGGAAGTATCACTACATCCGCGATGGGCTGGTTGCCACCGGCGAGTGCGTCGTCCTCTGGTACCCCACGGACGAGATGGTTGCGGACATTTTCACCAAGGCACTGCCCCATGACAAGCATCTCAAGTTCTGCCAGGGGATGGGGTTACGGCCAGGCTCGAGTGGGAGTGTCAGAAGTGGTGGTTAGGTGGCGAGCCTGCCTCCACCGCGTGAAGGAGTTGCCTTATTGGTGAATCAGGCCTGATTCACCAATTAGGAAGGTGCTTACTTGGGAAGTATGTTCCCACGGTCGATCCCGTACTATACTGTACATACACGTTCCTTTCTCTTCCCTCAGTCGCTATTCCCATAGCAGGAAGACTGAGGGTGAGCTCTACTTTACTTGTACTTTACTGTATACTAACGTTACCTTAGTCTTGCGCTTCCTGTGCATATTTAGGTATGAATTCAGTCGCTATTCCCATAGCAGGAAGACTGAGGTCTTGCGCTTCCTGCGCATATTTAGCTCGTGAAAGTGGAATTTGGGGTTTGGCAATCGCCACACATGCACGTGATCAGCACTTGTATACCGCATTTTTGTAGTTTTACCTTATCCATTTATCCTCGTACCACCATGTAGGACAACCAGAATACATTCTTATTCTGTGGAACTCGTTGGTGACTACAACTACAGCAATATGATATTCTGCATGCACGGACTTAACGTAACTATCTAGGTAGAAGAATCCACTGAGCATAGTCCGGATCCTGGGGAGGATGAGCCGTATGCGAGGCAGGGAGATCAGCGGGCAGCAGCCTTGGCGTGTAGCATGGGGCTACGGTGGCCACTGACTGACCTCTGAAGGATAGATGGAGACAGCGGGCAGCGGCCTCAGTGCGTAGTGCAGGGCCACTATAGTCACTAACTGACCTCCAGAAGAGGGAGGTGATCAGCGTGCGACAACCTGGGCAGCATGGTGTGGGGCTGCGGTAGCCACTAACGAACCGTCCCGCAATAGTGGGTGTGTGAGGGTGGCGGAGATGGGCTGGAGTAGTCTGTCATGGCTGAGTAATTGTATGAACCCTTGCCAGCGGATTACCTATAGCAAAGGGCGGTCAGGCGACTAAGTGTTTGCCTGCGAACAAATCTGCAGTTTAGGCAGGAGACTTAGAATGAGCCCTTGCTAGCTACGGGGCAGTGGCGAGGGTGTAGGCTCATCCCTCCTTGCCCCTCCTCTGCCACTCTCCCTCTTGTTGGACATTCGGCCTGTCACATGTTATGACTCACACATCACATGACGGACACATGGACACACATGGACACACGCGACGACATCATATGTTTATTGTTTACTTGTCCATTGCTTTATCACATGCTACTTACCGTCCTGTACATATATAAGGAGGGCCTCTCTGCCCCCAGAATAACAGGTCATTACCTACCTCTGCGCTTGCCTCATACCAAGCTCCTTACCACCAGGTAAGCAGTATAGGCGCGCTTCCCAGCATGCTCAACAGGTTATGAGCCCCGGTGAGCTGTGTTCAGCGCCCCAGTGGCAGCGGCACAATGAGTAGCGCCTCAGTGGCTGCAACTCATGTCATCTGCGCCCTTGCTGGCTGCGATGACGAGCAGCGCCTTGCTCGCTTGCCTGTTCGCTACTAGCTGCTCCAAGCGCTGGCGAAACCATGCCGGATCGCGCTGATCGCTGCTGATCTTTCATGATCGCTGCTGATCGCGCTTGATCAAGGTGCCCATCTCTAGCGGAGATGCTGGCCCTTCAGGGCGCATCGCTCTTTCGCTCATCGGCGCAGTCCTTACCGACATGCTGCCTCTATGATGACATGCGAAACGATGCTGACGATCTTTCCAGATCACAATGTCTAACACCCTCACCTCCACCGTGCCCGTCTTCAGCGGCAAGGACTTCAAGTCCTTTGCCAAGAAGATGAAGGCCTACCTCCAGTTCCAGGGCATTGACAATGTCCTGACTGAGGAGAAGCCGAGTCCAATCACTACCACTAAGGAAGTGAAGGGCAACGAGGAGGAGCTCAAGCAGTTCGATAGTGACGATCGCAAAGCGCGTGGTGCTATCATCATGCGCGTTGACGAGCGTCTCATCGACAATGTCCCTGACGAGGACATGGTGACTGCTAAGAAGCTCTGGGAGTACCTGAATAAGACGTATGGCTCAGCGCAGCTGGCCGACATCTTCGGGTACCTGCAGACCGCTCTGAACGCCAAGTTCGACGAGCGTCAGCACCCAGATCCGCAGCTGAATGTCATCCTTCAGCAGTTCACGCGTCTGAAGAACGAGAATGTTGCCATTCCCGAGTTCTTGCAGGCCATGATCTTGCTTGCGATCGCGCGGGTCAAGCCCGTGACGACGAATCTCCTTCAGTCTCACTCAAAGACTACGCTCAAGGTCTCTACTGTTCGCGATGCGCTTCTAGCGCACTACTCGCAACAGGGGATGAGCACGAGTGCCACTGCTCAGAAGTTCAACACCAAGCGCAAGCGCGATGATCCGAAGTACTCTAATCAGCAACAGGGCGGAAGCTCTGCGCCCAAGCAGGGCGACAACGCTGAGAAGAAGAAGAAGAAGAATCGCGGCAATCGCGCTGGTAAGAACTCTGGCAAGGGCAAGGGCGGCAACGCTCACGCTCATGGCGTCTCGGAGATGGCTGGGATGATCAGTTCGCTGCACGCTCCCGCTCCTCTCACACCGTCGGTGCCTGCCACCAAGACGTCCCACGTCGCGCTCATCACGAAGGATGGTACCTCTGTCCGCACCGTGACTGAGAAGCCCCCCGTCAAGAACGAGGAGGCTGTCGCTGACAACAAACACTCCAAGAGCGCCCGAGCCGTCTTCGACTTTGGGAAGGAGTTGGACATCACGGTGACGCCCCAGGTGTTCCGTCGCCTCGACAAGATCGTCAACGACCGCGGCATCCCCCGCGTCAACGACGAGGACGAGGAGATGGGTTCCCCCACTCCCAAGGCTTCTGGCTCAAATCTTCAGCTCGAAGATCTCGCTCCTCCGGCGAAGCGTGCCAAGATCGACTCGATCCCCGACGTCGAGATGGCCTCCGCACAGCAGAACGACGAAAGTCAGCTGTTTGACGGAGAGAGTCGCCTCTTCTTCGGATCGTCTGGTGGCGATACCATCGATCTCGACTGGAGCGCCAGTCCCTTCAACTCCGCCGATGATCTCCTCCAGGCACAGGGCGAGGGGATCTCTGACGAAGCCCTGATGAAGTCGATCGCGGACAGCGTCAACAGCTTCATGCTGGAGTCCGTCGACGCGGCGACTGCCAAGACTGCCGAAAGGCAAGTACCCTTCTCTTCTGGATCACTGCGCAAATCTCACAGTGCCACACCTCAGCGCGTAATTACTGTCGCAGCAGGGACCGTACTACATTCGTTGATGACTGGATCTCATGAATTTTGTACGAATAAATTTTGTGTGCACTCCAATATTGCTGCGTGTCCGAGATGTAAGGGGAAATCCGCTGAGAATTTCGGCGACTTCCCACCTTTGTGGATGGCCGATTCTGGCGCCTCATTGCATGTGACTGCGGATGAGAGTGATCTTGCTGAGTACGAACCTATTGAGGATTCTGAACCCCTGCAGACAGCATCGGCTAGCGCGTCTTTACGCGTGGTTGGTCGCGGGACAGCATTTGTGGATCACTACGTCACACGGCATAGAGAAAGGAAAGTAATGACTTCCCAAATTTATCCGGTCTATCATGTACCTGGATTACACGGTCGTCTTCTTTCCTTGGGCACTCTATTGAAACAGAGTGGATTGCAAATGCGCGGAAACGCTGCTTGCATCAGCTTGCATCGAAGGAACTCTCCTCTTTCGATCATGGAGTTTACACCGCTCCACCCATTATCCACGATTTACTGGTTATGGTGCAGACCCTCTGTCACCAAAACGTTGCAGAATGTCAGCCTCATCTATAAGGTGGACTACGACACGATGCACCGGCGATTTGCGCACCTGTCGAAAGACGTTCTACGTCAGGCGCGCAACCACACCAAGGGCTTTCCCCAAGACCTTGAGTTTCCTGCCGACCCTCGTCCGTGCAGAGGATGCGCTGAAGGAAAGATGCACGCTCGCTCTTTTCCATCTTCGGAGCATCGCGCGACGAAACCGTTT